ACAAGAGTGGATTCTTTGATAATTGAAAGTGGCGAAGTATGTTTGTGTTTTTTGTATCTTGTATCTTCCTTTTTGGTATGCTAAGAGTTTAAAGCAGAATCAGCCTTGTATTTCGTTTACACTTCACAATAAAGTGTAGTTGGAAGTACATTAAGGTTTATAAACTACTCTGTATGCTTTGGTTTGTATTGATAATAATAACAGGTGGTTGAGCTGTTTTCGCTGATGACATATCTTCTATTGTGTGTGTGATGTATAATGGGTTAAATGTGTATATTGGGTTAAATATGTATATTGTTACTGGCACATACATAATTCACATTGGTTCAATCTTTTCGTGGTGTGCTTTATTGCTGTTACAAAGAGAGAAAAGAGAGTGAGACAAAGAGAGAAAAACAAAGATGGGTTGCGTAAGCGCATAAAACCATAGAAGAAAGAAAGATAGGAAAACTAGTGTGGCTTTTTTTTTATATTTTTAGCATTTTGTTAGTAGAACAAAGCTTCTCCAAAAATAATAACCTATTACTAAAATTAGTTGTCTCTCATTTACAAGCAGTTACAGCTCTCAATAATGATTTGCAGGGTTGTGTATACTGTTATAAAGCTCCGTCGATAATACCAAAATACGTGTATACGTGTATACGTATGTATAATACTCGTATGCTGTCTACCCACTAGAGACTGCCATATAGTGTAACCCTGAAATTGCGCACTATACAGTAACTGTATGCAGAAGCAAAGAAACCGTTGACAAGTGAGGAGTCAATGATTTATTACACAAAGACACGTTTTTGTTCTATTATGATAAAAACAATATTGTCTGTGTGTGTACTATCAACCAAAAAAAGCAATTACCATATAAAAAGGTACACAAAATGTTAAATGCACAATAAAACAAATGTTTAAATTTAAATTTTTTTTATTGGTTTTTTTTTTCTACAAAGAGAGAGTAAAAAAAAAAAACTAAAAATAAAAGAGTGCATGAAAAAATTTCTTTTTCTTTCCGTACTCCGTTGTGTTAGAAAAGACAAAATTAAAAAAAGAAACTTTTCTCTTTCAAAATCTTTTTTTATCAAAAACTACTTACACTTCTACAACACTTAATATCTAAAAGCCAAAGGTTTATATATCAAAACAATATTATCCTATTCCTATTGTTATCTTTCACTACTTACAACCAACCACCATTTGCAAAGACTACAGTAATTTCTCACCTACTACTGTCCAATAACCACTACATTCATTTGTTGCATCTACAAGAATAGCTATATAGTAACTTATCTCAAAGTTCTTTCCCAAGATCTACTACTATTGACAGCATAGCCATCGTCATTATTTGCTTTTTTCTTTGCTAGCCAATAGCCCACACAAGATACAAAGTACCTACAGGAGACTCAGTCAAAGAGAGTAGGGCTTTGAAGTCAAGGGTAAAGAATTAGAAGGGCCAAAAAGATAACAGAATTAGGAGATATACACACTTTACAACCAATAGGGTACTTTTAGCTGGATGGACTGATTTGGGGAATGCCACAACACCACCACAAACAACAACAACAACAACAGCAATCTCATCATGCGTCAAGCATAAGCAGAGCTACTACACCGGCAACTTTTGTGTCTACAGGATCAACATCTCCATCATCAACAACCTCACCAATACCAACGTCAGCAATACCTCCAGCCACTAATACACAACCACTAAAACCTGAACAACTTCCCACTTCACCAGTTTCCATTTCCTCATCTTCTTCACTGTCACCTATATCAACAAGCGTAGCTAGTTCAATAACTAATTCACCAACACCTTTCAATCCACTACCGACAAGATCAATAAATTTTGCTGCGTTAGATTCAAAGATACAGCAACAAGCTAATGCAAATCTGTCGTTACACGCAAGCATACACCCACTTCCACACGTAAATACGCAATTACCATCCCGTCTGCAATTTCCAAGTCTGGTTCCAACACAAACTTCTACTCCAAATACAATATCACCAGTACAATTTACATTACCATCGAGGCTGCAATCACCAGTTGTCCCACCATTGCATGATTTAGTCAATGATTGTTTTCTTTTAACTATCGACAAACTACATGACGAATCGCGTATATTCATTGCCAACTCGTTTCACCAATGTGTTGCCAAACAACATTGTGAAGAGAATTTGGAATTTTTAATTGATATTTATCGTTACGAATATGAATATAATTTGAAGGTCCTTACATCTACCTTGACCAACTGCAATGACAACACTACTGCCACCTCCACCAATCCACCTTCTTTGTCAACTTCCTTCAGATCAAAAGTAGTGGCTAGCGGGTTCAACCATGATGAAGCAACATCTATGGCTAAAATGAAGTTGAATGCCCCAAGCCCTAGTATAACGCCAACGACTCATGGTGCAAGCTCTGCTTCCTTATTAAGACGTCATCGTAATACATCATCAGTCACTTCATTTGACTCTCTCAAGAAGAAGCAATCAATAAGATCAGATGACTTGGACCCACAACAAGCTTTTGTATCCACTATTGATGATTTAGATTTGAATGCACCTTGGGATTCATTTGGACAGCTGCATGTCGGAGATGATGAGGAATACAGCGATGATGATGATGACGAAGAACATGATGTCAATGGAGAAGGATTCCTTAGTCAACAAGATTTACATGAATTGAACGAACGATGGTTTGCCATTATGGAAAACTACATTAAGCATGACTCACCTTCACAGATTAATATTTCTCAGAAGTTGTTCAAAGAGATTGTCGAAGAGTCATCAATTTGTAAATTGCATAATCCACTAATATTACTTAAGGCAAGAAATGAAGTTTTACAAATTTTGAAGGAAAATTGTTATTGTACATTTGCTAGTAAGTTTAAAAAGCAACTTGCTCAACCATGTGACCAAGCATCTTGTTGCCCATGTGGAATGGAAATTAAGCTGGTTGATAAATTGGGTAGTCCAAGCAATAACCATAGCTCCTTGACATTGGAGGCAACAAAGTCTGTTGATTCGGCTAGTGTATCATGCAACGAATGTCGAGAAATATCATCTACCAGCACAGCTACGACTGTAAATGAGTCACCACTGTCGGCATCAGCGACTGAAAAGCCACAGAAGCATCATCATCACCACCACCACCATCACTACCTTAGAAACCAAGACTCGCCGAATTTATCGTCTTCTTCATCCATTGCTGCTTCATTGTTAGGCAAATTGTCACTTCCTAAAAGAGGCAAGTCTGCCAAGCAACAGCCACCACAGAAAAATGGTAACATACCGCCTTCGTTATATGGAGAAACAAGCTCGCCATCATCAAATTCATCCTCGATGCTGAATATCTTTGGACATATCAAACTTGCAAACAATGGTGACGCATCCCCTAGTTCGGCAGCTAGTTCCACAAGAACATCAGGAATACCGATTTCATCATCCCTGAGAAAACAACAACCATTGTCGCTGCTGTTGCAACAGCAAGGTGCTAGTACTGTAACTACATCTGCCACTGGAAGTGCTACTGTTACCCCATCCACAGCTGCTCATTCATTGCCAATTCCTAGATCATTGAATGCAAGTCCAATTTCGTTGAATTCAGTCGCCAGTAACGCACAAAAGGATCGTGAACGTGAGGGACCAGGAAATAGTAGTGCCTCGTTATTGAATGGAGGAAGTTTGAGCTCATCATTGAAGTTTTGGAAAAGGAAGTCTTAAGTTTATAAAGAGTTTGTTGTTTGGATGTGGTTTTGTATTAGAGAAAATTAAATTTGTTCATGGGTTAGAGTTTATGCCCACATTATGGTTTGTATTATTTGGCTATTTTAGAGTTTCGTGTCGCCCTTGAAAAAATAACCAACCCATCACACTACCTTATAGATTTTTGTTATATTGTTTTATGTCATTTTGTTAATTATAGAGGAGTTTTATTTTGTTTTTGATTTGTGATTGTAGAGAATATAGGCTAAGCTTGAGTTTGCTCCGAAGTATAAGAAAAAGGAAAAGGAAAGGGGGTGGTAACTACAAACTTAATTTTCAGTAGCATGTCACATTCCCTCTAAAACGTTGCGTTCATAACAAACAAACACCTCAGTTGAGGATCTTCTTGATACAAAGATTCCTCTCATTCCCGATTAAAAAGGCAAATCTCATTCTAGATAAGGCGCAGTATTTTCATCATGAAGTATACACAAACTCACAATACAGAAGAGTTCAGTTATTGATGCTGTCATGAAGATAATTTTATTTGTTTAGGTCAGAACAAAGTAATCACATTTCCTAATTTGGCTGTAATACGACCAGCCACTTCTTTTTTTTTTTCGGTTAGCAGACTATAGTTAGTCACGATTTGTACCACCTCAGCACTACAAAGCAAAGGACGGCAGCTACTATCTCAAACCACTCTTTGGACATTACATCCCAAGGCAACAAGTTTGGCGGACTAATCTAATGGAGTCGCAATGAATTTGTGAGTGTATTTTCTTGTGTCGCCAGTGTAGATAAACAAAATCATATTTAACGACATTCGCTCTAACTTTCCTCAAAATTTCGTTATCGGCTATATAATAATACACAAACCTTAAACTGACGTCAGAAGTCCTCGAAGAAAGTGTGTGGGGTATACAACAAACGACACTTACGTAAGAGTATCTAGCGAGAAAGCCTATGAACATAGACTGCACCCTTTTAAGTCGAGTAAAGAACAACTCTTTACAGATTTAGGAAATGTATGATCCTTTGCGTGGGCATTCCATCATTGTAATCTAATCTTTCCCTTTAAAGCAAAGGGAAAAAAAAAGAAATCCAAACTAGCAGCAACTTTAATCATTATCAAGCCTCGAAAAAACCACAGTTTAATCTGCCTGGTAGGTAAAGGTTCTACAGCACAATTGGCGTGTAGGCTCATATATTCTTACTAATAGTAACATTGTACCTCCGTTTAATTACAGCCAAAGTTAAAACAACTTATTATAGCAAAGCACTGGTTCTCATTCTCATCAAACATGGATACAACAGGATCAAGTAATGGCCAGGAAAGAAGGTCAGTTACTCCACAACCGCAGCAGCCCCAGACGCAGCAGCAACATGATTTACGCCTAAACAATGCTCCATCTCATAGGCCAATTGGGGGAATTTGTGATCCAATCCAACATAAAATGGTCCATCCAGCTACTGACTCAGTAGCACAACCACTGTCACGGGGGGATAGAGGCTATCAAGAATATACAATCCTTCCATCGCTGGAACCACCTCGAACACCTTCACCACAAACACTTGCTCCGCGAACTTCCTCAAATCAAGCAGGCACATTTGCAAACTTTCAATTACCCAATGACATTTTGAAAAACTTGACTCCTATTATCAAATCCCCTCCGAAAGATAAATCAAAACAACTTACTCGTAGAAAAGCGTACATACGTAATGTGCAATTAAAAGTTAATACCAAGAATAACCGAGTTCGAAAACAATTGAAGGATTGGAAAAGGCAGCAACTGGAATATACTCAGTATCAGAGCGCCAAATTGACGGAGCTGCTACAACGGGCTAAATTACGAAGGGATGAATATTTAAGAATGGTCAAGGAAAAGGCCGTCAGGTTCGTAAAGGTTGAGGAAGATGGTGTGCCCCAACCTGGAACAGAAAAAAGTTTATTGCCTCCTTTCCTCCAAACAAGCTCGTTGCAGTCACAATTTTGGCCATTACGACAAGATGCAGCAGCACGTCAAAGTCTCGTTTGTTTTCAAAAGTTGTGCAAGGAATTTGTATACAAAAGACATGTTGCGTTTCTTCAAAACTCAGGATTCCTAAGCAAATTCAAGTCCATGCCATTCAATCAAATCTTGATTTGTTTCAATACTGAATCCAGTATTAAAATGAGTATATCTTTCATTTTAAAACATTTGGGGATTGTCAAATCCCAATTTGAGTTAAAAATGTTTCATTATTCTTTTATCATGATTGCCGATTTTAATGATTGCATGCTCAATGGACCTCATCCTGGGTTCAACTACAATTCAGAAATGAAAACTAAGAGTCAGGAAAAGACAGCTACAGCAAAAAATTGCATATGGGTTCTACTCTATAAACTTACAAGTTGTTTGTTGCAAGAGTTTGAGCACATTATTGACATTTCGCCAAGAGTTCTGCAAAAGCTTTGGAAATATTGGAATGATTACAAGTTTATCTTTAAAATTTTCAAATGGAATCATTTTGTTGGTATCAAGCACTTGTTGTGCAGCTCAATCTCAATAGTGGAAGAGCAAATCTCACGTATATCTGACGATGAAGATTTGCATAACCAACGAAACAAATTAAATTTGGAATTATCGTTGTTGAACAAGTACGATTTGGAAACATTGAAGGAATTCAATGAATCACTACAAGCTACACAATTTACATCCTCAATTTACAATACAGTGGATGAGTTGTACACCAATTTTGGCACCAAGTCGCCCAGTTTTATTCAAAATCAATCAAATGTTATATGTTTTGATTTGTTAAAGTTTTATTTACCAGATTTCATTGGCATTGATAAATGGAGAAGGCATTGGTTGAATGTATACCTCAACGAATTTGAATCGAATCGACTGCATCCTAGTGAGTTAAAAACAGGCTATCTAGGTGAAGTTGGAAGCAAGCCACGCAACGTCGACTACATCAATTTAGTTGATTCGTTGATGGATTTGGAACAGTTTTCCCTAACTCAGACATATGAAATTTTATACGATTACTATTTGGAATTTTCCGGTGTGTACTCGTTACCTGGTGTTGTTGATGGTTTTGATGGGTTGAAAAAAGTACAAAACTTGATCAATCATTATGACAAGCAAAACAAATTGGCACAGTTTAAGCATTCCAACATGGATGATGACGAAATATTGCAGCTCAAGTATACAGTTATTATTATGTGGCTACAAAAGTGTCAATTCAACAAGTTTGATGATTTTGCCAATTTTGAAAATTTGTACACAATTATCAATTTAAAAAATTTCAAAAACTTGAGGTTTTCCATCTACACCCAGAATCCAAATTTGTTATTTCCAGAGTTTTATAAACTAATCATGAAGTTTAGCTCTTTGGATGTGGAGACACAATTGCGGAATATTGTTTATGCGTCATTTAAGAACAATTTAAACAAGTTATTTCGATCTAGACCGAACTTTAATCAAGAAGCTTTCAATCTTTTCACTCGGATCTTCAACCATATGATTGTTGATAAGGAGTTTGATAATGAATTGAGTGCCACATTTAGGGATAATTTTAGTCACTACCATACAAGGTTGACGAAACTTGTCGAGATGAACAGCTTGTCTATAATGTTTCATTCGTACACAGGAGGCCAGCTATCGGCAACTGGCCTAGAATCTGTGGTCATTGACTTAGATCTGCTTTCGAACAAACTGTTTGTTACATATTATAAAAACCACGGAAAGAAAATTCGTATCTTGCTACTTGATAAATGGCAAGATATCATGAACGGGATGGCTGATGGTCGTATCGCTTTGACCAATTTGGGTAATCATTTGCAACCAATCTTTGCTGAATGTACACAAGACATGGTTCTTGTATCATTGGAAATTTACAAATTTAATCAGTTTTTATACAAAACGTACAATCCTATTTTGAATTGGATTTACGAAGATGTGGGGACAGGGTAGCCCCTGGTGAGGGTTTACTTTTAGGGCGAGGTGCCATAATTTGTTTTTGTTGTTGGGACTTTTGGAAAGGACTTTAATTTTTTCAGTTTGATTTAGTTTTAATCTTTAATGTTTGTTTTTACTGGTTACTTGAATTGAAATTACTTCTTCTCTGTACTGTAGGTGAGTACTCAAAGTCTTACTCTTCAGAATTTTGTGCGTGTCCTGCATAAACACAAAATTGTGTACTGATTTTACATGGCGGTTAACAAGAAAGCGATTACTCATTTGAGAATTTAATTGGTTATTGCACTACAACCTTCAATATAAAAAGTTTTTGTTTTTTTCTTTAATTTTTTTTATCAATGCAATAATAATCAACTTTGACAAATTAATTAATTTTAATATCCTTTTGAAAAAAATTTTCAACTTTGTCGCTCACTTATTCCTTTAGATAAATCTAGGTTATAGCCTTTAGTCTTCTTGTATTCTATAGCCAAAGGTTCAGTTAGCTATGTTGAAATTAGTCGCCTTTAACAAAGTGTTGGCTTCAAAACCTATAGCGAGATCCTTCTCCAAAGCTTCAACCGCAGTTGCCAACAACAAAGCTTATCGTGTATTCGGTGAGCTTCGTCCAACTACCAAGTTCACTTCGACACGATTTTATTCAACCAAATCGACAGTCATCCAGTTATTAAACAACATTGGTTCGAAAAGAGAAGTTGAGCAATATTTGAAATACTTTACTTCTGTCAGTTCCCAACAATTTGCTGTCATCAAGGTTGGTGGAGCAATCATAACCCAGCAATTAGACGAATTGGCTTCTTGCTTGGCATTTTTATACCATGTCGGATTGTATCCCATAGTTTTGCATGGTACTGGACCACAAATTAATGAATTATTGGAAAATGAAGGTGTTGAACCAGAATATATTGACGGTATCAGAATCACCAACCCAAAGACTATGGAGGTGGTGCGTAAATGTTTTCTCGAGCAAAATTTACGTTTGGTGACAGCTTTAGAGAAAATTGGCGTGCATGCGCGTCCAATCACCGCTGGTGTTTTCCAAGCAGAATATTTAAACAAAGAAAAATACGACTTGGTCGGTAAGATAACCGGTGTGAACAAAGCGCCAGTTGAGGCTTCAATCAGTGCTGGATACTTGCCGATTCTAACCAGTTTGGCTGAAACTCCAAGTGGCCAATTGTTAAATGTCAATGCTGATGTCGCTGCTGGTGAATTGGCCAGAGAATTCGAGCCATTGAAAATTGTCTACTTGAATGAAAAGGGAGGTATTATAAATGGAAGCACTGGTGAAAAAGTTTCCATCATCAACTTGGATGAAGAATACGACGATTTGATGAAAGAGAGCTGGGTTAAATACGGAACCAAATTGAAAATTAAGGAGATCCACGACTTGTTGCAACATTTGCCTAGGTCATCTTCAGTTGCTATCATTGATGTTGATGATTTACAGAAGGAATTGTTTACTGATTCGGGTGCTGGTACCTTGATTAGAAGAGGATACAAATTGATCAACAGAAACTCTTTGAAAGAGTTTGGTAATCCTGATTTATTAAGAACTGCATTATTGAGAGACCCTGAAATTAAGGCCGGCAAATTGTCTGTTGCATCCTATTTGAAGTATTTGGAATCTGTCGACTTCAAAAGCTACGGTGATGAGCCATTGGAAGTGTTGGCAATCGTAGTCAATAAAGATGACAACATTCCCAAGTTGGATAAATTTTTGTCCTCAAAAACTGGATGGTTAAACAACGTTACTGATAACATTTTCAATTCAATTAAAAAGGATTTCAAGTCCTTGTGCTGGATAGTTGATGAAAATGATGCCAATTTGTCGTGGTACTTTTCCAAATCAGATGGTTCATTTGCCAAAAACGGCCAAATATTGTTCTGGTACGGTTTGAATACTGAACAAGCTAGTGAATTAATTAAGGATTTTGACAACTCTGCAATTGGATCTTCTTTGTCATCAAACAAAGAATCAGGTGTCTTTTCTACTAGTCAACAAAAAAGAGCTTTACATACGAGAAGGTTTGCATCAACAATTTCAAACCCAAACCCACCTTTAAAAGACGGCAAAAGTCAGGATAAGAAGAAAGTTGCATTGATTGGTGCAAGAGGCTACACTGGTCAAAATTTAATCAAACTTATTGATAACCATCCATACCTCGAGATTTCCCACGTTTCATCTCGTGAATTGGAGGGCCAACAGTTGAAAGGTTACAACAAGGACACCATTATTTATTCCAACTTGCAACCGGAAGATATTAAAGAATTAGAAGAGAAAGGAGAAGTTGACATTTGGATCATGGCTTTACCCAATGGTGTATGTAAACCATTTGTTGATGTTATTGATTCTATTGGAAACCCAAATTCAAGGATTGTTGACTTGTCTGCTGATTACAGATTCGATACTTCAGGAAACTGGGTTTATGGGTTGCCCGAATTGAATGATCGTCATACTATTGCCAATGCCAAAAGAATTTCCAATCCAGGATGTTATGCAACCGCTGCACAAGTTGCCATTGCACCATTAAAGGAATATATTGACGGCAAACCATCTGTATTTGGTGTTTCAGGTTACTCGGGAGCAGGTACTAAACCATCACCCAAGAATGATGTTGAAAATTTAAGTAATAACCTCATTCCATACTCATTAACTGATCATGTGCATGAGAGAGAAATTTCCAACCAATTGAACTTGACTGTGGATTTCACTCCACATGTAGCACAATGGTTTCAAGGAATCTCGCACACAATTAATATCCCAATAAAGAAGGGATCATTAACATCTAGAGAAGTAAGAAACATTTTCCAAGATAGATATAAAGGCGAAGAGTTGATTGCAATCACTGGTGAAGCGCCTTTGGTTAAAGACATCAGCGGTAAACATGGTGTAGTGGTTGGAGGGTTTGCTGTAAACTCAAATGAAGATAGAGTCGTTGTTGTTTCAACAATTGATAATTTATTAAAGGGTGCTGCTACTCAATGTTTGCAGAATATTAACTTAGTGCTGGGTTATGGTGAGTATGAAGGTATCCCCCTCGATCATTAAATAGAGGACATGTGTACATTATAGACTTGTAAACAACACATTATCAAATCCATGCTTCTCCTAAATTTGCATCAATTTGATGATAACTCTTCTTGAAAAATATTTCCATCTCTGTAGAAAACCCAAAGCTCACGCTCTTCTACAATTCTCTATCAGCTTTTGCTTGGTAAGATCCTGGTTGTAAATCTGTAGATATACGCACTTGCACCAAACCCTATGCCTCCTACGCCTCCTACGCCTCCTACGCCTACCCTGTTTCCGACTCGGTAAAACATGGTAGCTCCCTCCCACAATTGTGGTTCAGCTTATCTTTCTCTCTCTCCCTTCTTTTTGTGTCCGTGTAGGGAATTTGTTTCTAAGTCTTTATTCCTTTTTCCTTTTCCAATCTTTTTATCCCTTCAAATTTTGGACAACCGCAAATACTCACGTCTTTACAAATCATAAATATTGACAGCTAGGTACTGTACTGTGCAGTAGTAAATTTGATCACATAAAGCTAGCTACATCTTTTGCTACCCATTCTAGCTCTCCCTTATCTTTGAAATCCCGACCCCGCAAAAGCTACGCCAAACCAGCCTCATTATTGCTGCCACGCCTACTGTTGCAAAGACCCAACCCAACACTACTGAAATCCACACACAACCAGATTCAAGATGCTTTCCAGTAGAGTTGCAGCCAAGCAGGTGCTCAAGGCTGCGAGAGCTAAAACGCCCCAGTTGACGCTTCCTGCTTGCTCCCTTGCAGCCAGGTACTACCAAACAAAACAATACAAAATGTCAAAGGGGCTGGCTAGAGGATTCGCTACCCATGTCGAGGAGTACGAAATTGACTATATATCATTGAAGAAAAAGAGCAAGAAGAAAAACGCCAGTAAGAAGCTAGATGTTGAACTACCCCATTTTGGCATCAAACGACCAGACAACCTTGGGTACCCCTTCCATGAGGTCCAGAACTACAATGAAGCATTGATGGAGGAGTTGCTAGAGGATCAGACGTGGGGGTTTAGGATCGTTGACGAAGATGGCCTCCCCCAAGGTCTCGCCTATACCAAACATTATTGCAATGAGTTGAAGGTGTTTGAGCACTTTCTTCAAGACACATTCAACTACCAGATCAAGAGCTTTGCAGACCTATCTGGGCTGGAAGTTGTAAACACATTGTTCATATTCAAAGACTATTACAGCAGAGGCGACATCCCGGAAGTCAACAAAGAAAACAAACACAAATACGACGAGATGGTACGATTCTTTATCGAGTTTGTCAATAAGGACGCGCGATTTCCGCAAGAGGTTGTCGGGGACTATTTCCCACGGGCTAAACGCTCACACGAGATTGAAGATTTCCTCAACCTAGGGTTGTACTTCTATGTCCCAGAATTGACGTCATTAGATCGGGAGTTCAACTTTAAAAAGATAAGATCGAAAAAGGACTTGATTGTTCAGATTGACAAGACGGTGAAGGAGTTTGACCACTTTTTGGAAGGCAATGTGAACTACGATGAATCGTTCTTTAAAGTCTTGATTCAGGTGGAACGTTACAAAGCACTACGTGATAAACTCACCGAGTCAATCACGTCTTTGAAAGTGGTTAAGAGGATAATCGAAGACAATGATTTTGGCGAGGCAATGCAGGAGTCAATGTTTGAGGGGTTAACATTGAAACATGACAGAGCTGCTATCTACGAAAAAGTTGCCGAGTTGGGTGTATTGTGGAGCCTACTCGAATTTGGAAATCTCATTCCAGCTACTGCAAAATACAGCGAGTTGGCGCCACGGCTCTATGAAATTGCAACCACGCGGGGCCAACCCTTTGAAGAACAGGCCAGGCACTTCTTGGAGGCTCTAACCACGGACCAGTTGAGGTCTGGTAAATTGCTCTCTCACCTCGCCCAGTTTGATTTCGGAACATCAAAGTACAATTTCACGGGCAATTTGGAGGAAGATTGGATTTTGAATTTCTTGCTTGAAGAGGAATTCGCATTAGAGACAGGCTTAACCGAGGATGAATTTTGGACCGAATGGGACAACTTTCATCCCAGCGACTGGGCTGCATCGGAAGCCTTTGGATGTATCGACGGCACCAGCGTTAAAAGATTGGCACAAAACCCAGATGTTCTTGTGAAATACTTGGAATTGAAAGGAGATTCCTTGGCAGAGTGCTTACCCGAGGACTCGCCATTGTTGCAAGCGCGGAAGGAACTCAGCGCTGCAAAACAAGGGGTGGGCGTTGATTTCGCCTTTTATGCCGATATCAAGCACCTCGTCGGAGACCTTACTGAGAGAGCACCTTTATCCAAGACCTCGCTTGACAGACTTGTCTCTGCTATTCTCGACTCGGCCAGATATTTTGGCAATCACTTGGAGGTTTTGGACGAGGTTGTTGAGGACTATGAAGCAGAGCAAGTCACTGACAGACACACAAGCACAAACTACAAGCAGATACCAGACTGGTTGCGTCTTGAAAGGCATGTACCAGAGATTGAGTTTGTCCAAACTTTGGTAGGCGATTTCCAAGACAAGTCGAAAGTCATGTCAGCTATTGAAGATGTGACGGAACGCATTTTGGAAGACGAGACGTTGTATCCAGAAATAAACCACGGCAGCTTGCTTACGCTAAGGGCAAAGTTGAAGGAGTTTTCTACCAACAACACCACTGATTGTTTGGAGATCTTAAACACGGTGCTTCTAAGTAACGATGTGTTTGCTCAATTTGAGAAGCGAGTCAAAGAAAAACCCGCACAGGAGACAGCACCGTACGTCCAGATTCCCGATGAATTGGAATTATCCGATTTCGCTAAAGAATTGGCCAATCTTAGAAACGCGCTTGGGGGTGCCACATTCAAGGAGCATTCTGGTGATAGAGTGTTGAAAGCTTTGGACTACCAAATTGATAACTTTTTTGGTGAAGCCAGTGGCAAAGACTCGTTTATTTCCAAGAACTCTGATGCTTTCAGGTACATTAGGTTGAAGAGAAGATTGGGCAGGTTGTTTGACATGAATGGACAAAACACCGAGGCTTTGGATGTGCTTCTCAATAGTCAAGCGGTGTTTGACACTTTTGAGAGTCAAAAAATGGCACACGAGGAACAAGTAGCCGAAGAAGGAGAGGACTCCCCCGAATATAGACAATTACCCAATGATTTTTTCTTGGAGGAGTATGTCGTTGAATTAAGGCAGTTGAGAGATACACTACACGTTGACAAATTGGCAGACGTGTACGCTGCCGAGGTCTTGGCCAAGGTGGAAGAATTGTCCAAAGCCAGTTACTCAACCAGTGGAAAGAGATTGATCTGGCACAAGTTGTATCGAAACTTGGTTTTGCTTTTCAAACATAACCACGGTGCGACATTTGTTTTGGACAATGTGTTAACCAGTGCTGCTGAATTGGAAAAACTTAGCAAGTCGACACGGACACGTGTAAGCGACCCTGTTTCCGAGCAAGTGGAGTTTTTAAAAAAGGCAGAGTATGAAGTTTTAGGTGCATTTTTAACGGCTTCGAGATTGTTGTACAAGTCTGATGTGACACAGGTGTCAAGGGGAGATTTTAACGCATTAGTGGATATGTACATTGCCACGTTGGACGCGACATCGTTAGGGTACTTGTTTAAAAAGGACGTTCTCGACTCGTTGAAGAAATACAATGCAGAGATTGATCATTATCCTGCGTTCCTTGTTTGCCTTTACGGTATGAGCAAGAACTTGGATGGTGAGCCAATTTCCAAGGAGAGGTTGCAGGAGTTTTACGCTGACTTGGCACGAAGCGTTACAGGACAGTCAAACGCAGCCAAGGAAGAGCCTTCTGAGGTAGTTACCTATTCAACCGAGACTGACGAGGTCAAGGACCGTGAACATCCTAGCGAGTCAACACCAGAAATTGAATATGAGTATGATATGAGAGAGTACGAACCATCGGAGTCTAAACCGGGGGCATGCTCGGATGTGGAGCCTCAAGTTCCACTGGATAAGCAAAAGTACCACGACTCAGAACAGTTTATTGCCGATTTAGACAACCAAAGCGAAAACGTCTCCAGGAACGATGCATTCGAGGATGCGGTTAGGGCAGCATTTGCGTCTGCTTTGCAGAGAGATGAGGTGCAAGAAGCAAGTGCACACACCAAGAGTGCCAAGAGGCACCACCACAAACACAGTAGGTCCAGCACGACATCGGGAGATACCAGTGCTATAGACACAATCAAATTGAAAGAGTATCTCATGAGGTTGAACAAGGATGAGCTATCAAGGCAAAGGCAAGCCGAGGCTTACGAATGGAGTAAGTTCAAGTATGACCAATCGTTAGCTAGCTCTTCCAAGTCGTATTTGCTTTTAGGCTTGGTGGGTGAGGAGATCCCAGTATCGGAAAAGTTGCTCAGTGATGAATTATCCCATCAAGGTGGCATTTTCGAAATCTTGGACAAGTTTAGCAACGACGAGCTTGCACTAGTTAATGACAGGTTGCAGTGCTTGCAAAATGACAGTTACAAAGTTGTTGGCTACAAACAGGACGGGAAGAGAAAGTTTTTAATCCTAGAGAATGAAGGGGATAAAGAACCTAGGGGGGCTTCAGGTAAGTCTTCCTGGGGTAAGCGAGTTACCACTGGTGCAGCAGCAGCCATGCTTGCATATCTTGCATTGAGCTTTGCTTCGGAGGAGCCAAAGAAAGGGTCGTCTGAAGAGGGAGCACCAGATCCATCAGAAGTAGTAGGTGGCTCGACAGCTTCCCCACCTACTGCTAAGGAAAGTGAACCTTCAGTTGGAGAGTCAGCCGCGTTTCCTACGTCTGAAACGCCAGTTTCCATCCGTCAACCTGATTTGGCTAGCCAGAATGGACACACTGGTAACAAGGAAAGGCTAGGGTTAAAGAATATTTTATGGAGTGCCAAATAAGACACTTTACATTATGTTAAATATCCAAATAGATGCACTTATCTATTACTATTGCTTCTACTCCTTCATCTCTACTTCCACCGTTGGAAACTCCTTCATGTCTTTGGAAACATGAACAAACTTAAACCCGGTGGTTGCCCCTGTTGTGCCGTTCCAATTTCTCAACCGAGTTACAGTTTCCTCATGGCTTAGATCGGGTATCTTATAACCCGTTGCAAATAGATGCTCCTCGTGTTTCAACTTTTCCGCAAGCAACTTCTGCTTGGTGGATATTGGTCTTCCCTTTCTGTGCTCTTGTTTGACTTCATTTAATCGTTGTCGATCTTGGCCAATAAAGCTTTCGATCAAGTCTTGTATTTCTGATAAGGTATAGCTTGGCTTGTTGTCATCGTTAACAATTTGCTCTTGTAGGAAGGAGACGATGAGCAACTCGTTCAGCTTCTTTTCGACGCTTTCAACTTTTTGCAATTTAAGTTTCTTGTCTCGCACAGTGGCTCGATTTAGTTGTTTGAACTTTCGTCCCTTTATGTGCATTGATCCAGTGGACTTGGACAAGTTTTTGCTCACCTTATTTAAATTGTGAGCTAACGGCATGGCAGGTGGAGCGTTTTTCTAGTGGCAGCGATTCAAGTTCGATATAGCGCTTTTGGTGGTGCAGCTACTATCCCAGCTTGCTCTTGGTTAGTGGTAGTTTACAAATGTTCTCTAAAAGATGTGGTTTTTTCTGAGATGCCTTAGATGCGTTCTGCAACAAAAAAACAATTAGGATGCGACAGAATAGAATCCCAGATAAAGGGCTTACCTCTGAGCTTGAAAGGTTGATACCCATTTCTCTTTGTTAAAGAACCGACTCACCGAGGTGCAACACCATCCTCTGCACATTCGTTTACTCATGGAAGAAATCTTTAACCTTACTCATTCGATAATTTAGAAGGCAACCCTGTTTGTATATTAAGCAAAGTTATTCGTTACCCCTTGTCAACATTCGTGCAGCCACCAGCATGAAGATAAACACGCACCCCTCCTTAGATTATAGTTACGTTAGGGTCTTCTCCTACTCTTCTTAACATAGATCCCTATTCACGTCTTCACAAGGTCGTGCACAAAGTTCCAAAATGTAAGTGTAAACTGTGTCAATATTTTTCTCTGTTTTTTTTATTTTTTTTTTTTTTCGTTCGCTCTTCATCAAATTTAACAATCAGAAGACAATTAAAATACCCCCCGTAAAAAGGACTTGACCGAAAAGACATTTTACATCCAAACAAGCAGTCTAAGCTACAAACCTCATATATCGCAATCTTTAAACAATGGCTAAGTACACCGAAGAACAATTGCTCCAAATCAAGGACGAAACAACTTATGTTCCTCAACCAACTATTTTGGCTGCTTTCAATGAATTAATTGACCAAGTTAAAGAACACGCTCGCGAACAACAACAAGCTGAGCACGCTAGAAAATGGCACAACGGAGATACCTACATTGATGATCGTGGAAATGAAAGAACTTATCACCATATGAATAGACGTAGAGGCTCAAGATCGGGACAACAAAAGCCATATTTGAAAAAGAAGAATGAAGTGATCAAGGATGAAGATGGATGGGAGACAGCAGTGCCAGTAACTGGTGCTCACAACAACCACAGGAGTGGAAGCTTTGGTGGAGCTGATAATGATGCTAATGATGATAGAAACAAATTTAGAGAAACAATTGGGGTTAGAGCAAAACCAAATAATAAGAACTTGGGTTCTTCCAAAGCGGTGGATCCTAGAGAAATTGCTAGTGATAAACAAACTAAAACATTTAATGCTTTTGAAGCATTGGAGGGAGATAATGACGATGACGATGAATGAATGAAAGAGTAATTGGTAATTTAGAAAAGTAGTTCAAAAAAGGACAATAGTGGGAGAGTTATGTATGTAATACTACGTATATGTGAAAATAGAAGACTATCTAATTAAGTTTTATTTCTCATCTCTAACGCCTTACTTTCAAACCACAAATGCAGCTTCGTCATCACTGTCTAATCCAGCGAGAATCGAATCAACATCTGTAGATAATAAATTCTTACTCAAAATTGAATTATTAGACACAGTTTGATCCATGTGCCTTGCAGCCATACTTGAATTACCATTACCATTTGACACTCCCTTCAAATTACTAACACTCAATGTTTCTTTCAAATCGGTAACTCTAGGAAAAGTCACGTGTGTATTAAACGTGTATATTGATCCGTTAGTCTGATCATGGGAACCCAAGTCGCCATTCAATCGACTAATAGTTGATGTAGTATTACCATTGTTCGTCAAGGTATAATTTGCAGCATAAGGTATTCCCTTCTCTTGAAAGTGCTGACTGTATTGTAAAATCTCGGAACGAATTGAATGAATGTCTTTTGCTGTTCCCAATCCCAATCCTGTATACAAACCCTGCTCAGAATCAGTAGTGGCAGCATCGGATGAAAGCCCAGTTGGATTATTGAATTGGGGTACAAAATGGTCTGAATGAGCGGCAGCAGTGGCTGCGGCAGCAGCTGCTGCTTCTGAATGGGTTTCGTCAAAGTCCATAAAGGCCGTGTTATTGGTATTCCTTGAATCATTGTTAAATTGACTCATGTGGGTCGACACTTGAGGCTTTTCAATCTCGGTCAATAAAGGCTTTTGAGGATGCAACCAAACGATGAGGAAATTGTTGCCACATGCATATTCTTCAATATTGTCACTCTTTATCCGGAGTTTTATATCATTTCCGTTATTATCTTTAGGCAAGACTCTTTTTCCTTTAAGGTTCTCCAAATCAGATGGTGGTGAATCGATTCCATGTATCCAGAACCCGTGTTGTCTCCTGTATTCGATACTATCTAAAACCAACTTGAATAATTTCGAAGTTTTGCAATAGCCTTCCAATTCTTCTTCATACTGATCATCAAGGTCTTTTAAAATATAATACAACAATATGTGCACAATTGTATCTTTATACATTTGTCTCTGAGTGAATTCTGTGGTTTTATCCAACCTCAAAACGCCATGATGGAAGAATGGAATAAAGTTACTAACAAAGTTCAACCCAAGAATTTCAATCATATCTTTCAAAACCTTGACCAACAAGAGCACCAATTCAGTACTAGGAGCTTCATACCCATCAAAGAATTTATCGGCATACATCAAAAAGTGAGAAATGAAATTTTGTTGCTGAGTAATGTATTGGTTGACATCAGGTTCCATCAAGTTTTTGCCGTTCAATTTATTGTCCTTGGTGCTATCTGTTTTATCCATCACGTGGGCATTTGCGTTCCCGGGATCCAGTTTATATTGTTGTTGCTTGATAACCTCAAAGGCTGAACGAGACGCAGCAGCTAACTCAATGTTCAAAAACTCATCGAATACTTTCAAGTATTTAGCCTGTACACTTCGAATCTGTTGAAGCGACAAGATTGTTTTTCTATCATCATCAAATTCAGTGTCAGGCGCTAATAATCCCAAACTGATATCCCAATGTTCGAGATTAACATGGTTCCTGCTTATACTACTGGTTTTGCTCTTTAAAATGAGGAAAATTTTGGATATATTGTCCAAAAACTGCACAATAAGGTCGTGAATTCTCTCACTTGAAGACGTTTGTTCGGAACTATCAGCAAATGAGCTGTCCAAAACATAATCCACCTTGACTAAAATTTCTTGAATCGAGTCTGGAACTTGATCGTAGTAGTAGATATGTGTCGTCACATTGCAAATACATTCTGAGTATATGTTTGTCAAGGCATCGATGTCCGATTTGGTTAAGTCGCTAGTCTTTAAAATGACATCAGTCTGCAAATTCAATAACTGTTGAATGATATCGGAAATAGATAAACCAATCATATTGATCCCTGATGATAGCAAACCCAACAAATGTTTAGCGTAAGCTAAATGAAGTGGATAGTTTGACTTGGAGGCACCTTCGACATTGATACGGTTCAAAGTGGCCAACAATGTAGAGCAACTAACAAACCTCAATTGAATAGGAACCCACGTCACACACAACTCCAACAAAACAATACCCCAGTCCAAGTTAATATTTGTTGTGAAAACGTGCTGAACTACTGCTCTTGTCACTTCTGTAATTTGAGAAGTGGCGTTGCTGTTGAAAAATGCCCTCAACGCATTCATTGCTTCTTCGTTGACATCAGTCAATGTCAATGCATCATTATCAAAATCAGTTTCAATCTGGTTGTTAAGATGGGTATGCGATTTTTGCAGTTGAACACGCGACAATCTCTTTCCGTCAGACTCAACATTAATGCTTGACCTCAACCTTTGCATTAGACTGCTGATATTGTTATTGTGCATTACAACCTGGACTAAAAAGGGAATTGATACGGCAATAAACTTTTTCGAAGTGCTGCTTGTAAAGCTCAAACAATTGGAGATTGCATATATAGCCTTTAATGAGACCATTTGCCAGTCATACTGATTATGGGAAATATTCTTTTCCTTTCCCAAGGAAATCAACTGTTGAGTGAGATCAGTGAAATCTTGTACAAACCCTTTATCACCACTAAAAAGCGCACCGTCCAATTTCTCACACAATACTTCATATGTCTTGACCACATTCTTGCACACGGCTATATCTCTAGTTTCGAGACAGATCTTGAAAATATTGCAGGCCTGAGGAGCAAAGACGTTCAAATTTTCACTACACTTGATGATCAATTCTTTAATAATTGCCAATGTGACTTGCAAGTTACCTGTACGATTCCTTGAAGCATCATGTTGAGTCTTGTCTTTGAGAAAGTGAATTACCTTCTCCAACTTGACTCTACGTGTTGATGCATAGTACAATAAATAGCTTAGTTCTGATGAGTTCGGCTTTTTGTCGGTGGCTTTTCCAGCTGGATAGCACTGAAGAATAAGCTTTTGATGTTTATGTTGAAAGATTTTGTTCATGATGGCCAATTACTAGTGTGTGTTAAGTAACGGCAATTGAAATTGGTTGATTCAAGTGAACTAAGTGGTGAGACTACTTCGTATCAATAAACTTGAAAATTAATAGATAGCTTCTCAAGCGGAAATGTTACCAGTAATAATCGACTCTGTTGGTGATAATAATACTTGAATTTGTTGAATAATGGAGCACTATGCTATGAAAAGGTTCTATTCTGTACCTCTCTTTCAAATGGGTGATGAAATGATATAAAGTGCTACTGGTAATGCTTGATAAAAGATTTAGTGGGGTTTAGTTAGTGTTTCCCTTTGATTGTATTTATATGATGTTGAAATTGGTGAATTTTGTATTGTGTCTTTTCAATGTTCTTTTGTTTTTTTTGTTTTATTTGTTTTTTTCAGAGACAGATAGAAGTGGAGATTTTGGTAAAATCCAAATCTCTTTTTTTTGCATCTGATTTTTTATTTTAACTCTAATCAAAAAAATAAGTTATTGCCAAATTGGGTATAAACCCTATTCTTTCAGTTATAACACTACTGGCAGATTAAGCTGTTTAGAAAAATGCGTCTCACATTTTGAAATGAAACAAGACTTTGCGTATTTGTGAGTGCTTCAGCCATATAGGCGTAGACCTGAAAGGTTGGAAAAAGGTTTTTGGGAGAATCACCTTCAAAGTGACACATATTATGTGTACCTTTTCTATATTCAAGATCAATGATTAACAATGCTTTTTCATTGATAAGCGTACCTGTAGTCTATAGCTTAAAACTCTAGATCATTTATGGCAAAATATTGTTGGCAGTAATTTTAAAAGAGAACAAAAGTGTCCATCCTTGTAATAAAGCTTGTATTTGCCCCAGATTCAATGCCAGCTAAGGAATTGATGCGGACACATGCTGAGCTGTAACACTTGCTCGAGCTTTACTCATGTACCGATATTGTCTCATCTGAGGGTTTGGCTTACGCCGCACCAAAGAAAAAAAATAAAGAGAAAACATCTTGTAAATCAGTGACATTTCTACTGACACGTTCCATACAAATGTCGTCGTATGTGAAAGGAGGAGCATGGACAAGTATCGAAGATGAGATTTTAAAAGCGGCTGTGCAGAAGTATGGCACCAATCAATGGGCAAGAGTTTCATCATTGCTTCCTAAAAAGACAGCAGCTCAAGCAAAATCACGATGGGTCGAGTGGTTGAATCCGTTGATAAACAAGTCGGGTTGGACGCCTGACCAGGATAAGAGGTTAATTGAGTTAACTAGATTATTGCCAAATCAGTGGAGATCCATCGCGTCCACCATTGGGAGAACAGCAACTCAGTGCGTTCAGAGATATCAGCAATTAATCGACGAAGCGTCAGAAAATAATGGTAACGATTTAAAATTGTCGGGACCAGGGATTGAGACATTACCTGCCGTGGGACAATCAGCTGCTGGGATCATTGATAATGACGAGACAAATAATGATCCCAACTTTGCGCACGAGACACGGCCGGCTCACGTCGGATCTGATGAAGATGACGACAGTATGGAGGATGACGATAGAGAAATGCTTGCTGAAGCCAAAGCTAGATTATCTAATACTCAAGGTAAAAAGGCAAAGAGGAAAGCACGTGAGAGGATGTTGGAGGAAAGTAAACGACTTGCTTTGTTGCAAAAGAGAAGAGAAATGAAGGCGGCAGGGATCAATATCAGTTTGCGATCAAAGAATAAACGAGCAAAAAAGGATTTTGATTATAATGCAGACATCCCACATGAAATTGTTCCACCAGTTGGTCCTTATGACGTCAATGAAGAAACCAGGCACAATGAGATGGAGTTGGAGCAGTTTAGAAACCAAGTAGCTAAACAAGGGGTGAGTTTGAAGGAAGTTGACGAGAAGGTTAGTGTTATAAAAGAAAAGCCCCGAGATGAGAAGAAAAGAAGGAGACCGAGTGATGCAATGAGCGAACCAAGGGAACTCGATACGAGGCGAGGAATAGAGTTTAAGAAACAAAAAGTGGAAGCGTATGAGCCAGCGGTGCAAGAAAAAGAAATAGAATCTGCATCGCAGCTACGATCACCAAAGAAGCCCAAAAAAGCTATTGTTCCTGTACTAAAGTCTCTTTTCGAGCACTTACCAGAACCTAAACATCATCAAGGTAAGCCCACGTCTATATTTGATGAAGTCAAGAGTGAATTGCAACTTCCAGTAGGCTCGTATGACACACTTAACTCTAACATGGAGACTCAACCAGAAGTATTGCCAACTTTTGACCAAGGCAAAAGCAAACAAAGAAGATCTCAGGCTATACAGCGAGACCTCCCTATTCCAAATCCGCTAACGGCAGAAAAGTTTTCAAATTTTCCTCAAGCAGTAGGTCTACAGGAAGAGCTCGCCCAAGAGTTTCGGAATTTGATTGGGTTAGACTATCGAAAGTATAAGGATCCCAGTTTCTGTGCGTCACTTAAGGATGATTTAGGTCAGGAAATATATGACAAGGTAAACAAAGAAGTTGATGATGAATGGAAGAAATTACAAGAAACTAATGAGGGACGCTTGTTGGAACCACCAAAGGCGGAATCACTCCTACGGTCATTCGAAGCAGCGGAGAAAGTAATTGGCAAATTACATGCGCTCCATGATAAGTCACAGAGTTTACTCTCTAGTAGTGTTAATACTTCACATTATGAAGCAGAGAGTGATGGTAAATGGAGTCGAATTTTGCAACATTTCCAAGACTTGGCTGCACTTGATGCAGAGTATGCACTAGTGCAGTCCACTTTGAATAATGAGAAAAGAGGAATAGATGTTGAATCCAAGAGGTTAAAACTTTCTGTAGATCGAATATTCGATTGTGTCGAACTGATACGACAAAGAATAATATCGAACAGCATCCACAAGCAATAAACGGATTTATAAAGTTATATATGAGTAGAAAATTAACAACATTTTTTGTACCAAGTAACATTTTGTCAATGCTGAAGCTTTATTCGAGACGAAGTTTATTGTAAGCATGTCTAACTTCTTGTTTGGGATGCGCGCGCATTCAAAAAGAACCAAACTTATAAACAAAACTCTTTAGTCTCCATTAAGCTCTACATGTCAATGACAACCAATTTGTTGAGTATTCCCTTCAAGCAGTCTAGACCTCTAGACCTAGGTGAAGAATTGGGTAAAACAATAAGTGAACGATTTTTCCAGCCTGCGACTTCATTTAAATCAGACCTAGCGTACCTCACGTCGCTTCGCAATGAAATCACTGACATTAGCAACAATACAGCTTTCCCCACAACAAAAGCCACACTTTTGAAGTTTTTGGGCAAATTCCACGAGTATCTAGGCTCGATTAAGTCAGTTGAACAGAAATTCCCCTCTGATTGCATTGAGTTTGGTTGGTTCATTACAATTTACAATGCCCCTATTGGTCCTATAAAGTTGCGATCATTGGAATACGAGAGATTATGCATTATATTTCAAGCTGGTGTTACGTACTCCCACCTTGCTTTAAGTGAGTCTAGGAATACAGATGAAGGGCTTAAAAACTCATGCCAGTATTTTCAAAATGCAGCTGGTTGTTTTGCATATATATTGGATATAGTGTCCAACGAGCCACACATCGAGATATCAGGGGACCTTAACAACCAGACAATTTCTTGTCTCAAGGAGCTCATGCTTGCTCAAGCTCAAGAAACTATTTGGCAAAAGGCAAGGAATAACGAGTCAACTAAGGACTCCATTATTGCACGACTATCTTTTCAAACTTCCGAATATTATGCAGAGGCATTAAAGTTTGCCAAGCTGTCGGACTTCATCAAGTTGGAATGGGTCAATCACATTGCAGTCAAGAGGTACCATTTCTTATCCGCAGCTCATTACAGAAGCAGCGCAGTCGCTCTAAATTCGCTCCAATACGGTGATCAAGTTGCACATTTACGAGTAGCTTCAGAAGCAATTTCAGAAGCATTAAAGCATAAAAAGTACGTTAGTGAGTGTGCGATTGAAGATACTATGGGATTGGCTGGAACTGTTCGTTCGACCCACAAGATCGCAGAGAGGGATAACGATTTGATTTATTTAAAAATTGTTCCTTCAAACAGTGAGCTCAAGCCCATCAATGGGGTATCAATGGTAAGAGCGAATGATTCGGCAGTTGATGAAAATGTTAAGCCCAAACCTTTATTCAAGGACTTGTTACCGTTTGTTATTGTTCATGCTGCTCAAGCCTTTAAATACAGGACGGACGACTACATAAGAAACGTCATTTATGAGCCAATTCAAAACCTAAATCACTCTATTGGCAAATTTCTCAATGAAAGGAACCTCCCAACCAGTATTGATGCCCTTCAGCAACCAGAGAATTTGCCAGAAAGCGTACTTAGTCACTCTCGTGGAGTCATGAACTCTGGGGGTTTGCAAGTTATTGAGAATACACTTTCAGAGATCCACCGCTTAAGCATTGCTTGTCAAAAGTTGGTTGCTGAATGCGAGACTCGGATAGATTTAGATAAACGTGAGGATCAAATGCTCAGAGAAAAGCAGGGAACGAATGAGATTAAAAGGGAGAATACTGATAAAGCAGCTAGAGCATTTATTGAAAAGATACAACGAATGAAAGATTATCTTGAAGAGGCAAGGAAAGGAGATGAAGTTGTTAGAAAGAGATTCTTGGAGATCAGGGATGTGCTAGAAGTTTATCTGGGAGGCTTTCAGTCTTTGAACAAATTTGTGCCAAACTCAAATTATATAAAGCTAGAAAAAGTGGTAGCTGATATCGCTGCAGCCTTGCGAGATTACATTGACAAGTTGTATTTCCTTGAATCAGAAAGACAAAAGTTTCTTCGTCAGCTTGATATCAAGATGAAAGACGGCAATCTTTTGCCGAAATTAGTGGATGAATATAAACGAAATGACAAGGCTATGTATGATGACCATGGTAATTTCAAGTCAGCCAGGCTTGAGTTAGTCTATGAGGATCATTTGAAATCCTTTTCCACTGAATTAGCTTTTCTTGATGCGACAAGAGCAAAACAAGTGGAGCTCGAACGAGAAATTGATGTTGTCAACCGCAAGTTTATCAACCAGTACCAAATCAATGTTACTTCAACACAACAAAAGAGACAAGAGGCATTACGAACACTAGGTACCGCTTTTGTGAAGTACAATGAAATCCTTTCCAATCTTGCTGAGGGATCGAATTTCTACAACGATTTCATCACGAAAGGGAATACCGTCCTACATGAATGTGAAGACTATTTGAACCAGAGAAGGTTGGAAAGTCGTGAAATTGAGACACAGCTTTTGCGACTGGATGAGAATAATCATGGTACCACTGTGAGATCCCCACCAGTTGTATCACTGATTGCCAAAAAATCAAATGTTTGGGATCCAAAATCCGATATAAGGTTTGGTTAGAGAGAAAGAACACAAAGAAAAAAATTTTTTTTTTTTAAATTGTGCATCTGTCTTAGCTTCGTAGATTCTACAACATATCTCCAGAATGTCTAACGTATGATATCTAAGTTATTCAATTTCTTAAAAGTACAAATGAGTAAACCGTTAAAGAAACCAATAATAAGTATTGTTGGTACTACAGGTGTTGGAAAATCTCAATTTAGTATTGAGTTGGCTAAACAGATTAATGGTGAAGTTGTCAATGCCGATTCAATGCAGGTCTATAAAGGAGCTGACATCATCACCAACAAACATCCCATTGAGGAGCGTGATAATGTTCCCCATCATGTGATGGATCATGTTGATTGGAGCGAGGAATATTTCATCCATCGATTCAATAAGGAAGCTAATCAAGCAATTGAAGATATACACTCACGAGGTAAAATCCCGATTATAGTTGGTGGCACACACTACTACCTCCAGACGCTACTTTTTAACAATAAAACTATAGAGAAAAGTAAAGAAAGGGAGTTGACAGTGGAAGAAATTGCATTGTTGGATGGTCCAACAGAACGTTTATTCAAAGAGTTACAAAAGATAGATCCGCTTGTGGCTGAAAAGTTCCATCCTCAAGATCATAGAAAGCTACGACGTGCAGTTGAGATTTGGTACACTACCGGTCAAAAGCCATCTGACTTGTATCTAGAACAAAAGTTGGACGAGCTAGAGCGAAGTTCGTTAAAATACAATACTCTACTATTCTGGCTTTATTCGGAACCGATTATTTTACAAGATCGACTAGATAAAAGAGTTGACAAGATGATGGGTATGGGGGCTAAGGAGGAAATTGATGAATTGTATCAATACTACGTGAAAAATGAGAGCAACTGCGCTAGTGGGGTATTTCAAGTTATAGGTTTCAAAGAGTTTTTGCCGTGGTTGGAAAACGGCAAGCAGAATGAGGAAGATTTTCTGCATGGGCTCGAGCGGATGAAAATCAGGACTCGGCAATATGCCAAGTATCAGGTTAAATGGATCCAGAAGACTTTGCATTTAGAGCTCCAGAAAGAAGCCAAATTCGATTATGTCAACGGTGGACGATTATACGTTTTAGACGCGACAGATTTATCTCAATGGGATAGTAATGTACGCAGTCGGGGTTTGACCATCGCTGATCAATTCTTTAAACAGCAACATGTGACATTAAAAGAAGCTCCTGACAACCTAGCAAATCTTCTTAGTGAAAAGTCGAATTTGAAAAGCAACAAAAGTTTTGGTTCAGAGCAAAGGTGGAGACATTTCAAGTGTGATATTTGCAACGATAAAAGTGGAGAGGCATTTGTCGCTGTGGGGGAAGACAGTTGGAACCTTCACTTGAACAGCAGAAGGCATAGGAAAAATACAACTGCGAGTAGCAAGAGAAAACATACAGAGGAGATGATACGTTTACATAAAAGGCGAGACAATCAATAAGGAAGTGAGGTGGTTTGAATCTCTAATGGCAAACCTTATTGCCTTTTCATTGAGCAATACATAATACCATTAGACGCGTAAGTAAAGACTTTCTGTTGCTAAAATCTCTATTGGAGTATGATTTTCTGAAATACATTGGGTAGCGCCCTTGTTTACCATTTCCGGATTAGGATGTTGATCCAAAACACCCCTAGATCTTCGCTGCGATAAACATTTGTACTATTTAACCACACAGTTATACCATTCTTACGGAGTCAAGAGAAAGCGCATATATATTTCAATATGGCGCTCTTTGAAGACCAGTTTTCTAGTATTGATATCAATAAATCGCCAAGAAGAAGAAAAGCTTATCCACAATGTCTATATCCAAAGAACCAGACTCCGTCTCATGAGAGTATACAGCCATCGCAGTTGGAAACACCAAAACGACAACCTAGCAATGATACCAAATCAAAAAGCACTGTGAGGCGACAACAACGTGTTCAAAGTGACAACACTCATGAAGCGTGCCCTTTTTCTGAAACAGCAGTGTCAAAAAAAGACTTCCAGTTTTCATTCATGAGAGCAACTTCATCGTCGATTCAAAAGAGGCAAAGTTCAAATCCTTTCAGTTCTTTGTCATCCTCGAGTGCAGTCGTTACTCCTTCGTCTACGCGGAAAAGATATGAGTATTCAAGACATCTTTCAAACAGTTCACGGACAAGAAGAATAGCACTGGGTCAAAATTTGGCAAAAAACTATAACACAATCTCCGCTCCGCTTGAACTTGAGTGCTTGAATGACTCGCCTTCCAAAAGTGCCATAAATAAAACAAACACATCGTGTGTTGAAGCGTCGCCAACTAAACCAAGGCGACACGTGACGCAGCCTATATCTTCTCTGTCGGATGTATTTCAGAGACTATACACACTGAAACCAAAATCGAGTGGCAAGAACCTTCAAAGTCATACTGTGACTGCACCGAAATCCTCAAACGGGGTGAAGGTACAAACGGTTGGCGAACTTTACAAGACGTTGTATGAAAAAGATGCCATGTTATTCAAATCTTCGACCTATAATGTTTCAGAAACATCTGCTAAAAAAACAATAGATATCAAGAATGTATCCCTTGATCAGCTTAACATATACGAAAGAGGAGAAATAATACGAAAGGAGGATATATACTATGTGCCAACGTCACACGAACGCAACATCAACTTAAAGAGTTATGGGAACAATTTTGGATTCGATGACAACACGGGAAATTACATAATATATCCACATGACCACATAAACTACAGGTTCCAGATTTTGCAAAACATCGGCAACGGGTCTTTTGGCAATGTGATTGTGGCCAAGGATCACAAGTTTATAGGAGACAATTTGGTGGCTATCAAAATCATCAATAACAACTTTAATTCATCTATTCAATCAGTCAATGAGATAAAGATGCTCAAGCATATGAAAGGGAAGCCGCATAAAAATATCATTGACTTTTATGAACACTTTAATTTCAGAAGTCATATCTGCATTGCAACCGAAGTGCTTTCACTAAACCTATATTCTGTTCTTGAGATTATCAATTTTCGAGGATTCTCCATCGATTTGATTAAGAAATTCTCGACACAGATTGTAAGTGGGCTCGCATACCTACATTCTTTGAAAATTGTTCATTGTGACATTAAACCGGAAAATGTTATGATCAAGTTACCAGAGTGCCCTCAAGATGAAAGTCTTGTCGTCAAGATAATCGACTTTGGCTCTTCTTGTTTTGACAATAAAAAGACGTTCACATACATCCAATCGAGGTTTTACAGAGCCCCAGAAATTATTTTGGGGGCAAATTATGATAACAAAATTGATATTTGGTCGTTAGGTTGTCTATTGGCCGAATTATTTACTGGCTCGCCTTTACTAGCAGGAAAGAATGAGATTGACCAAATCGGGTTGATGTTTGAAATTTTTGGTGCTCCCAAGTCTTCAACTATCCTAAGGATGCGATCAAAGTTATCGAGAAATTTACTCCATTCATCAGAGAAGGTAAATTTGACATTGAATTCACCAAGTGAAAAGCAGATAAGAAAGACATTGTTGTACAAAATATTCGATCTTAATGGTAAGATCAACATGTCCATTTTAAACCATTACAAAACAGCATCAAATTCCACAAAGAAGCAATTCAAATTGAACTCGAAGAGCTTGGAAGTTTGTCTTGGTGTTGGAAGTTCAGGATCGACATCTGCTAAGCAGTTTATAAGCTTCTTGAGACGTACATTTGTTTGGGAGCCAATGGATAGAGCCAGTGTAGACGATTTACTAAAAGACGAGTTTCTAGCATGAATACTTTATTTAAATATAGAATGACAATCTATTAATCATCACATTCATGGATGACCATGATGAGATCCCGGCCACGCACTAATTTTTTCAGCCCTAGGTGTACTTGCTCTGCTGCTTTCGCCACTTTCACTCATCTCTGTCAATTCCACTATATTATCGCTAGTCTCAACAAATAAATTCACTTTTCTTTCAAATACGCCTCTTAACTCCTGCTCTTCAAGAGTAGTCATGAATTCCTTAACTTCGGCAAGTTTCTCTGCTTCCAAGCTTTCTAAACTTCGGATAAACCTCGACCCAAAATTAGAATCGATTGGTAAATTACTATATATCTTTCTTTTCAAGATACCCACCGTTCGTAAGTTATCAAGCAATTTATCGTAATAGATCTCCGGGGTTAGTGTGACTGAGGCATTGTTTGACTTTGCGGGAGGGTTGATGAGTAATAGTGCTGCGTAATACAACATTACATGTATATGCACGGGAACATACTTCAAATTATCAAGAATATCTTTATCATTAATGACCAAATTTATGACAGTGTGGGCTGCATTCAAAGCTATGTTGGCGTTGATGGCGGCTTCATCAGGCGATAGCAACTCCTTGTTAGAGATGAACTCATCTTCCTCGCGCGACGAATCAGAATCCGAATCTTCTTCACTGTCAATTTCCTCTGTTGGTGGTCTCCTCTGTATCCCCGTACCCATATCCCCTCTTATAGTGTTATCCCAAGCCGGAAATAACCCACTACCGGTTGGATTCATTGATAGCTGTCTAACTGCTGACGAGTTTATATGCATTTTAGCAAAGTTGTAATATATCAAAGTGCTCTTTGTCGACCACACGGCTCCATAGTTTCCAGGAGCTAATAACACGGTCCAAGAAACCATCCATTTGTCTAGCTCAAGATTGCTCTTCGACGGGATTCCAAACGCAGATGGCATCAACAAGTCCCAAGCATCGCCACGAAATGCTTCACTCAAAGCTTGGTTATACTCAACTTGAGAAACCAACCTTAGATCGGTAAATTTTTGCTTCAATAGCATTTGGTGCACATCAGCTTCAGTAGGTTCCGTACTTACCAGTGCATTTGATTCGATCTTGTTCTCTAATTGTCTCTTGGCTTGTGATATTTGCTTTTCATCCTCATTGACTAAAAGCTCTCTGCTATGTTTTAAAGAATACTCTTGAGAACTAACCAACGGCTGCCTGTTGAATGCCATACTCTGTTGACCATCCAACACATACAACAAATACCAAAGTTTCAAATCGTCCTTGTTCTTGCCGTAATTGGGGTTGTTCAACCCATACTCCTTAGCAATCTGTAGGGCTAACCCAGTGAACATTTGTGAATCAGATAGCCAGAAACTGCACAATATTAATGCAACAATTGTATTAAAGGCACTTGACTTATCCGTCGGTCTATTTTGATAAAAAAGAGTACCGCACAAATCCCGCAAGTAGCCCAGTAGTTGCGATGCCTTGGAGGAGAGCTGAGGATGATGAATTGATGCAATCGTTGAAACGGCACAAACAAGAACAGGGCATGTCTCCCAAATATCGTCGACTTTGAACTTTGATATCTCGAATCCAAATAATTGTTGAGCTATATTGGAGTCAAAAAACTTAAAAAGATCCTTTGCTTCTCTCTTTGTCAAGAATCCATCCCTGAAATCCTTAGGGTGTGATCTATTGTATTCGGTATCATTATAGCCATCTTCTTGTCCAAGGTTACGGGCCATTTTTTGTCGCTTAGAGCCATTATCAGATGCATGGTGATTTGTGGAAGATATTGGGGTTTCTAAATAACGCAGCTCGATATGTTCATGTGGCTCTCGCAAAGGTTGAAAATGGTTAGCATTGAATCGTGCTTGAATGTCTGCTGAGCCTGGCGTCTTGACGGCATGCGGTTGGTTCAGCTTCAATAGATCTACCAAGGAGTCAATTTTGTTGTCAAAGGAGTTCAAGCGTTGCTCTATATCAGACTTCCACTGCATGTCTTTATTTGAAGCTCGCTCCACATGCAAAGGATTATTTGGGGGTAGTGGCGACAAGCTTCTTTTAAACGGTGGTGAGTTGAAAGTGCTGCGGCTTGGAAGTAATGCTGGTATGTTTGATACCACGGGTTTTTGTCCACTCGCTAGATTCATAGGGTTGAGTGCTATGGGTGTAGCAACAGGGGGTAGCTTGGGTGCATCTGAACCTAGCGACGGTAGCTTCAATGAAGGAAGTTTATGCACAAATTGACAAGTGGCCGCTTGGCCTGTTTTGAGGCATCGTTGGCATGGCAAGGCACCTTCATAAACACATTTAACTTTGGATCGTTTGCAGTTGCAACAAGGTTTAGTCCTCTTTTCCTTTGCCATGGAGACCACAATAATCGTTTAAAAAATGTGGTCAAACGGAAACAGTGCTTTAGTTCTATCTGCTGCTACTTCGCGAAAAGGTTTTTGATGTCTCTGACAATGGTAGCGCTCCTAGTTCTCTTTTTTTTGGTTTGTAGAACTTGAGGAACCCCATATTCGAAAGATCGAGCACAATCTCAGTAGACAACCTCCTTTTAACAACGGCACATCCAAAAATGTCAATGAAAGCCAAAATTAAGTCCTTTTTCGGAGCCAAGAGGCAATATGCCGTGGCTGGTGCTTCTAATAATCCTTCGAAGTTTGGGTACAAGATTTTGAACTGGTATGTGAAGCACAATTTATCCGCTATCCCAATCAACCCAAAGGAACAGGAGATATTAGGCCAACCAGTTGTGTCTAATGTCACTCAAATTATCAAAGCTATTGAAGAGCATAAAGATTTAAATCAGTATAAAACTGCTAGTGTTGATGGTTTGAGCATCTCGTTCTTAACTCCCCCACCAATAACTGTGTCAACGTTGAAAGAAATCTCCAGTATTGATGGCTACAAGTCGGTGATTAAGGGATTATGGTTCCAACCTGGTAGCTATGACCAAGAGGTATTAGACTTGGCCCAGCAATTGGGAGAGTTTGACAAGGTTATCGAAGAAGATGAGTGTATCTTAGTCAGAGGTGAAGAGGGCTTGCTTTCGGCAAACTTGTAATCACGGAATTGACATATTTCACAGTTTATTTATATGATACTATAAATCAATAATCCAAACAGCGTAATCTCAGACATTATACGGTGTAGTTTAATCAAGTATTTTCTTGATATAGGACCCCCATCCCTCGTCACCATCTGAGTTGTGCTTTTCGGGCTTTGATCTTGAATCCTCTTGTACTTTTATTATGTAAGGAAACGGAGAGCTTTCGAGTGAGGTTATAGGCGGTATGTGGTCCTTGTGTCGATCCACGAAATCGTAAATCTTCACCAAACTATCTTCAAAGCTTTTCATAGATATTGTGACTGCCCTTGAGTATTCTAAGCCAGCATGCTTGGGTCGGTGTATGCTTGGACCTTCTTCTATTGGTAGAGATTCGACGTTGATTGTCCACGTTTCCCATGCTTTCATGTCGTCATTCTCATACTCCCTACCAAACCATCCAGAGCTCTTTCGTTTCTCATTAGATTTATTCAAAAATTGGATAGTGATAGTTCCCCTTGCGGGTAGTGGCTTGCCCTCAATGCGAGTGCGTATAAATGTGGTGATCTTTTCCTCTATCAAAGAATCAAGGTCAGGCAAATTTGCCACCAGGGGGTATGTAACATCAAGAAACTCCCTTGTTGCTGGAGTTATTGGTCCAAATAGCCTGTTAAAGAATATAGTCCATATTATGCCTGCACGTCAAAGTTAGTATTTGCCCGTTGTTGAGGTGGTGATTTGCATTCGTGGAGTCTTTGCATACCTTTGATAGATTCTCGTAAGACTGACCTTTCAGCAACTAACTCAATAGTAAATTGCATCTGACCACATTCAAACTAGGTGTGGAGAACGTTTTTGTGGGAGAAAGTCGTTGCAGTATTAGTGGTATATTGATAGAGAATAGTGATATAAAGATTCTAAATATTTTGGTTTTCTGTTGTCTCTCCTTTGACTAAGAAGAACTCCTTTATGCAGTATATGATTCACAGACCTAAATTTACAAAATAAATATACAGCCCTATCTCACTCCCATCCAAAGTTTCAAGATTCTTTGCTCTCTCTTTGTAAGTGATCGAGATCGGCCTCGATCACGCGCTCCAACTCTTTCACAACTTTAGGCAACACCACTAAATTTAAAACCTCCTGCTCTTTCGCGTCAAACTTCAGTAGCACATAGTCAGTCACAGTTTTAGAGCTTGGCCTTCCAATTCCAATAGCGATTTTCGAATATTTGTTTTTGTACATTCCATCAATAGATTTAAGACCATTGTGACCTCTTGAACTCGTGCCCGGTTTCCTGATTTGGATTTTCCCCAACTCTCGCTCCAAATCATCGTGAAGTACTATCAAACTCGATTTTTTATGAAATTGTTGAAAATGTTTGCGTATTGCCCTGCCCTGAAGGTTCATTAAAGTTGAATCAGATATGAACAAGACGAGATTGGGATATTTTTTTGAGAGATAGTAGTTTCCCTTCTTATACAAGTGGTCTTTCCAATACGTGTGGATAAGTTCGTCCATCACTCTATGGCCGACATTATGTCTGGTGTCTTTGTATTCGGGCTCCGGATTTCCAATTGAGCAAACAAAGAGACATCTGTGCAATTGTAGGTATGGGTCAGGTTTTATCGGCAAGAATGCATTAGCAAGGCCCCTTAGCATTTGCTCAGTTCACTTTGTTTTGTTGTTGTGCTCTGCACCTTCTTCCATTGCCAATTCTTTTGGGAACTTCATTTTTTCGAAACCAGCTTGAAGATATTTTAAAGCCGCTTTTATGGAGGATCTGACAGATTCAATGTCACCCTCTTTTTTGACAACCCAATTTGTAACGTTATTGATCCTAGACTATGGTTAGAAAATTGGTCCTTTCATTGAAGTGATCTAAAAAAGATACATACGTAGGCTCGCTTCTGTTTACGTCCGAGTTCAAGCTATGTTCAAGCAAAGCGTCTCTGCGCTGCAAAAAGATATTTGTTAGTGCGACTAGAAACACACAAATGAATAATGCACACATACCTCTGAGCATTCAACCAACTTCAGCTGGATTTCCAGCGAAGAGAAACAGTAATTCTCAAACATGAAAGTGACGCATTCTTGAAATTTATCCCAGTCCATCGCCAACTCTTTGTCTTTCTGATCGACCCACATCTTAAGTTCGTTCAATGCTTTGTAATGAATACTGGACGATACATCTTTCAAATTAACACCACTTTGCTGTAAGCACTTTCTAATATCCTCCAAAGTCTCTACTTCGTGTAATACTTGATTAGGCATTGTAGTCATTTCTATTGTTGCCTGGTATAGTGGTAGTAAGGGAAGAAGGCAGAAAAACAGAAAATGGTTTTCTATTTTTTGGCTGCTAAAAATTTTGATTTATATTTGTTACACACCAAGAAAAGCTAATGAATCAGGAAGTCAATAAAATCTCCAACCAGTTCTCCAAAACACTCAAACTAGTTGACGAAAAGTTTATCAAGAGTGGCAAGTTGGAGTGGAGGCAGATAAGACGTACTCCCCAATTTTGGAAGCAAAAACTTAACTATCCAGGAAACTCATACACAAGTGATGAAGAGTTCAATGCCATGGAGTCACAATTTAAGGCTCAGGAGATCCATTTGAAGGAATTATTGGAAGAATTGAAGGATTTTGCAAAGACTACTTTGGAGTTATTGAAAGGGTCGGAGCTAGTTGCGCATGGGTTTCAGGATATAATCGACCCATATAGTAACTTTAAAAATTCAGCAGACACTATTGATGAAGCTTACAATTCTTGGACCAGGATAAGTACTTACAAACATCACATTCAGTCTATAAATTTTGCTAGCCAAATAAATCTGTTCATCAATAACGACTATAAAAAATTAGAGGAAGTGGGCTGCATATCGAAATTAGTTTCGAAAAAAATTAATTCAAGACACGTATTCTTGTTGGACTATGATAAGCTATACAACGAGTATGAGGTGCTATGTGAAAAGCAAGAGCGGAACGAACTCTCTTTGAAACAAAGTAACAGTATTTACTCGATCAAGCGGAAATTGGACGACAGCAAGGTTAAGTACGAGAGTATCAACGCATGCCTAAAGTCGAACCTCCCAAAGTTTTTATATAATGTACAAGAGGTGATCAATGTGTTGCAGATTAAATTCCAGGTATTGAATGACGATTTTTTTAGGTTGCTTGTAGCAAATTTGCAAATGGTGCAGTCGATTGAAGATATCAGTACCATCACATTTTGTTTCAAAGAGAGAAATGAGCCTCTCTTTTCTGAAATAGAGCAACTTTCAATTATCACGATCAACCACGCTGTTGACTATTCGAAATCGGTACCAGAGGCGGATTTGGGTTTCTGCTACGCACTATATGATTTTAATGGTGTGGAACCTGGAGACTTATCCTTCAAGAGGGGCAACAGAATTAGGATCTTGGAGAGAACAGGATCCTGGTGGGTAGGAGAAATAATGGGCCAACATGGCTCATTTCCTGCAAATTATGTAAAGCTCGAATAATGGTCGTTTCTTTGACTCCAGTTTAATTACACTTTGCTATTATAACTTACGCTGTCAAACCTCTTTCATACTTGTTTACACACTTTTGGCAACAAAATTGTCTTCGAATAGGCACGTTTCTGTTTTGTAGTATATCCCACCATTCCAAAACCTCAGCCATTGGCTCGACAACTATGATACCACACTCCGAGCAAGTGTCTCGGAATTTTCCTTTTTTCAACGCTTCGATAATTATTTGGTGATATAACTTTGGTGTGTGCTTTTTCCACAACTTTGTTTCAGAATAAGATACGTCGTGTTTTGCAATTACGTTGAGGCACAAGGTTTTCAACGTCGGTAATTCACTAACCTTGGGGGTTAGAAGCTTGATTGGCGATCTTGACCTAGGAATAAATGTTTTCGCATCTTTGTGATTCATTGGTATAGCATTGTCTGATACTGGAATAAATGGGTTGGGGCCAGAAGTAAAATTTGTTAGCTTTTTCAACTCAAGAATCTGGTATGGGAGAAACATGAGCTTATTAGAGCTTAATGATAAGTCAATCAAGTTTCCCAATTTTCCAATTAGGGGCGGGACTGATTTTAGTTTATTTCGCCTCAATGATAAAACTTGCAACTTGGTGAATTTAAACAATGAAGGCGGAAGTTGAGTCAAGTGATTTCCTGTGAGGTATAGTTGGTAGGGAAACTCTATGGACGCTTCATCGCTGAAACTGTCAATTATGACCAAGTTATTCAAGTCCTTAATCTCGTCAGGAATCTCGTACAAATTCATTGATTGCAAGTCTATCACTGTTTTAACATTCTCAAATGCATCCAAGATTACATTTCGTGCCTTATTATAGGCAGTATCCCGTTGCTGCTGTCTTACCTCTTCATTCTCTGCATCTGCTTTTGAGGATGACGGTGTGTTTCTTGATTTGTCATTGAAACTTCCTCTATACCTATTGAACTTGTCGATCCCAAAATCAGGTTCAGAACTTATTGGCTTTTGTGGCGACGTCTTCACAATGTCTCGACTGCCCTCGTACTTTTTAGGTGGCGACCTTGGCACTTGGAAGCTCGTTGTAGGATTAGTGGCAAAATCAAATTCCGACATTAGCTCGAACCCATTTTGTTCAGCCCCAACAGGACTGCTTGGAGGTAGTGGAGCACTATCGTTCACCTCTTCGTCAATAAAAGTGGGTTCTTCCTCATAATCAGATTCAGAGTCTTTGTCCCCAATAGTAGCTTTCTTTACGTCGTCTTTATCGTTGAAACTCCTCCCCATTCTCCGTTTTAATGAGGGGGCATTCAGTTGCAAACTTGGTCTGTCAATGCCTTGGTATGCCATAGTTTTCCTTGTATGATAGATACTACTAGCATTTTCATCGATAACTGACTTTTGCCTCGGCGCTTTGTTCAAAACATCGGACTCATTAAACGAGGATGATTTGGAGAATGCAAACGGCAACAAGAAATTTTGCTTTTCCATTTACAATCTTGTATCTGCAACAGTTGGGCTATGTAATTTGAGTTCTGAAAGTGTATGTGTCTATAATGCGTATTGACAAGGTGAATCTGCTGTGAGGTATGATGCAGTAAAGATAATGTCCGGGAATGACATATATAGATGGAGTGGAAGACGAAAACGGGAAAATGGTCAAAAGATGAAGAGAAGAAAAGATCAAAAGATCAAAACGCGTTATTGTTTTTGTGTACAAAAAGTCGCGAAGTGGAAGACCCGATACGGAAACATAGATTTCAATTGTGGTATCGAAATAAAACTGAGGATTTAAATGGTAAAGTTTACATGTATCATGAAGGAGTATTGATATTTCTAGTCCGTAGACTTATTTTAATTAAAGATGATTAACTGATCAAGGGATCAAGATCAAACGGAGTTGGAGATAGCCCAGACAAAAAAGATACTTCTTTGTACCAATTTAGCGCAAAAAGTTCGTAAGACAATAAGGATATAAAACATTCCACTTGAGGCCAAAACGAAAAAAATATATAACAGGATGCTATGTTATACAACTACTAAACCTAAAGTAGATCCTTTAGTCCTTTATTGGCCGTATCTTTGATTCAAAAGTACGACCATTAAGATAAGTTTCTTATCTATTTGAAGTATTTAACTGTGGCGCGCAAACTTTTGTAATAAAGATTATAAAATTGCCGATGGTACACAATTCGTGCCGTTCCACCAGAAAGTAAAAAGATAACCGCCTTTGATTAAGACTTGGAAAACTTTAAGCAGTGGGTATTTAATAGGAAAGGGCAGTAAAGCTCAAAGAACATGATGGTTCTTAGAAGTTAAGGATAAGGAAGCTAAACTGTTGTGTAGTCAAATCCATTAGTATGAGAAAGCACTTACTCTCTTCAACTAAACTCTAATGTGTACTGCCAAGCGTTCCATTTTAGTAACAGATTAATGCCGACAACAATCACAAAGCCAATCGTCAAACCCATTCAATAAAGTGGCTCTTTGTTTCGACAGCTGAAAGAACGCAATTTGCGATGCAAAACAAAAACAAAAGTAAAAAAGAGAGTAAAAAGTAGGAAGGCTTCGATAAGATAAAAACCCCTTGAAGATTCTCATATATAAAATAGCCAAACCACAATATTGAAAAACAATATAACAAGGTTCAGCTATCTCAACCAAAGTCTACACCTGCTGACACTTTCTTTTCAAAAGAATAATCAAGAATGAGTTTGTTTTCAGATGGCTCCGCCACTGGACCAGAATTTCAAATTACCAGTCTCGAATTCTCCGTCCTCAACCCCCTTGCTTTATTGCACAATTTCAGACACTCAATATTTCCTTCGGAAGCCAGTGTTAATGTGTTTCAATCTACTAGCTGGTCACTTCCGCCGCCTTTGTATTCGCCTCATAGAAATGCCTTGAACCCCCTGTTCTTGATTCTTATTGGGAGCAGCTTGTCCTTGATATTTTCAGTATTCATTGGTGTCCAAATTGTACAACTTTTACGATCAAAAACATTTGCATCCAGAAAATCAACGGGAACTTCGTGGTCCCAGGTTGTTCGAGTCTTTTTAGTGTTAACTCAATTCGTCCTGTTGCTTGCGCTTTACACCCTAGTGGAGAATAGTTTTATTTTCAACAACATTGTGGCAACGTCACTCGCCACTGTATTACATTTACTTGAGTATAGAAAATCGTCTGTGCCAGTGGCATCACTACTTTTCTATTGGCTTGCAAATTCATTATTCCTTTTTGTTGTCGTGGTCCAGGACTCTGTATCGAAACATCATGTGCTTCTGGTCGATTCTGTCAGCTATGCTTTTGAAGTTGCAGTACTTGCAACTAGTGGATTGCTTCTTATTCTCGAATCTGGATTCTATACTCCAGGCTTTCAATTAGAGGACAACGATAATAGAGCCTCCATTTTTTCACTGCTTTCATTCAGCTTCATACAACCGGTCATCGACAAGGTCTACCTGACGGATGACATCAAGCTTTCAGAACTTCCCAAAGTAGCCGATAATCTAGCTTGCGATGAAGTATATCCGGTTTTAAAACATTACTGGAGTTACGAGAAAACCGTCAAGTTCCATTTTCTCAGCAAAGTTTGGTCGGTGATTAGAAGACAAAAGTATGAGAACTCACCAGTATTGTTTGCAGCAGTATTCAAAACATACTATGGATATTTATTAACCAATCTCTTGTTGTCCTTTATCGAGACGGTTTTGCAGTTTTCTCAGCCATTTGTCTTGATGAAATTTCTTGCATTTTTTGACATCTATCTTTCCAGTGCTGAGGATAACAAGCCGCCAATTATCATTGGGTATTACTGGGCTGGTGTTATGTTCCTTATAGTAGTGGGCAACTTCATCGTTTATAACCAGATGACTATTTTGCAGAATAAATTGGCTGTTAGTATTAGATCCTCATTGACAACTTTGGTGTACCAAAAGGCATTAAACTTTTCCCCAGCATCGAGACAGAAGAAGCCAACCGGTGATATTATCAACAACATTTCAGTAGATATTGGTCAAATAAATGGATTGTTTTTGCAATTAGGCGACTATTCTGCGGCTCCAATCAAGTTAGTGGTGTGTCTTGTTGCATTATACAAATTCTTCAATGCAGCATCTTTCTTTGGACTTGGGGCCGCATTGTTATCGGTACCACTAGTTACATTAATCAATGCGACTGTGATCACTAGCTACAAACGGATGATGAAGGACAAAGATGATAGGACAACATTGATTACCGAGATTGTTAATCTGGCTAAGAGCATCAAATTGTATTCATGGGAAAAGCCAATGTTGGAAAGATTGAGCGATATCAGAAATAACAGGGAGCTACAAAATCTTAAACTGATTGGTGTCATTATTGCTCTTGCACAGTTTTTATGGACATGTGTGCCATTTTTTATCAGTTGTGCTTGTTTTGCCGCATTTGCTTGGTTGTACAGTATTCCATTGACTCCTGAGGTGGTATTTCCGGCATTGAGTTTGTTTGATTTGTTGATGGAACCAATGATGACTATACCGAGTGTAGTAGTGCGCGTAGTGGAAACGAAAGTATCGCTAGGTAGATTGACGGAGTTATTGGTATTGGAAGAATTAAGTCCCAATCAGAATGGGAAAATCAAGCGGGAGCTTTTACCGAAAGGTGACTTCTCGGTGAAAATAGACAACGCCAACTTTGTATGGAACGCCAATGAACCAGATCAATCGTATAAAGACGAAGAAGATGAAGTTGTGGGCCAGAGCTTGAAGAATGTTGCCTTGAAAGATATTAATTTTGTGGGCAAGAGGGGAAAATTGACTTGCGTGGTTGGAAAAGTTGGAAGCGGTAAGTCTACCTTGCTAAGCGCGATTCTTGGTGACATTCCTATTCAAGGAGCCAACTATCAAGATGAAGAGAGTGCTTCACAGCCAAAGATCGAGGTATTTGGCTCTATCGCTTATTGTCCACAATCACCCTGGATTTTGAACGGTACGGTCAAAGAGAACATCTTGTTTGGTCATAAATACGATTCCGAATTTTACAGAAAGACGATCATTGCTTGCGAGTTGGTTTCTGATTTCAAAACGTTACCAGATGGCGATAAAACAAATGTGGGAGAAAAAGGGATATCATTAAGTGGTGGCCAAAAGGCGCGTATTTCCTTGGCAAGAGCTGTTTATGCAAGAGCTGACATATATCTTCTTGATGACGTGTTATCTGCTGTTGATGCTCATGTGGGAAAAAACTTGATTAAGCAAGTTCTTGCTAGCGATGGAATAATTGGAAATCGTACCAAAATTTTAGCCACAAATTCCGTTCCTGTTTTGCATGAAGCCAATGACATTTATCTTTTGGCAGGTGGTGCTATGATTGAACATGGGAATTATGACAATGTGATGAGTAGAAAGGGGGACTTGGCAAATTTGATTAACGAATTTGGTAGACAAAATTCCGATAAGCTGAGAGAGGCGACACCTGACAATGAAATACCAGGAAAAGACTTGGTAGAGCTCGAGGAGGCAGAGGTGGATCATACTCTTCGCGAAACAATTGATGTAGAACTTACGTATGGTTCATTGCGCCGAGCAAGTGTCGTCTCCTTTGATCACGAATATTCGGATGATGATGAGGATGATTATCAGGAGAATTCGGATGGCTCGAATAATCGTAAGACCGAGATACAAGAGGAGGAGAAAGAAAAGGGAGCTGTTCCACTTAAAACTTTTTTCCGATACATCAAGGAAAGCAATGTTGGCTACTTTTCGATATTTTTGATATCTAGCATCGGAGTTAGTCTCCTCAATGTGGCAGAGACGTATATTTTGAAAGAATGGTCAAACATAAACAAAGATCACAATTCAACTGTAAGACCAGGATTCTTCTTGGGATTATACTTTGGAGTTGGTGCTTTGGGTGGGGCTTTGACCTATTTGGGCTTATTCATCTTTTGGTCCTTTTGTATTATTCGCGCTGCGGGGTACTTCCACGACACTATGGCTAAATCAATTTTGCGCTCGCCAATGTCCTTTTATGACACTACTCCCGTGGGTAGAATATTAAACAGATTCACCCAGGATATCTCCAACTTGGATATGACATTGCCTTTTACATTGATAAGCTTTCTCCAGTTGATGGTTAAAGCCGTTATTACGTTGGCCGTTGTTGTTGCCTCGTTGCCCAGTATGCTTGTGGTAATTTTAGTTTTAGGAGTGATATACAACTACTACCGAGCAAGATTCATCCCTACCTCAAGGGAGTTGAAACGATTGCAATCTGTTGTGAACTCGCCAGTTTTGTCAGTAATCCAGGAATCACTAAATGGTGTTGAAACAATAACTGCATTCCACCAAAAAGACAGATTTATCCACAAGTGTAAAAGATTCATTGATGAACGGACTTTGGTTAATATCGTGAATGTTGATATCATGCGGTGGTTATCAATGAGATTACAGTCTATTTCTGCTGTGACATTACTAGCAGCTTCTGTGTTGTCCGTGCATTCGTTAACTGGAAGCCATCCTTTAGTACCAGCCATGGTTGGTTTTGTCTTGACTTATGTCATCACTGTGCCATCCATCTTGACAGCCATAATCAACTCATGGAGTATGGTTCAATCTAGTGGTGTTGCATTGGAAAGGATCATCGAGTACTGTGACTTGCCGTCGGAGGCTCCTTTGATCATCGGGGACAAGAGACCGGATGCTACATGGCCAGCTCATGGTGTCGTTAAATTCAACAATTACAGTACTAGATATAGAGAAAACTTGAATCCGGTATTGAAAGACATTGGATTTACCATTGAGTCCAGACAAAAAGTGGGTATTGTTGGAAGAACAGGTGCTGGAAAATCATCGTTGACTTTGGCCTTGTTCAGAATCATTGAAGCTACTGGTGGTAATATTGACATTGATGGAATCAACATCAGTGAGATTGGCTTGTATGATCTTAGACACCACTTGACCATTATTCCACAAGAGGCACATACCTTCAGAGCATCAGTCAGAGAGAATTTGGATCCCTTTGGCGAATACAATGACGAAAAATTGTGGAGGGCATTAGAGTTGGCCCATTTAAAGGAGCATGTTGAAAAGATGGAATCGGAGCCAACCGAAGCGGAGAAGGAAGCAAGCAAGAATCCTGACGAGCTACCCAAGAAACGCGGGTTGGATGCTGATATTGAAGAGGGTGGTTCCAACTTGTCAGCAGGACAGAAACAGTTGTTATGCTTGGCCAGGGCTTTGTTGAATGAGACTAGTAAGATCTTGGTGTTGGACGAAGCCACTGCTGCGGTCGACTTCCAAACAGATAAGATCATTCAAGAAACAATCAGAGAACAGTTCAAAGACAAGACCATCTTAACTATTGCCCATAGAATCGACACCATCATGGATAGCGATAAGATTCTAGTATTGGACCAAGGTAAAGTTGCTGAGTTTGACACACCACAGAATTTGCTCGAGAATAAAAACAGTATATTCTACTCTCTTTCAAAAGAAGGAGGTTACATAGATTAGTGATTTTATTATAAATATTCATTGATTAGATTTGTCAAATCCGCTCTTTGTTTCATCAACTTGGTCTTTCGCTCCTCGCTGATCGGTCCCTTTAACAACTTCTTATTAGCAGCTGAGCAAAGGCCCTTTCGGCCGAGTGCACAAACGTCACAATTGCTGGCTCTTGGCACACATATTACCTGACCAAATCCAACGATCAAAGGGTTGATGTCGCTCCAGTACTTTTTGGGTAGCCAGCTTTCTAGCTCGATGCGACACTTTTCTGGGGTCGTTGCTTTTGCCGAGACCCAATGCCATAACAATGCTAGCCGATGCAAATGCACATCCACCCCTATTCCACTATTAATGCCCCAACCGGCTTGGAGTAAAAGGTGGCCCATCTTCGGACCCACCCCAGGTAGTCTAACAATATCCTCGATAGTTTTCGGTATATCTCCTTCAAACTCAGATTTCAATACCTGGCACGTCTTTGCAATGTACTGGGCTTTTCGGTTATGAAATCCGACTTTACAGATGTAGGAATCAATCTCAGCTTCTGTCAATTGTGACATAGCATCGAGACAAAAACCTTGATCGTGCTTCTCTCCAAGTCCATCATTTAGTTTGACCATTGCTTCGTAATTCACCTCATCCTTTGTTTGCGAACTCAACATTAGGGAAATGAGTAATTGAAATCGGTACTTCTTTGAATCGTGGAACTTTAGCCCAGGAGTTATTGTGTTTGGCATGCTCTCGCATCCTTGACTATCAACTGGGGCCCAAAATTTGGCTCTCATTTCCACAATCTCATTATAAATGTTGGCCCACTTTGCAGGACCCTTGAGAGCATCCTCTGGATCGACTTTAGGAAAAATATTAGGCGGCAGCTCACGTTCAACTTCAACCTCAACCTTGATGCGTGCAGTGTCTATACTTGCATCAACTTCGGTGGCAGCTTCATCGGTTTCGCAACTTGTTTCTTCATGCTCTGTCTTTACCTTTTTTATCGCAATAAAGTTAGCTCCTTCGTTAGCAAGCGGCTCATGAACAGTCTTTCTCTTCTTTAATTCCCGGAGATTTGAAACTGATGTCGGGACTCTTTTACTAGGCATTTTTTTCTGTGGTTGTATAAACAATGCTCATATGATGCTACTCTTCATTCCCCCCAGATCGCTTGAACGGATCTATGACTCAAACAATTATTTTTTCTTCTCCTTCTTGTTTTTGAGCGAGACCCAATGCTAGTCAAGATCTTAATTATATATCTTGGGTTGCAAAGAATAACGTCTTTAACTTCAGTGTTCAGTCAATGGATATAACTTAAAACTGTTGTAAAATGGTTATCTTTACATATATCCTTTGACTCATTCGCTGTTTTCTTTTATTTTTTGACATATGACAGCACAACACAAATACAATTTTTCATGTTCATACATTTTTTTCCTTTCTTTGCCTTTTTCCTTTTCTGCCGAAACAGGCGCGGTTTCTTTTCACAAGATTTAGTCATAAACTAAAAGAAATAACTTTTATAAACCCTGATTATTACCACCTCATATAAATAACATCTACATCAACAAAATTCCTATTTCTTGTAGTGTTTCCATAGCTGTTCCAAAACCATGTCGCTACAAACTGTAAAGCAAGAATTCGCGCAACCACTAACAGCAGATCCATTTCCCCCACAACAAGTTAATGGTGCACTATCAGACAAAAAACAAAAACCATCAAAGAAGGCAGTAGGATCTAACTTGAAGACTATCAGAGCTCCAGGGTCTCGGTCAGACCGTGTTGCTCAAGCTTGTGATAGATGTCGAGCTAAAAAGACAAAATGTGACGGTGGAGATCCGTGCTCAACTTGCTCGGCTGTGGGGTTAAAGTGTATAGTGTCCGACAAGTTGAGTAGAAAAGCATTTCCCAAGGGGTATACTGAAACGTTGGAAGAAAGAGTGAGACACTTAGAAGCAGAAATTAAAAGGTTGGTGGGTATTTTAGACATGAGAGACGAGCAACTAGAATTGTTAGGGGGGCCAAATAATCACGCGAGTTTAAATGACTCGAAGTCTAATGTTGAACAGAGAGAAGATCATAAGATCACAACCTCGAACTTGAACCTCCTAGACCAAGAAAATAAAATGCATCTTCACCTGCACGATGCCAACGGCTGCTCTTGTGGTTGTGACCATTCTCACGCAGTTCATGAACGGCCGGTATCGGTCGCAGGGTCGTTATACGAAGCTCCACCGCTTTCTATTGCAAGTTCGGTAAAAATCAGTGATGACGAGGACTTTGACACCAACAGCTTGCTCAGTTTCGAAGATACTCCAAGTACGCCAGTCCAAAGTGGCCGGAGACACTATGCTTCTAACTCTTCAAACCGTGATTCAACCCCTGCTCCTGGGGCATTTGCGGCAGCCACAGCTATTGCTCAAATGCAAAGGAAAAGGATATATGAACAGCAGCAGCACCATCAACAACAACAGGAGCAGCAGCAGCAGAGCGAGACTAATAAGCAGAGAATGTTGACTTCACTAGTTGCCACTTCTTTGCCTAGGAGTACTGAGGAGACTCTTTGTGTGCCAACCCTTTTAGCTAGGATCTGTCAAGCTTATGGCTACGATTCAAAGCCATCAATTTTAACAGCAAACACTTTGGCCACGTTGAAAGATCACTCAACACATAAATCTCCTTTTGGTCAAGGAATTCATGACCGTGTATTTAATCTTTTAATGAGTCGTGATGATGTTATGAAGCTAAATAAAGACGAGGCAGTGATATTTTTACGTGATATTGTGCAATTCCCAGTTTCAAGATTGGACATTGATCAGTTGTTGACGGTGTATTTCCAACAATGGGGCAATGCCATGCCTATTCTAGACAAAAGCACCTTTTTGAAGAGTTATGTGGAGGTCATGCAAATCATGGAGACGGGATCGGTATCAGTTGAGGACGATGGGTTAGTTTCTGAACTGATTGAAAAGGTTGGCGCTTTGATGGTTTTGTTATTAAGTTTGGGACTTCTTGCAAGTAAAAATGTATACCTTAAGCTGGACAATGCTCAAAATTATGTTTCTTTGATGAAGCATTACGACATGTTGATTCATGAATTCATCAAGCCAAACTGTTTGATAACAAAGCATTGTTCAATACAGTCACTACAAGTGTTATCGTTGGCGCTTCAGTACTGCTTGGCCATTGGCGATATTTCCACTTGCTATGATTTGAGAGGTAGAGTCATTAGCATGGCGCAGCAGTTGAGGTTACATAGATGTCCTGCAGCTATCTTAGGTTTGGATGTCAACGAGAAAAGCGATTTAAATTCCCGTAATTTTATGCAAGGTGAAAGGCGTATCTTGTTTTGGTGTATATACTGTCTTGACACTTATTGCTCATTAAATTTGGGTGTGCCAAGATTGATGAAAGACTATGAAATTGAATGTGCAATGCCGTTTTCAGGTAAAGGGAACGAAAGCGACCTGGAGAATGGAGAAGACGATGACAATGTGAATATCTTGATTGTCAACAATACTGAGTTGACCATTGTTGGTAAAGTTTCGAAAATGGCGTTGAGCGTCATGTTGTTTTGCAAAGTTTTGGCTAGCATTTTGGACTCGATATATTCTCGATTTGACAATGGTGAGGATGCAAATAGAAAAGCGTTGCACAAGGACCGGATGTTGGATTGCTGGCGCCGTGAGCTACCAGCTGACTTGAAATTTGATGTTGATGTTAGTGGATTGTCGTTGTCAACTACTGATACAAAGTACTACCAGGGCAGTGTTTGGGAGAACTGTAATACCCAACAGTCGACATTAATCTATTTATATTATCATGCAAGAATTTTGATATACTTGCCTATTGTGTCCAAGTTTGGTAACCATCACAATGTTGGTTTGTCACAGAAGGATCAATTGAATAAAGGTGAGAGTGATACCACCACCATCGTTTCTGCCATGAGCTTGATACACCAATCGTCGAGTCAGATTTTGCAGGTTATAAAAGCATCAGCTACATCATCTAGCTCGTCGGTTTTGCCAATACCGCTTAATATCGCAAGGGAACAATCTTTGCTTACAATGTTGGTAGCTAAGGGAACGTTGGATTATATTAAAGGTGGGCCGTTATACAATAACCTGAAGCAACTTTTACTCGATTCGGTAGCAGGAATAGCTAACGATGCAAAATATGAGACCCCAGATTGCTTGAATAAAAATTCTGTCAAATTGTTGGAATTATCAATCATGAGTATACTTGGAATCAATTTGAACAAGTTTTCTGACAACCTCAAGAAGAAGACATCGGCAGCTCCTATTCAAAAGACTGCAGTGGAAAGAGAACCAAAGCTTGCTGCTGCCAAGCCTTACGCCCAATTTGTATCAAACATGAAGCAACAGCAAAATGCCGACTTTGCACATGGAGAACCTAAATTCAGGACTAGTGTCGATACCAACAACAACTTTAGTGCGCAAGGAACTCAAGACGTTGATCTATACGGTAATCTTGATGATCTTGAATCATTATTAAAATTTGATCCTTTTAGCATCAACGTTCATGATTCGATGCATGTGAATGAGTTTGTCACAGACGGATCACTTGGATTCGGTCCTTATTTGGAATTATCCAACACTGGTAACCTTGATCTTGACAATAACCATTTGTTCAATAATTTTCCCAACTACCACCATCCTTCGCAATAATGTTGAAGAGCAACCCCCTTATTTATTATATAAAATCTTCATTTCTTCATTGTCTAATTGAACGTTTGAACTTGCTTCATCCCAGAGACTCCTGTATTGAGTGTCCTCATTCGTCTGTATCTCTGATAAGCATCGTGTCCGTGGGAAACTAATCTTGATGCTATGTAAGAGTCGTAGCCAATCGGTAGAGGACAAGAGCTGTTTCTCACCTGCTTGTTCAAGTCGTCGATTCTGTAAGGATCTTGATGAGTTATTAGCCTTGGATCGTGCGCAAAATTCATCAATACGACTCTGCTTGGCTATAAAGTATTTACTTTTATCTGACTCAAAGACCTCACGAACCAGATGACTCATGGATTGGTTCTTCTTTTTAGATTTAGCTCCTGTTGTTGTTTTCCTTTTATTCTTCTTTTTGGGCGGATCAGGGGCTTTGCATTCCTCTTCCATTCGCTCGCTGGAGCTACATCGTAGTGATCTCAATGACAAGATAGATTTCTTTTGTAACTGGGACTCCCTTTCCAGTTCAATGACGCTTTCGTGTATGGATTGCATTTGTGTCATGTGGAAATATACATTGTCTGAATCTGTTACTCCACCACTGTCTTCGCCGCTGGCTGTAGCTAGAGCATTGTATTCAATTTCCTGTTTGGTCAAGTTTTGCAAGCTACTTTGATATCTGTTGGGTTGAAATGGTTCCAAAAATGTAGTAATTTCATCTTCCGAGTCTGATATGACGTCTTCATTATGATGCATATTAATTTGTCAAGCCTGGGTCATAGCTCGAGCGTAATCTTGTTGTCAAATGTAAATCAATCGCGTCTTCGTGAAATCTTTTCTTTTGGATTATGTTTTCTCTGGCGTGTGTATACATATGCCACTACATCAACACCATCAATACAACTACTACACTTTGACAATCGTGCTTGATTGTAACGTACAATGATCCTGGAATTTGCACTTATTTTGCTTTGAAAATATTCTCCTGGTTAAATTAGTTCCTAACTCCATAACTCCCTAATTCCCTAACTCCCTACGGTTACATCTTTATGAAATCTAAAACTCAACTTTGCCCCTCTTAGCTAACCCGACAAAAGTATAACCAAACTGATGTACAGTCCATTCTTTTACTTTGGTCGAGAGGTAAGCCACTGACGAATAAAGAGGCGTGTGATTACGCTTCATCCTATATAGACATTCGGACCCGAAATTCGCACCAGGAAAACGTTACACAAACATTTAAAGCCCGACGGTCTCTCAAGAACCAATTACTTATTTCGGAGTTTCGATCAAAAAGAGTCTCCCCCACAAAACGTGGTTCATCAGCACTGTTTGTAAAAATATAAATAGTTCCCTCTTTTCCCTTTACTCACAGCCTGTCGCTTCAAATATCATACTACACAGACAACATCAAATAATGACTACATTTTCAAAATCAGGATTCAAGACATTAAACTACAACTCATTTCGCCCCCACTACCCACCTTCCTTTTACAAGGTCTTGAGTCAATATGTTCAAAAGGGACAACAGCAACATGAATTACCAGTAGCTAAGGCAATTGACTTGGGCTGTGGTACAGGCGTTGCAACATATCCCTTATTGAATTTTGTTCGTTATGTCATTGGGCTAGACTTGTCACCTCTGATGATTAATACCGCCAATTCGCTTGTCCCACAGCGATTGAAAGAAATGGGCATTGATCCAAGTGACTCAAGAATAACGTTTCAAGTGGGGTCAGCCGAAAGTTTTGTCAACAGTCTGGACAATGTTGAGGCCAGTTCGGTTGACTTGATTACCGCTGCACAATGTATTCATTGGTTTCAGGATTATGACAGCTTCTTTCAAAGCAGTGCCAAGTTGTTGAAGTCGGGTGGGACCTTGGCTTATTTTTATTATATCGATCCTATGATTGTTAATTTTTCTGGTCCATCCCAGGGTATAAAAGAAGACATTTTGGAAAAAGCCTACGAGGTGTATTTGAAGTTTGCATACAATGATCCAAACTTGATTGGTCCACACTGGGAACAGCCGGGAAGGAATATCTTGAAAAACTTTTGTGAAGAAGTGAACTCGCATATCCCTCGAGATGAGTTCACTGATATCACTATCAACACTTACAAAGCTAGTGCAACAAACCCAAGTGCTGATACTGCTCAAGAGTTGGACTTGAAGAAATTAAACATTAGCTTGCAAGAATACTTGGCCTATTTTGAAACCTATAGCGGTTTTCATAATTACAAAGAAAAAACGGGCAATGTAGATTTAATCAAAGCAGATTTTGTGAAAGAGTTGGTCGATGCAACCGGATGGGATTTGGAAAAAACAAAGGTTGATTTGGTGTGGAATACTGGGTACACCTTCATTAGAAAAAAGTAGTCGATTGTTATGGAGAGACCATATCACTACTAGAATATAATCTAGTCATAAGATTTTAAGTTCAATAAATAGACTAAAAAGATCCGTAGTATGTTGTAATCTCTTAGACATCCACGGTAGCGCACATTCTCCTGTAATATCGTTTTTTTTTGATTTCTGGCGCATTTTATTTCAATGGAACACAACCCTTCTTCTCTGCATCACTACAACAGACAATTGAACCTTCCATGTTGCTCAAGCTACCGACTCTCCTTTCCCAATTCCTTTTGGCAACATTTGCAATGTGGATACTTTTAACCACATCGATCCCTCAAGTTTTGATCAACTACACAAATACCGAGGTAAAGACTAATCGATTCGTGACTAATCAGTACCCGCAAAATTCAATTACATTTCCCAAGTCAATGTCTTCAATCACCGGGACAACCATATACTACATAATTGGCCATCCTGATGATGAAGTCATGTTCTTTTCTCCCACCATTTTGGAGTTGTCCAAGCCAAGGTATAACAACACGGTTAAACTATTATGCTTCTCAAAGGGAGATTCAGTTGACGAGTCAATGGGGCCCATTCGTGTGAAGGAGTTGTACAAGTCGGCAAGCATATTAGGAATAGATTCAAGTGACGTAACAGTGTTGGACTATAAAGATGGAATGAATGAGTCATGGTCAATCAAGGACATCAACGAGTCTTTAAAACAATACATTGATGTAAAGAGTAAGAACAAGCAGATTGTGTTGGTTACATTCGACGAATGGGGAGTTTCCAACCATCCAAACCACATTGCATTATACCATGGTGCAAATTTATTCCGCAAAAACACAATCAAAAGCAACATAAGGATGTACAAGCTAAAAAGTTTGGGATTTTGGGAGAAATACAGTTTTACATTTTTGACAAATATTGAATTATTTGTTGACTATATCTCTACTCTTATTCAAAGGTTTGTGCCGGTCAATATTACCGTTAGCTTTTTCGAACCAAAGAATAGCTCCACGTCGATCAAAATTTATTCTGATTTGAACATGCTAGCTTGCAGTTATGCAGCCATGGGATATGGACATTATAGTCAGATGGTGTGGTTTAGATATGGATGGTTGATTCTAAGTAGATACCTCACGTATAATCATTTGATAGAAGTTGTAAATTAATAGACAAAGGGGTAGATGTATCAGGTTACACATTCTTGAATCCGAACTGCTTCTGACACCAATTACTTCCATGCTCAAAATATTCCTTCTTTGAAATGCTAACTTTTTCGAAAACATCATCGCCTGTTAAATTGATACCACCATACCAGCTCAACTCGTCTTTTGGTATACCTTGGTAATCGTCATGAATCCTCACATGCCACTTCTGGGGTAATTCCTTAGTTAATTCCGTTTCCAACCTCGTCTTGAAATTCGGGAGGTTGGATGTGCCCCCAGAAAGGCATATATTCGCCAGTAGTAAGGGCCTGGTAATTTCTGGGCATGACATTATGCTCAATACAATTAGATCAGTCAAGTTCTTGATTGGTGCTGACTGTAGTACTGCACTTGATGCAGTACCTTCATTGAGATCGAACATAATTTCTGGATGATAAAATGCTTCTGGAATCGTAAATCGTTCGTCGTATAAGGTCAACAACTGGGTATCAGGAGCAATCTTGGACTCTGCCGTCTTGACAAATCCCGTGGTAGTCGTTTTGAAATCAGGGAGCACAAACTCACACTTGTATTGCAGTTTATTCTTTAGCACCTCATTGAAGTCTTTAGCGAGAAAACAAGTGGATTCTTTGATTGTGTTGATCAATATAGGGTTGTCAGACATGTCATAGTGTCTGAAGGAGATGACTTCACGCAACAACCCATTGAGTACATTCCCTCCAATTGGTAACTTTCGTACGCCTTCCCAATGGACTTTTTTGTAAATAACGGGAACGATCCAAGTAGCATTGAATCCTGAATCAATAACAAGGGTAAAGTCTGAATTTATGATTGATTCATCAATACCAAACGGTACTAATGAAGCAGGAATACATCGGTAATACTCACCAAACTCGTATTCCTCAAATACGATCTGGTCTGTGTTGGAAGACAATTGTGGCAATTGGAAAGGTGTTTCAGTCAAAGTCAAATGTACGTTCGATGGATCAATTTCTGTCTTCAGTATTTGGTCCAAGGTATAGTCCCAAATCGGTTTCTCCATTTCCCATGATGTTAGATTCCCCTGCTCAAATGGTCGCCTTATTTGTATCCCCAAGTAGTCTTTAGAATGGGTCTTGAATTGGTTGCCAATGTGAATAGCTCCATCCTTGGACCTAGTTATTGCATTGAAAGCTTTTAAAGGACTGGGGCTATTGTCAGAGTTGAACCCTGCCTTTATATTGTATGCTCCATTATCCACCACCAAATATTGTCTACTCATTAATCGTTTGTCGTAAGCAGGTTGGTGCAAAAATGAGTCTGTAGTTTAAAGGTTTTCGTTGTCTACGCTCGTTTAGAGATGTGGGTGGTAGCACCTGTAATGTAAAACCCAACTCAATGGCAGAGTAGAGTTTTACAACGGTTGCAAAATCTTAAGGAAAAAGCTAACAGTCGAGCTTCCGTAGTATGGATGGCTAAACCCGTATCCAGGAGTGATATCATTTGCAGTAGTCGAGTTTATTCAACTTAAGACGATGATCCCTTTCGAAGTAACAGCCACAGTTTTCAATTTTCTCTTTACTGCGTGTATATCATATACTTTTGTCCAAGTAGAATTCAGGTCACATGCCTCTAGTTTGTTTGAATAACAATCAGGTTCCATAAGTGTATGCGTGGATATCTGATCGAACAGAAATCGTGTTCACCATACCTTTGAAATCAATCAAAAGCATGACAAGGTGTGGTAGTTTTGTGCTCAGTTTTGATTTTTCTTTTCTTTTTCTTCTTCTCATTCTTCTTTGTTGGGGGAATTAAATTAACCTGGTTCATAAACTAAACTAAAAGAGACGGGAAGCTCAAACTTACCGTATAAGACAAAGATAAGACTCGAATACCATCTTCAGACTTATATTCGCCAACAAAGAGGAAGAAACTTTGTTTTGCAGGATTCACAATACTCCGTAATAAACACCAACAAGAAAAAAAGAATCATCTGATTCCTAGAACCTACAACCAAACTTTCACTTGAGCCAAAGGAAGCTAATTCAGACACCGGATCACACAGACAAGCAATGACTTTATTGGCCAAAGTGTTTAACAACAGTTCTGAGAAGCTGCTGCTGTCGTCGGCTCCACACTCGCGAAAGCTAACACCCACATCGTCACGAAGATCTTCATCTGTATTAACACCAATCAACTCGACTGCTTCTTCTTCTTCATCTTCAATAACTCCCACCAGATCAAACACAGGACGTACCATCAAAACATCTAGTTCTTTGAATACACCATCTGCATATACCTTATCGATAGCACTTGAGTCTCCTCCGATTATATTATATGGTAGTCCTTCTGAGTCTACAGGTTCAATAATATCGGGACTACTAAGATTGATAACGACAAGTGAAATCGAACTAGAACAAGTCACACTTACATTGAGACAGACTATGAGATATACAAAACCTTTTCTTATTCCAAATTCATCTTCGATAGCGAACTGTAAAGACTGCACTCACAGGACAGAGGAATTGGCACGTTGGGACGTTTTGACCTCACACTTTAAATTCAATGCTGGTAACCATGCCTATCCATTTTCCCATTTGTTACCCGGATCCCTTCCTCCTACTTCGAAATTGGGATCGTCAAACTCGCATTCTTTTATCAAATATGACCTAATTGCCGAGGTTACAGCCAACGATGCACTGCAAAATAAGAGACTAGTGTTGCCAATCAACATATCACGACTGAATTTAAGAGGTCCCGATCGAAATTCTTTGCGAGTATTTCCTCCTACCGAAGTTACCGCCAGTGCAGTGTTACCAAACGTTGTTTATCCTAAATCAACGTTCCCAATAGAACTCAAATTGGACAATTTGGTAAATCCATCACAGCAGAGAAGATGGAGAATGAGAAAATTGACATGGAGGATTGAAGAAAACATCAAAATCAAAGCTCATGTTTGTCAAAAACATGCTGGGAAACTTGACATGCTTGAAAACCTGTACAGGAAATCACCACAAAAGATTGAAAAACCTTCAGGTATGCATCACAGTACAATTCAAACAAATGTAGCATTTATTTATAGCCCATCGATGCAATTTTCGAATGAACCTATATTACAAGAAAATGGGTTGCCTGAAAGTGTTCCTGTCGATGATGGAAGTCATGATATTGAGGAGTCGATGAGAACGGCACCTTCAAATGTGCATCAAAGTTTTGTTGAAGATTTTGGAAACGCATCAGCAACTAGGGGTCCTGTAGAGGACACTGCCGGTAGTGCGCTCACACCTCAGCAGTCGAATCGCCCCATTGATTCCGAAAAGCATCTTTACATGGAAGAGACCAGGGCTATAAGCTATGGTGAGTTCAAATCAGGTTGGAAGTCTGACTTCTCTGGCAGAGGTCGGATAGAAATGGTGGCAAATATTAGTGCAAATAGATTGTCCACTGGGTCAAACAATCACGTCACAAAGGTTAGTACTGATGACAAGGTTCAAGCTGATAATGATTTCAAGAATGGGGCCAACGTTTCCTGTGATATCGATGACCCAACTTTGGGAATTTTTGTTAACCATACATTGATTGTGGAAGTTGTTGTTGCAGAGGAATTGGTTCACAACGTTGACCGTAGGAATCAAAGCAACCTTCAACCAGCAAGTAGCCGGGACTCTATAATTCCAAGAAGAGGATCATCATCAAATTCTGTTCCAACCAATCTGTCACCCAATTTGGCTCCTTCCACATCTAACAGTGGATCGAATAACAATCAGTTGTCGGGTGTTCCAACGGGGGCAGCACGCGTTTTGAGGATGCAATTCAAGCTCCCTATTACTGAGAGATCTGGACTTGGAATCGCATGGGATGATGAGGTCCCACCAACATATGAGGATGTGAGAACATTGAGTCCGCCTAATTATCAAGATCAGTCTATCAATTTACCGCCTACACCTGTCGAGGCAGCAGTGCAAAGCAGCCCCACTCCAAATGTATTATACGGTAGAGGAGAGACGCCTATTGTTGGTAGCTTTGGATTACACGGACAAAACCAGCAAAGCTTGGATGGAATGATTGAAAATATGCAAGAGCTCTCTATTTAGATGATATATTCTATACAGGAGATTGTTTATATGTTATCATCATTGTAGGGTGTTAGCTAGTAGTGACAATATCGCGCTCTCCTCGGCACTTGCGAATACTTGTGTATCGGTTTCAAACTGGCTCACTTGCATACAAGAGTCGTAAAAATATATTAGTTCTTGTAAATCAGCAAAGGCTCCTGGCCTCAAGTCTCCTATAGCTTTCTGAAATGATTCAGATCTGATAATGTTTACAGGTAGTTTATTTTCAAGAAGGAATGCCAACAAATGGTGTTGAAACAGTCTTTTTGAATACACGTGGGAAATAAATGGTGGGGTGTATGGTCCGGCAAATCCACTGCTTAAAGCATTGCCTCTCTCAGTTTGAGAACATTGTCTTTCCAAGTTACTTGTTCGGACATAGTAGCTCGTACCTCGTGCCTGCTCATCTTCCCCAGAGCGCTGGCCGTGGTCCGCACCAATGTTTTCTCCTATTGGAGTAGTCCTATGTCCAGCAGTAATCCGGTGAGTCTTTAAATGTTCTATTAACTTTTTAGGCGATCCTTTATCTGAAGTTACCCGTATAATAACTCGCATACATTTATTGCATACGGCAAGATTGGGGTTTCTGTTGTCTTGCTTGAACCAGGACCATACCCACGACCTCTTCTTAGCACCAAACTTCTTGCCTGGTTTGTTTTTCCTCGTTCTCCTTGGCTTGAGTGATGACTGTGTAGAGAAACGCTGTAATTGGTTATGGTTGGAACTTGTTGAGTTTTGAGAGGATTGGGTTGGAAGTTCGAAATCTCTTGGTTGGTTACTTGCTGGAACTATCTCTTGCTCGAGTTGGCTCAGTAGTTGTGGGACGCGTTGTGGTCGGTATTGGTGTTGGTGTTGGTGTTGGTCTCTTGACACTTGGGGGATGATGTGGTTGGTGGGTAGCACTGTAGACGATGTTGCTTCCAAAGCCTCTAACAAACCTTGCGATTGATTCGATGGCTGGCCAATAATGCCATCATTGTAGACGACTCCATGTTGTTGCTCAAAACCTGATATTACTGAATTATCCTCGCGCTTGCTGTCAATTGTGTAATCTAGGTTCTGTCTTGAGCTATCTGAGTAATTCATTTTAGCTATATTTGGCCCAAGATAATATCATTGAACTTCAGCTTGTTGTAAAAAAAGAGTCCTGGTTCTCCAAAATATGTCTCAAGTGGCATTATATGAGAGATGACGTATCATATGCTTTTCGAATTAAGATAATACACTTTCAGTCAAGGTGTGCTTTGATTTTTCTGGATATTGTTATTTTTTCGAGACGATTATTATTTTTTATTTTGTGATGCGAAATAACCTCAAACGATAATATACACACACCTTTAATGGAAAAGAGAACAAGGCTGAGTTATGAGTCGACGTTGCTCAGTGGTAGAGATTGCTCATAACATACGTTTCTTATACCTACCAAATGAAGGCGAAATATTAAATTTCGTCGTTTCATTCATGGTACAATGTTTGGACGATTTTTGTAACAAAATATTTGCAAAAATTAGAGGGAACTATGTCGATCTTAGAGTTGTTGAATCTTTGAATATACTCTTATTTGCAGTGGTCAACTTAAAAGCTTCAAAAATCTTCAAAAATCTTAAGTCATTGAACTTTTGTCAAGCTGTAGAGTAGTAATTAGTGCAGTTGTTGGCTCAACTATAGAACACCTCAAAACAATTCGCACCTACTTTGTAACCAACTAATAACGTCATAACTCTTTTCCGCAAAGAAATACTCTATGTAGTTAACCTCTATTAGAACAATGGCCTGTTAAACAAAAGTATCAAACCCAATATATTAATGCTTTTTCTCGATTTCCTAATTGGTTTTCGCACCCAGCGATTTCTTCATTTTTGTGTAAAGTTTCAACGTTGGCGCGCACTATGTGAACCGAATTCAGGCGTAATTATTGAAACAATCATTATTCATGATAGGACGTACATCAACTCATGAGGTAAAGGAGCCAGCACTATATGCATGCAGCATTACATAACTTGAAACGATGAATTGAAGGAAGCAAATGCCACAAAGGTTCTTGGGACTTGCCGCTGGAAAAGATATATAAACTCTCGAAAATGAACCCAGACTACGGATGAAGAAACTCTTCTTCAGTTCAAAGTATACTCAAAATTTAATACCCAAACCACAATCAAGTTTGCAGGACAATTTATCACAACTAATACCCAAGTCATTCCTTTTTGTTGATCTTTTTTGTTGTTTTCCCACTCGTTAATTCCAACTTTAGTCTATCATTAGTTTATCCAACTACAGTCATTCCTTAATCCCCTCCCTCCTTAACAAATACCCAGTTTACTAGCTTAAATGAAATTCAACAAGTTCCTTGCAAGTTTGGCATCACTTTCCTTATTATCACAAACGCTCGCTGCTCCTGCAAAAAGAGATGATGGTGATGATGATGATGTTGTTGTTGTGACGCTCCAAACGACTGTTCTGGATGTGCACACCAATACCCATATAGTTAATGCTCCTACTTCGACCTATATCAATTATATCGTGAGTGCAAGTACTAAAACTGTAACTCACTACACTGCTACTGTCACATCTACGATCTGGGGTACAGCACACACATACACTACTGTTGCTACCACACCTATTTCAGCTGCTGACGTTTCACCAGTTAGTGAGAACGAAGTTCAAACATCTACAAACGGACAGCAACAGCAGCAACAGAAAACAGCAACACAGTCGTCTGATGACACAAGTACATCTTCTTCAAGTCCGGGTCAAGTTGCTTCCTCATCAGCTGAAACCACTGGAGCTCAATCCTCGCTGGCACTGACGTCACAACAATCTGTCGCTGTTGGTTCTGGATCTGCATCGTCAACGCAATTAGTCCAACCTTCTTCGTCTCAGTTGGTGACAGAAACAGATTCAGTGTCTGATGGTCCTACAATTACCGGTACAGCTGTCCCTAGTAGTACTGATTCTTGGATAATTGAAAATGTAACCACCGTTACTTCAAGTGGAGTTTGTTACGTCAATTATGATTACTACTACGATACTGAAACTGATGCTGAAGAAACAGTAACGCTGACTTCAACAATCTTTACTACGGTCACTCTCAACTAGAGGTGATCAAGCTTAGTTATGGAAAGCTATCATTTGTGTGATAGCTTCAATTGTCGTAGGTTTCATTAATTCTGTTCTTTGTGTAATAATATATTTTTAGCGTTTTTATTTTTTTTTGTCTTTTGCAACCTGGATGTTATTACCAAACGAAGAATAGGAGCCAGTATTTTTTAGCTTACACAGTAGGCATTTCTATTCTGTTGAGTAGGTAGATTATGTGAAGAAATGCTTTACATGCATATAGCTCTTGCTGTATCTGCTGATGTAAGCTAAGCGGTTCCAAACGTGTCTATTGAAGGCTCCTAAGTAATCGCTGTTGGCGGTCCAATCTAAGCACCAGCTCTACACCAGCTTTACCCTTAAAGAGGTAGGAACTAAGCATTATTGGTGTAGGCCATGGCCACGCCTCGACTATTGGCATACGAAGACATTTTCCATCACCTTTGCACGCTCTATAAAATTTCAGGTCTATAGCCCTGATATATATTTTTTATAAAAGATTTTTTTTCATTGAGTACAAATATACACGTGACTATTTTGAAAGTTATGTGTGTGCGCTTCAACAAAACATACGCAGAGAGAAAAATCTATTTGGGAGAAAAATCCTCTGTTCATTTTAGAAAGCTCCATATAACCTTTATCAATACAAGACAAGATGGGTATGTCAAGAAGCATATATTGCGATCATCTACTAGGGACCAACATATGTTTGAATCAGAAGGAAGCAACGTATCGAGTCGTTGTTAATAGAGGGTCAGATTAGTTGGAGATATTTTGAAGAGTGAAAAATTTCAATGGCGAGAGGGCGATTACCCATCAGGAAGATATTAAGCCACTAGGGTCAGAGACTAATAACCATATGGATTGACCATTTCCAATAACTATATTGTCCAACCATTTTTCACTTTATGGATAAGCCATTTCTTTTAAATGATCACGGACCGGATGAAGATGATTTTGATTTCAGTATAATTACTAACTATATTACTTTTTTAGTGAACGTTCCAAAAACCAGAAGAACCTACTGTAAAGGTAAAGAATGCCGTAAACACACTCAACACAAGGTCACCCAATACAAGGCTGGTAAGGCTTCTTTGTTTGCCCAAGGTAAGAGAAGATATGACAGAAAACAAAAGGGTTACGGTGGTCAAACCAAGCCAGTCTTCCACAAAAAGGCCAAGACCACCAAGAAAGTTGTTTTGAGATTGGAATGTGTTGTCTGTAAGACCAAGGCTCAATTAGCTTTGAAGAGATGTAAACATTTCGAATTGGGTGGTGACAAGAAACAAAAGGGTCAAGCTTTACAATTCTAAGGCTGTTACTGATTGTCTATTTCACGTGTTTAAATATTTCAATAAAATATTAATGTAAAATATTAAAGAGTCAGTGTTGTTGGGGTAGAGCATTGTAGAGGCTGTTTAACTGCTACCTTGTAGAATGCTATTGCAAGGGGCGAGCGTGCGAACGACGATTTCTTTTTTCCCTCCTGCGAAAGAGCTCTCTTTCACAGTGTTGTAAGTCTGGAACGTTTCACGTCACCGCGAAAAGAGAAAACATAAAAATTTAAATCGAAGGAAAGGAGAGAAAGAGAAAAAAAAATTCAAATCAAAACAAAGGGAGAGAGACAGAGAGATTTTAGTGAAACGAGATTTTCAAATTTGATCTATTCTCACTCATTCAAACGTATGGGACCAGTAACCACAACAAATAAAAATCACTGGACAGACGTTTTAATTACGGCAATATATATATATATATATAAAAACACATTCATTTATATTGGTCTTATCTTATCTTGTTTAACTTTTGCATTTGCTTTATTTCAACTTGAACTAACTGCCAATTTTGAAACCATTCGCTATGAACTTTGATCAATTGACAGATGAACAGAAACAACAGCTATACCTACAGCATTTACAACAACAACAGCAGCAACAACAGCAGCAACAGCAACAACAGCAGCTGTACGACAACCGATACTCATTACCACAAGCACAAACATATCAGCAGCTAAACCATGCGCAGGTGAATCACCTAGCTGGAGATGAAAGCTTTATGGACGAGGACACAAGTGATTTAGTTGAGGAAATCCCTGTACAGTATGAAGATCATTCTCCAGTTAAGCAACAACAGCAACAGGGTCTCCAGTCTCAGGGATTGTTGAACAGCTTGCCAACACAAATGAATACCGCTGCATCGCCTCGTTTTATACAGCTGGACAAATTCGATCAAGGATTTTCATCTCATTCTGGGTATAATGGCAAAGGTGTTCAATTTAGCTCAATCGACTCTATGAATTTCCAGCCACCCGTGAGCAACTTCACGCAGTTGAACAACTTGTCAAATACAAACTTGTCTGAAGCCAGTAGTGGGAACCATTCGTCAAGCCTGAACTTGGCCAGCTCACACGAGTTGAATTCGCCACCAGAGACTCCAGTCACGTCGGCTGCTTGGTCGCAGCAAGGACAAGCGGCGCAGCCAATGCAAGCACCTATTCAACAAGTTCTGCAGCAGTCCCCAGTGCGGGCCTCGCAACAGTTGCAACAACAACAACTGGCCACAAGCTTTACTCCTCCTCCATCTGCACGCAACTTGAATCCGCAAAGTACGCCTTCAAACTACGTGCATTTTAACAGGCAACCACATTTTCTACCAAGTGATATACAAGACCGTGGTAAAGCAGTCAAATTGAAGATGGAAAATTTCTATACCATGGCAGTCAACCATGCCATTGAGAGAAATCAAAGAAGAATGCAGATGGAGCAGAAGTTGATTGAAGAAGGAGCTGGTGTTTCTGAAGAGCGTAAGAATCGTCATATACAAAACTATAGCAAAAAAGAGAAGCAATTTTTGCGATTAAGAAGAACTAAATTATGCTTGGAAGATTTTGAGACCATTAAAGTGATTGGTAAAGGAGCGTTTGGTGAAGTACGATTAGTGCAAAAAAGGGACAATGGTCACATTTATGCTATGAAGACATTGTTGAAATCGGAAATGTACAAGAAAGATCAATTGGCCCATGTAAGGGCTGAAAGAGATGTGTTGGCCAATAGTGATTCGCCATGGGTAGTGTCATTATTCTATTCGTTTCAAGATTCGCAATATCTTTATTTAATTATGGAATATTTGCCAGGAGGTGATTTAATGACGATGTTGATTAGATGGCAAATTTTCACTGAGGACATTACTCGGTTCTATATGGCTGAGTGTGTGTTGGCCTTGGACGCTATTCATAAGTTGGGATTTATCCATCGTGATATTAAACCCGATAACATTTTGATTGATAGGCGGGGGCATATCAAGTTGAGTGATTTTGGATTGTCGACTGGATTCCACAAGACTCATGATTCAAACTATTACAAGAAGTTGTTGGAAGAGAATCCTAGTCAGCCACCATTACAAGCCAACCAGTTGACCAGCAATAACAATGGACGTAATTCAGTGATGGTTGATGCTATACATTTAACCATGTCCAATAGACAACAAATGCAAACATGGAGGAAATCGCGAAGATTGATGGCTTATTCCACTGTGGGTACTCCCGATTACATTGCTCCTGAGATTTTTGTTCATCAAGGATATGGACAAGAGTGCGATTGGTGGTCATTGGGAGCAATCATGTTTGAGTGTCTTGTCGGGTGGCCGCCATTTTGTGCCGAGACCCCCCACGAGACGTATCGCAAAATTATCAATTGGCAAGAAACTTTACAAATCCCCGACGACGTTCATCTTTCACCCGAGGCTGAAGATTTAATTAAGCGATTGTGTACATCAGCTGAACAGAGATTAGGTCGATATGGCGGAGCTGACGAGATTAAACAGCATCCATTTTTCCGTGGTGTTGATTGGGATACAATACGTAAAGTTGATGCGCCATTTATTCCTAAGTTAAGATCGATTACTGATACGAGGTTCTTCCCCACTGATGAATTGGAGAATGTGCCTGATAATCCAATTTTGACCAAGGCCATGGAACAAAGAGAGTTGGATGCCAAGAATGGTGGTAGAAAGAACCCTAAGGAGGATTTACCATTTATTGGATACACTTATTCGCGGTTTGACTATTTGACTAGGAAAAATGCATTATAGATTGAGGATGTAGGGGGTTTGCGAGCGAGGAGGGCATATGGTATGAGTTTATAGCTATTTTAAAAATACACACAGAGAGTTTTCATTTGTTTTGAAGGAGAGAGTATGAGTAGACTGGGCGTTAGGTAATTTGATACATTGCTGCTAAATGTGATTTTGGCAATGTCCATGAAAAGAGGAGACATTACATGTCATCATCAAGACATGTTTTTTTTGGCTGTTGCTTCGCCAAAAGGTCGGACTTGTGGCAGCTTTTAAGCCGAGAATGAGGGGTTTTCCAATTTTCTCTATTTTTCTTATTTTTGGCCATACAGTATTCAAATGTAAAAGTTGGAGGACGAAACAAATATGGCACTTCTTTGTATGAGCTTTCTCTCTGGTCGTATGTGGTCGTATGTGGTCGTATGTAGTCCCTCTAACACCCACTCCTGCCGCGTTGTTAGCCGCATCACTTCCCCAAGACGGTTATATATGCACTTCATATGTACCTAACTTTTTTTTTTTTCTCTCCATTTGGCTAAATCGTGCTTCTCTTTTTTATAGTCTTTTTTACAAGCTTCGGTATGTTCGGCACTTTCTCTTACATAAACAGCCGATGAACACAAAAAATCTTTTTAGTAAATGGGGTACAAAGATAAAAGAAAGAGAGTCATGTAAAATGAAACACAAAATTGACACAAATCGGGGTTTAAATCCGACCGGATTTCCGGTATGTAAACCAGCTTACCGTTTTGAGAGAGAGAGAGTGTGTGTGTGCTACCTCTCTGCCCCTCTCCAGAAATAGTACATGGCGTATGCATATAAATATCTTGCATACGCAATCTCTAGATTTGAAATTGAAAACAGGTGATTTGTTGTCTCTCAAATCATAGAAGGATATTGTTTTCTAACGAGATTTAACTTTTATTTTGAATTTCGAGAACTGACTTTGACGTGATATGTTGGTCAATTGAAACCCCAAAACCCAAATGTAATATCTTAAGTTAGCAATCAATTTGTAAAAATAGAAAATAAAAAAGGTGAATATACTTGTTTCGCTGATATTTTGTTTGTATCGAAATATAGATTTGCACATTCTGCATGTTTCCCATAAAACCCTGAGGTTCTTTTGCATCACAGATGAATCTAGACAAAAATTGCGGATCATACTATTCAAATCAATTGACCCTGTGCTTTATTATAGAAAGGTGCGCTCAAGTCAATGTTATAACATTGGCAAAGGAGCAATAGCAAAGTGCACGACATAAAAACAGGGGGGGAGTGGAAATCATTAGAAGACAAAGGTTGAACGTAGCAGTAAAGCTCTAAAGAATCGTATGACTATGCAATGTAATTGGTTTTTTTTGTTTACGTGCTTTGCATCTATTTTTTTTCTTGATTTATTTTACCATTCCAAAGACGGAGACGCACTTATTATTATTGCTAATTTTGGATCGCATATTTGTTTATCTGTTTAATTTTTAATATGACGTATGTTGGAAGGAGGGAGGAAGTTTATAAAAGTGTGCATAAGTTTGACGATGGAAACTCAGTTTTAGTTTGCGTTTTTGACTTTTTCGGTGTTTGTTAATTCCGCAAGGTTCGGATGAAAACGCTTTATTACACAAACCTCTCTTAAGCTTTTTTTAGCTTTGTGATTCTTGTTGTGATTGTTCTCGGCATTAAAACCAAGAAAGACAATTAAAAACTTTGTTGTTCTACTACCTTCCTTTGTTTCCTTATGCAAGTGTCCCCCCATTACTAAAACAGGAATATTTCATGTAGTACTAGAACTATAGACTTCTTATATTGATTGGTTAAGAACCATCGTGTAGTCTGTAATTGGTCCCTCTATGTCGAGGAAGTGTAGGTATAGTCTCATAGTTAAACTTGCTAAAGCTCTTGAGGCAGAGTAATTATATTGTAGAAAGCTAGCCAAAAAGGTTGCTGTCTCCTTTACTCTGAAGTGTATATCAAGCTAGGGTCCTTTTTTTTTTAGCATAGGTGCGAAAAAAAAAGGTCTAGTTCTTGAGATATTTATTATTAGACTTGCTTAAACGTTGCTACTATTTCTACTGCATTTGCTCTTATTTTGGTGATTGCAAAATCACAGTACAGAGTATATTGTAGTACAGTGTCAGGATGTTACACTTTTAGTTTGTCTATCTCAAGTCTACTCTTGCTTGAGGCTTAGATACTGTCAATGGGCTTGTTTTTATGGCTCTCTGCTTTTGTTGTAGTGTAGTGTAGTTTAGCGTTGTGTTGCGTTGCGTTGGTAGTTATGTATTAGTGTACTATGAAAAAGTCAGAGGTATAGAAATAGATAGAAAGAAGTTTAAATGGTGGTTGTCTTTTGTTTTGTACAAATAAGAAAAAAAAAACAGAAAAACATAAGGAAAAGGTCATCCTCTTTCTTCTTTGAAAGAGTTTTGCTTCGAAAAGTTGCGCAAGAGAAATAACAAGAGAGTCTTTTTTTTTTATTTTTATCCTTTTGCATTGTTTGTTACAACGTATAATGTTTGTATACATATTGTGTAATGACAAGTTAAAAATAAGTAGCTGAGTATGTAAATGCTGTTTACTTTGCTTAAGCTTAGGCTTAGAAGAGATTTAGTCTTAGACTTAGCTAAGTGTGTATGTGTGAGAGGTAGACAAAGTATAGTGTATGGTATGAAATATGGTATATATGGGTATATGTATGTAATTAGTGTAAATTGTTGTGTATTTGTTTATTTTGTGATTGTTTAAAAATATATATCTACATATAAATTTTATTTGTTTTTATTTTTATTTTTATTTTTATTTTTATTTTTATTTTTATTTCTATTTTTATTTATTGCCGAAGAATACAAAGAAGGAATATGATGACTGATGACGATGAAGAGAATAAACTCAGATTATTAATATACCTATATATTATAATTATTATAATTATTATAATTGGTATATATATATATATACCAATGCAATTCCTGCAACTTTTTATAGATATCAATTGACTTTTTTACTTACACTTCACACTCACTCACACTCATACTTTTATTTATATAAAACTTCATCCAGTCTAAATACTCGTATCAAGAGAGATTGAGTCATACAGACTACTATTACCACTACTTATCAACGCATTACTCACTCATTTCAATCTTGTCAACAAAGTGTGTTGCAAGACTGATTACAGCAAACAAGAACTACAGTACACACTTTATAGACCCCTACCCCCTACCCCCCCCATCGATCTAATTAATTTATCCTTTCTATCCCTTTAATAACCTCCCATACTACTTTCCCCTTCAACAAAATGAGAGCGTCACTTTCTATACTACTATTGCTTTTCACCACCACTGCTTCTATAGCGATGGATATGGATATGCATGCAGACACAGATAATGAAAGAGATCATGAGGATGTGCAAGGTACTATTATAGCTTCAAACAGTGCAAAATCTTATTCCTCGCCACCATCAACTACGGTTGCTTCACTACAGCCAACTCCCCATGTCATGAAACATCAACACGGTGTTCCTATTTTGGAGACTCACCTATTACCAGAAGAACGTCTCTTTTGGGAAAATTACAATAGTACCCACACTTATTTCACGATACCTTCACAACATCGTCCTGCCTTGTATATTCACATTGTCTTGGGTTTAATTGCCATCTTTATCATCTATCCAATTGGAATGATTTTCAATAATTTAGGGTTAACCAAGACTTATCTTGTGACGTTATTGGTTCATTCTATTACTATGATTTTATCCATGTTGAATTACACCATTTTTATCAACTCCATATCTGATATTTATCCTGGTAATGCCTATAATTCAATGATTGGTATTTTATTTGTCACTACTATATTGCAATTTGTTTTCGCTTTGATTGCTAGTGTAACTCCAACAACAGATGATGGTACTACATCTGCTACAGGTTCATCATCGACTGGTGCAAACGCAAATGGCTCTTCATATTTCACTCTTCATTCTCCACCAATTGGGTGCTCTGATGAAGAAGATATAGACGAACAACTGCTGGTGGAATCTGCTCCATTGAACTATGAAAAAGTCTTTACACCACCAACAAAATTACAAAAGTTTAAAACGTGGGTAGTACAAACTAAATTCCATCATGTTTTCAACATTATATTCAATTTATTACACTGGGGTAATTTCTTTTACTACTTTGTTTTGATTCCTACTGCAGTTGCTACATTTTGCGTTTATGGCCAAGACAAATCAGTGTTTAACTTATTAGCCCATTTCATTAAAGGTGGTGTATTCTTTGCATATGGTATTCTCACCTTGGCTAGATACAGTGGTGCATTCACCAACAAAGGATGGGCTTGGAACCACAAATTTGTTAATGCCAAGAGGGGCAGTGTGCATAACTTGTGGACAAGATTCCAAAATAGAGGTCTTTGGACTATGGAAATGATTGAAAGTTCCTTGATTTTATTCTATGGTTCTACCAATATCTTTTTAGAACATTTATCCAATGCTGGCGGTGAATGGTCACCCAAAGATTTACAACATGTATCAATTGCATTCATTTTCATTGGCTGTGGATTATGTGGTGTAATCACTGAATTGAAATTACAGGATTGGCGATTCGATCAAGCATTGGCAAATTTACGCAAAATGTCCACTAATGGCCATTCACGAAGCGAAGAAGAAACAGTAGCTACTTTTATTGATGCGCAAGACATTGTCAAGGCCAGTCCTGGCTACAGTCCTAATCCATTTCCTATTGTCACTATTTATTGGACGGGTATTCTCATGTCTAAACACCAACAGGCATCGCAATTATCAACCGATATCCATGTTCAATGGGGTAATTTATTCGTCATTGGCTGTGCATTCCGGTTCTTTACTTATGTTCTTTTCTTGTTAAATGCAAGCAAGCCAAAGGAATTGTCTAAACCAAGCAGACCCATTACTGAGTTGGTTGTGGCTTTTAGTTTGTTGTGTGGTGGATTAATCTTTATGGAATCGACTGATCCTGTCATTTTATCATTTGAGTATTATGGATTAACGGCAATGTTTACCTTGAACTTGTCGTTGGGATTCATTACTTTGTTTATGAGTTGGGTAATGGTGCTTTTCGCCGTTAAGGATTGGTTGAAAAATAAAGTTGCGCCAAAAGAAGTGGTGTAAAGGAGAAACAGAATTGTAATGTCACTGTAAATGGAATAGATTGATTGTTTATTCAGAATGCTGCTGATTATTTATTAATCGTTTGATTGACTGATGCTAATATCACGTTTTTTTGTCCCTTTTTGTTTCGTTTTTGTCAAATATCGGTGTTAAATTTTTGATCTTTTTTGTTGTTCCACTTACGTGTGGTTTTTTTTTTTTCCTTTTTTATTAATTGATTGACGAAGTTTTGTTATTAACCCCGTTTGATGTTTGATTTACAAGTCTACAATCTCCCTTTTTAATACGCTATTTATGGGGACTGATTATTACAGAGTCTGAGTCTTTTAATTAAATTAGCCTTGTTGGCTCACTCTAAGTTAAGCTACTTAATACCACTATATATATATTTTAATACTATATTTTATTTTATTTTCCCAAAGGTTTTTTGGACAATGAGACTAAGTTGTTTGAGTGGTGTAGTAAATAGATAATTTTTTGCTTTGCTCGTTTTGTTTCAAGGCTGACAGGTTTTAGCCCGAGACGCAGACTGTAGACATGCCTGACAGAGCGACAGAATGGAAAAGCGTAAAAAACAAAAAAAAAACAAATTAAAAATAAAAAAAGGAGAAAAACCTTGTTCGGCTCTAGCGCGGGGTCGTTGACGTACATGTTCCTCCTTCGTCGCCCCTTAGTCGAAATATTGGGTCAGGTATTCGAAACCAAACAATCTAAATACTTTACCTGAGTTGTAAAGATGTAATAAAATCTGATACTTATTTATTTATACGCGAATGAGGAAATACACATAGTTTGCATATACAGATATGTGTACATATATATAAAAAATAAAATAAAGCTGTAGAGGTTAAAACAATCATCATCATACCTTTGTAAATATAAAAAATACTTCCTCCTAGTATTGTCTTTGTTTATTTTGTTTTGTTTTGTTTTGTTTGGTTGGTTGGTTGGTTGGTTGGTTGGTTGGTTGTAATATGCATCATCATTGTCGCTTTCTTCACCATAAAGTTTAATATAATCTTTCTTTCGTAGCATTCACTCTTTCTGAAAATCAATAGTGAGGTTCACTATTGCCTTCTTTCCTCTGTAATGTATTCCCCTCTTTCTCTCTCATTTACAAAACAACACACTTTTTGGACTTCTTTATGACAGGTGGTTCCAAAGCAGCAACAATAGCTTCATCAAATACAGTCTTCAATCCTCTTTGCGTCAAAGCCGAACATTCAACATACTTAACCGCTCTCAACTCCTTGGCCAACTTCTCTCCTTGTTCAGGAGTGATGGGCGATAATTTCTGTCTCTGTAATCTCTGTAATATCACATCATCATTTCGTAAATCGGTTTGCGTACCAACAATTAAACAGGGCACACCAGGACAATGGTGATGTACTTCAGGAAACCATTTCTCCTTGACGTTTTCAAATGATGCGGGAGCAATGACTGAAAAACAAACCAAAAACACATCGGTTGATGGATACGATAATGGTCTTAATCTATCGTAATCTTCTTGTCCGGCAGTGTCAAATAATCCTAAAGTGAATGGTTCATCGCCAATCATCACTGTCACGGCGTAATTGTCAAATACTGTGGGGACATAATCGGCCGGGAATTTACTCGTGGTGTATGATATTAATAAACAAGTTTTTCCAACGGCACCATCGCCAACAACAACACATTTTATAGTCTGCATTTTTTTTCGATTTCTTTTGTTTGTTTTTGTAAGTAAGGTAAGTGTGGTTTAATACGGATTGGTAATGGGGGTCTTGAGTATTAGTTATGTAGCAGTATACGCTAAAGACAGTATTGAGATAAGGAACTAATTCTGTAGTGGTCGTTTCTTTTCTGTTAAAAATAAAAGAAAAAGTGACTTGTGATTTGGTGGTTGATTTGATTGATTGATATCCTTTAATCCAATGAATGTATATTTCTGAGTGAATTATACTTGTAAGCAACGTATATGTATAAAGAAAACTGTGTGGGAATACTAAAAAAAAAAAAGAACCAAAAAAAATTGTGGGTCTTTTGATAGATTAGTTTTTTATAGATTGATTTGGTGGTGAAAGAAATAAACGTTAAGCGAAATGGAATCAGTGAGTCTGTAGTATCCTCTCTGTTGTGTACTTTCTGAAGTGATGAAGTGAATGTGGAGGTTGATTGTCCTTGTTGTTGTAAGTTTGTTGTTTTTTTTCTCCTCTATTCTGTTCTGTTTGGAGAGTTGTTGTATGTTGTTTGTTGTTTAAAATTTTTTTGTCGCTGATTTTTTGATTTTTTGATTTCTTTGGTTGTTAGATTTTATTTTATTTTATTTTATTTTATTTTATTTTATTTTATTTTATTTTATTTTATTTTATTTTATTTTATTTTACTTAATCAAAATAGGAAGATAGAGATAGTTAAATAGTTGGATGGACAGATAGGAACACATGTTAGCACACAGTGTTTACAGATAAGTTTACTTAAGCTAATACCACTACATAGCAGCAGTGGTAGTACACACGCGTCTGCTACCTCATGTAAACGGGTGGATATTACAGGTTTACCCGTGTCTAGCGTAATACGATACACAACACAATGTATTGTTCTAAAATGTTTTACATTCCCGCCCTACTTTCAATTGTTTGTGTGTGTGTGTGTGTGTCGTGTGTGGCATTCCATTCTTTTTCTTTTTCTGTCGCGTGAATATTTATTTTTATTTTATTTTATCTTCTAAATTGGCACCGGCCAATGTTTGATTATCGAACTTTTTGATCAAACTATGTATTATTCCACCACCACGTTGTGGTTATCAGGAAGAAATGTTATAACGTTAAAAATAAGATGACAGTGTTGGATTTACAAACAGGCAAACCAGACTCTAGATTTGTGAACTACTTCAAGACAGAGACTGAAGTTCCAGTGGTGGTTGTGAATTGATGTAACTGGCATTTGTGCCGATCTGCTAAGGTCTTACCCGGTATAAGCAACAGTAATGTTCGCTTTTACATACCTACCAAGAAAACCACAAACACTGTCTTTAATTAATCTGTTATGTGTCGTAAAAGGCTTTTTTTGGCAACAATTTGACTCAATATAGATCCCATAGACTAAAATATCATCAACAGTCTATGTTCCAAGAGATTACTCCGCAGATATGATGATTTAAAAGACGAGCTATTCATTCATTATATATATATATATAAATTAGGTAAAACAATGCAACAATAAAACCAATCAAACGGTATATGCTGGTGGAGTGTTTGAGACACCTTTATTCTCCGCTACAAACTCTGCTCCATGGCCTTTCTTGTTCCCCTTGGATGTAGGAGGCAGCGCTGTTTTGTCCTGCTTGTTTGTCATTCTTCTTCCACGATTGTAATTCATTCTGCAAGAATTACTGGTCTTGGCTGGACGCGAATGATACCCGGCATCCAGGTATTGTTCCAGATATTGCGGTGGAGCAGGGTAATGTTTCAGGTATTGCGGTGGAGATCCTCCTTGTTCCTGAGCACTTTGGTAGCGTTCATATTCTTCCCTCTCTTGAGCACTCATGTTTCTAAGCTTCTTCTTTTCCAAATGTCTTTCAATGGCGATAGCACCTAATGCAATAACGATTCCAATTACCATCTTTAGTTTATATTAATTGATATTTTCTTGATGGGAGAGTGGAAAATAATACACTTCTTGGCTGGGGTAAACCCCATTATTTATAGCTGAATCAATTTCTTTTTCATTATGTTCTAAACGTGTTTACCGCTGTGCATAAAACAAAACAAACGTTGGTGATAAGCAAGCATCATCCAGAAAACTAAAAGTATATAGGGCAGAGAGAAGGCGCGGCTGAAGGGGGGCGCTGCTTAGCTCCGTATATTCTAAGCCCTAATTAGCTTCATCAGTACCGGGCATTATAACAACTCCGAACTTTTTAAACCCTTATCTCATTTGAAATACAAACTCTTCCTATAACTCCAATTACAATAACGTTTTTAATTTCTTCGAAAGCCTTGTTCAAATTATCCTCAGCCCCCCCCCCCACAACTCAACAAACTTGAAAAACTTGTCACTAGCTTTTGGAATTGTAATAAATGTATTAGTTTTCAGCACATAACAGGTTGATTTTTGATCCTTGAGGACCAATGACTTTTGGAGAACACAGCCGGTTTTGACGCATACAACCACCCTTGTGAGTTTGCTGACTCAGCTAACTCTAATTTCTTGTTGATGAATCCGGCCGCTTTTTCCACATTTTCGTCCTTTCCTTTCAATCTAGCCCACCAAAATTTTTGGAGTCCGGGCGCTTCAAGGTTACGAATGTCTTTGCCAAAGCATAGAACAAAACAACAACATATGTGGAATTTTGTAATTTCCAAGAATCTGCTTATAGAATCAACATCATAGACTACCGAACATCTGTGTTGCTTCCGCATTCTTTACTAATTAAATATTTGTTTATGCATGTATTTACATCAGTATGTATATTTTCCTAACATTCATCACTCATTTCAAATTAATAAACCCCTGGTCTCCTTGCATTATATCCAATTCTCTAGTTATATCACTAGGTAAGTTATTTGTATTGGTCATTTCAGTCAAATTAATCTTTGTGCGCCTAGTGGTACCAGTAGCGTCAACACCATTACCATTACTGCTTTTATCCTCACCATTAACGGTATCATCAGCGGTAGCATTGTTATCGTTACCATTTGACTCGTCATCGCTTTCAAATTCATTTCCATAATCATCAACAATATCTGGACCACCACCCAAGAAATCCATCATCATATGCATACCCCCAGCACCTCCAGCGTACTCTTCAACATTCAGAGGTAGCACTTGGGCGACACCTTCCAAGAACCACACTTTATCCTTCATTTCCATGGTAAATGAACGCAACAACTTGTAATATGATCTCATAATCCTCATTGACTTGACATCTCCTGACATCAATAGCGACATAAACTGCTTATCTAATAAGGCAGGGAATGCAAAAATTCGTAGTATAAAATCAGACTTGTATCTCTCCTTATGTAATTTATTCAAATAAGCCAATGTAATCAAATAAGGAGAGTCGATTTCAACGGGAAACAAATCAGCAATATCAGCATCGTGGCATTCAAGATCAGTATAAAACCTTTCACCATTGCCATTGCCATTGCCATTGGGCCCATTAGCATTCGCCCTATTCAAGTTTGCCTTTTGGTTAATTATATCTCCCAAATCTCCCAAATCAACACTAATGAACTTGTAAAATCGTGATGCTTCAGTTAAAGGCCAAACCGCTGTCAAGATTGTTGCCGCTCCCTTGACATGGAATATCCATGCCGATGCTGGTAAAGATTTTGGGGAGGTTGATGAAGGGAATGAAGCATTGGCCAATGAATCCATAATCAAAATCAATGCACTTGCAACTAACGCATCAGTATTGTCAGCGTTGATGTTCAATACTGCTTCTCTCAATAACCTCAATGCATCACCCCTATGACAAGTAACACATTGGTCCAACCCTTTTTCCGTTCTTGATAAATGAGTAGCACTAAATGCCAATATTGAATGCATCAAAAATGGATGTTCAAATGCCAACATGGGAATATCATGGATCCATATATTGGTTTCGGAAATTCCGGCACCGGTTATAGTGTTTGCCACTTGAGAAGTATAATGAAACATTAATTTCAAGTCCAACATATTTAAAGTACTCGAATTCATTGCTTGTGCCATGGTTCGGTTATTTAATGGCACCGACGATGGAATCAGCAGCGAATTGTTGGGGGCAATGTTGGGTAATGTTCCTGGATTTTGTGTCGACTCAGATGGCGTGGCTGGAGGGATATTGAAAGGTGGTGAAGATGCTGATCCTGCTCCTTGTGCACTTAAATTGATAGCTGCGTCTATTGGATCCTCGCCAATGTCTTGCTGTTGCTGTTGCTGCTGCTGCTGAAACTGTCGACTCGGGCTTTCGGCTGATCGATATTGAGTTTGTTGTTGGTTTGACTGTGTCAGATTCAATTGATCTCGTGGTTGCTGTAGTTGTTGACTCGGTTGTGAATTCAACAACACTTCCGAAAGTAAACCGGTGTTGCCATTTACAGCTGCTGCTGCTAATTGGTCAATCAAACCACCTCCTGCGCCCACACCAACACCAGCACCAGTGGCACCAGCTCCTACCCCTGGAGCCCCACCTCCACCAAACAAGCCAGCCAAATTACTCAAATCAATAGGTAATTGTGCCAACGTTGCCAAGTTCGATAGACTCGCCAAGTTGCCAAGGTTCATTAAATTTCCCAAACCACCTCCTGTATCTCCACCCATACCTGCCAAATTGTTGACCAAATGGGCAACGTTTAAATTGTTCAAATTTCCCGCACTTAGTAGCCCCGATGATAACGCACTCAAAGGGTTGTTCATTGACTGGCCCATGCTGGTCATAGGGTTATTAAGGGGTATTGTATTGTTATTGACACTGGGCTGAGATGTGTTTGGACTTGGAGTCAAGGAAGGAGTTGCTTGTTGAGTAGCTGTAGAAGAATCCAAGCCTTCCAAAGAACTTTGATCAATGCTGCTGTTTCTCGTTGAAGTCTTGTCCGAATAGTTATTCGCTACACCTTCATCTCCCTCAGATTTGACGGAAGTTTTCCTCTTGGCATTGACTTGCACCTTTTTCATCTTTTGCTGCGATTCTGACTTTTCCTTCTTTGGTTTCTTAGCTGGAGGCAAACTTTCCTCGGCATCCATGTGCAAATATCCACACTCCAAACTCAACTTGACGCAATTTCCACAAAGGGGTTTTTGTTCGTCACACTTGACTCGGCGTCTCTTGCAAGTCGAACAACCATGTCTTGATTTTTGGTGGTATTTACGTTTCCCAGTGGATGCTTTGGATGGCTTCTTGGTAAGTTCAGATGGTGAGCTCGAGGCATTTGATAACAGACGTAAAGCCTCATCAATGGTTTCCGAATCACCTCTTAGTCTATGACTTTCTTCAATCTCCTCGTTCTCCTCGTCGTCCTCTTCTCCTATACGGTGCTCAATACTTGCACTGAACAAGTTTGAATCCGCGTCTGTAATAATATCTGACTTCATATGACACGAGACGCGTTTACTGATACTATCAGGTGATTAAATCCTTCCTGCAAATAATTTGACAAAATGTTGAACTGTGCCAATTGTTTAAGTTAATGTTTCGTCTGCAAGATGTTGAATATTGCTGCAAAAGTGCTTTGTTCAATCAAACTTTAGTCAAAGCGTATATAATGTTGAACACCAATTGCAACAAGACGTATATATATATATATATGATTGAAAATAAAACTGAATTCGCAGCCGAACGTAACGACCCCTTGGAATTTCGAGGCTGTGGCAGATGGTGCGTGTATGCCTATTTTCTTTCGTTACTCCAATTATTTAAGTTATATCTTTTGAAGTTAGATATCTCAAATGATGTCACTGTAGAATTAATTTGAATATCTTCGTCGTATAGAAATGAGAGTGTGTTGTTAGTTTTGTTTTTTTTTCCTTTTCTTCTTTTATCTTCTTGCGCAGCTTTTTTATACGACGACGAAAATTATGAGTGTGAGTGTGAAACAAAGTCTAAAAAATTTAATTTTAGTCATTGGCGAAGTTTCGCCAGAACTACCTTATTGGGAAGAGCTGAGGGTTAGCATAACCCTCTCCTTATACTTCAATTTGAGCCCGCATGAACTCTAAACTATTTTCCTCTAAGCCACACAACTAGAAGCGAACGAAACGTTCCATTGTTGATACGTTTCACGGAGTTTACGGTTTGTTACCGCCGTTAATTTTCACAAATTGGTCAATCATTGGTAGAGGTAGTTCCTTTGTCGTGCAATTATGCGGAGGATTTCTATCTTTAATTACTTCCTTTCACTAACGTAAACCAATCCTTGAAACTCAAAGGGTTTTTGGAAGTTTCCAAACTTTTTTGCACCAAAATACGCAACAATTTCATTATTCAATATTGGGTGCTATACTTGAACTACCCGGAAGTACCGATGCAAAGAGTTCTGTCCAGCCAGGCCTTCTGGTTTCTCTAAAAATAACTAGTTAAGTAATCAAGCACCAGGAGGGAATGAAATAGCTGGAACCGTGGGATAGCCCCTCTAGTTGAAGTTTGCGCTACCATTACAGTAAGAAAAATTTCTAGCCAATATCAGAGCAGTAATTGACAATCAACTCATCAACAGTGTCTGAACGTCTCCACACATTAAATACTACTGCACATACTACTAAATATGTCAGCTAAACCACTTTGGTATAGATGGGCACGAGTTTACTTTGCTGGTGCGTGTATCACAGGAACGGGTGTATTGCTTTATCAAACAATTAGACCCTCAGATGAGAAATTGATATCGCAATTTTCACCCGAAATCAGGGCAGAGTATGAAAGAAACAAGGAACTAAGGCAAAAGGAACAGCAGAGGTTAATGGAGATTGTTCAACAAACTGCAGCTTCGAATGATCCCATATGGAAAACGGGGCCTATTGGATCGCCATTGGAGAAGGAACAACGGAATTTGAGTATGGAATTAGTTGACAAGGAGTTGTTTCACAAGACAAAAGCCGAGGAAGCCCAGAAGCAGGCAATCAACAAGAGTGTTGAACAAGAAAAGGAACTTGAACAGTTGTTGCAGGAGCAAAAACACAAGAAATCTTGGTGGAATGTTTTCTCGAGGTGATGATGGGCCATATTTAGATTCCTGTAAATATTTTATACACACATTATTACCTACTCCAGAATCCTCTATCTCTAGACAATGACAGCAATATGGACTGGCTTATCGAAGCAGCTGTGCTACTACTACTTCCAGCTCCTGAAGCACCGCTACCACTCTGACTGTTGGCTTCATCAACAGCAGCCACTATTCTACTTATGTTTGTATCAATAACCATCCCACCTTGAATGATCTCCTCCAAAACAGTCTGTAATACTTGCCAGCCAAATACCAAATCCAATTCACATACATTTGTGAAGCACTTGTCTAAGCACTCAACGAACACCTGAATCAAATCCAAAATACCCAATTCCGATTCTTGATCGTCAACAACGAATACAAAGTATAACGTAGCATAATGACGGTAGATGACTTTGATATCATCCAAATCCTCAAGAAGCTTTGGTGGCGTTATGAATGAGCATTCTTGAGCTGTTCGTACTGATATCAATTGGTGGACTTGTTGAAGAAGTAATTTCTGCGTCGGTATATCAACATTGGTGTAAAACTTCATTAGTCTAGGAACTCCATCATTGTTGACTAAAGTTGTTAGTAAGCGTGTTGAGTGAATTGCTTTATATTGTTACATACATATAAGTACGGAATGAATCATGGCTGTGTGTGTGCGTAGTTGGTGTAGCGGGTTTACAAATTGTTACTGAAATTTATTTTCATAAATTTCCACGCCATTACCACACGAGCCTCAACAATAGGAAATGTTACTTGAACAAGCAAAAGAGTTGGACAAAAGCTTCCCAACTTACAAAGATGACTTTTGCATCCCGACATTTGAATCACTTGGTATCAATAACGACAGTTTCTCCAAAGACACAGAATCCATCTACTTGTGTGGGAATTCGCTCGGATTAATGCCAAAACAGACCTCGACTGCTATAAACAATGAATTAAAAGCATGGTCGATGCGCGGAGTCGAGTCCCATTTCAACCACCCACTCTCAAGTCTGACCGACTGGGTTGATATAGATTTACCATGCGTGCCGTTACTAGCACCGTTTGTTGGAGCAAAAGAAAATGAGGTTGCAGTTATGGGATCGTTGACATCCAACTTGAATGCATTGCTTACCCACTTTTATAAGCCTAAGGGTAAAAGAACAAAAATCTTGTTTGAGAAGCAAGCGTTTCCTTCTGACTATTATGCATTTTTGAATATTGTCAAATTGCATGATTTTGATGAATCGCATTTGATTCAAGTCGAAATACCGAAAGGTGAAACATACTTGAAGACCGAATCCATTTTATCAGTCATTGATGACAATTTGGATGAAATTGCCCTTGTTTGCTTTCCTGGTATACAATACTACACAGGCCAGTTTTTTGACATTGAAAGGATCACAAAGTACATTAAAGATAAAGCACCCGAAATTGTTGTTGGTTGGGATTTAGCTCATGCCGCGGGAAATGTTCCGCTTCATCTACACGACTGGCTGGTTGATTTTGCTGCGTGGTGTTCCTACAAGTATCTTAACGCCGGTCCTGGTGCCATAGCTGGGATATTCGTTCACGAGAAACATACAAAAGACAACACAGCTACGCAATACAAGCCTCGGTTGGCTGGATGGTGGGGTAATAACAGTGCAGATAGATTCAGGATGTTGGAAAAGTTTGATCCTATTGCTTCAGCTTTAAGTTATAGACAACTGAACCCAAGTGTAATTGATTGCGTGGCTCTTCAATCGTCATTACAAGTGTTTGAAAAAGTTGGTGGAGTTGGCATTTTACGTGAAAAATCGTTGAAGCTCACCCAGTTCTTGCAGGATTTGTTGACCAGCAGTAAATACTATATTCCACAGGAAAGCACCGATGAGTCCAAGTTTGGGTTTAAAATATTGACACCCTTGGTGCAAAATGAAAGAGGAGCTCAGCTCAGCGTACTTTTCCAACCACACAGGGAAGACAAGCAGGACAATGTTATGGAGAGGGTGTTTGACCACTTGCATAAACACGCTATTATTTGCGATGAAAGAAGACCTGATGTGATTAGACTAGCGCCATTACCATTGTACAACACATTTGAGGAAACATACATTGCCGTGCAACGTTTGCTCGAAGCATTGGACAATATAGCACGCGACTATGTGTAAATCGAGAATATATAGAAATCACTAATTTGTTTTACATACACTGTTTCTTTATTAGACTAGCTACTATTCTACTTACAAAGTTTGAGCAGTGTGGAAGTCTTTACCAGCATAGATAGCTTTGTCTCCCAATTCTTCTTCGATTCTCAAGATTTGGTTCAACTTGGCCAATCTTTCGGATCTAGCTGGAGCACCGGTCTTGATTTGACCTGATCTGATACCAACAGACAAGTCAGCAATAAAAGTGTCTTCAGTTTCACCAGATCTATGGGAGACCATAACACCCCAACCAGCAGCATAAGAGTCGTTGGCAGCTTGGATGGATTCAGTCAAAGAACCAATTTGGTTAACCTTCAACAACAAAGCATCAGCAGCCTTGGTTTCAATAGCCTTCTTGATTCTGAGTGGGTTGGTAACAGTCAAGTCATCACCAACAATTTGGGTCTTACCTTGGACCTTGGAGAAAAAGTGGCTCCAAGCTTCCCAGTCATCTTCTGCGAATGGATCTTCGATGGAAACAATTGGGTATTTTTGTAACAATTCACCGTATAATTCAGCCAATTGAGGTCCAGACAACCATTTGGATTTGTCAGAGTCTGGGTTTTTAAAGTCCAAGTCGTATTTACCGTCCTTGTAGAATTCAGATGAAGCGACATCCATAGCAATGTCAACTTGACCGGTGTAGCCAGCAGCTTCAATAGCTGAAACAATCAAGTCCAAAGCTTCTTGAGCAGTCTTGATATCAGGAGCAACACCACCTTCGTCACCAACATTACCGGCTGATTGACCGTATTTCTTCTTGGTCAATGATTTCAAGTGGTGGTAAACTTCTGAACCGATTCTCAAACCTTCGCTGAAAGTTGGAGCACCAGATGGAACAATCATAAATTCTTGGAAAGCCAAGTCACCACCAGCGTGGGAACCACCGTTCAAAACGTTTTGGAATGGAACTGGCAAGACGTATTTATCTTGCTTGGCATTGGAGATGTCAGCAATGTGCTTGTACAATGGGACATTCTTTTCAGCAGCACCAGCCTTAGCAGCAGCCAAGGAGACACCCAAGATGGCATTGGCACCCAATTTTGACTTGTTTGGAGTACCATCCAATTTCAACAAGAATTCATCAACCTTGGCTTGGTCGGTAACATCAATGTTGGCCTTGATCAAAGCTGGTGCAATGATGTCGTTGACATTGGCAACAGCTTTCAAAACACCCTTACCTAACCATTTAGATTTGTCACCGTCTCTCAATTCCAAAGCTTCGTGAACACCAGTAGAAGCACCAGATGGAACAATTGCTCTAAATGAACCCTTTTCGGTGTCCAAGTCAACTTCAACAGTTGGGTTACCTCTAGAGTCGTAAACGTATCTGGAGTGGATTTTAGTAATAGCCATTGTGGTTAATAAAGTAATGAGAATGAAAAGTGAATTTCAATTGAGTATGTAAGAGAAGGAAAAGGAAAAGAAAAAGGGGAAAATGAACGAGGGATTTATATTTTTCCAACCGGGGGTGAGAAAAAAATTGTTGAATAAATATCAATTGGTATGTGGAATAATTTCAATTGTAACTTACAGTGGTAGTGTGTAATGGTTACACATTTTTTTTTTGTTTATTTTAGTGTACAATAAGGATCACACCTACCCGCGTATTTGGGCACAATTGTGAAAGGCAAAAGTATTACACATTCGTGGAAATCAAATTGAGTCAGAAGCTACACTGTGAGCCGAAATATAAACTGTTTACTGCCAACTGACAACAATTCTCCACAGAAACTTTGATCTCTCGTCCGGATTTGACTGCTGTTCACATTGTTTGTGGAACAATACGGTCCAATGGATTTCAGTGATGTATTTTTTTTTCAATTTGGTACCGGTCCTTCCCGAGAACCTGGTTGCAGCTTCCCTTACATACAAAAACAAAGTAGTGTCAAGCTACGCTAGTCCAACGCAACGTGTAGAGCTCAAACTGTGACGTATGCTATTGTCAAAGCAGTTAACGTACCACAGCATCCAATTGCAATGTCGTGGTTATAAAGCAAATTGTGTCGGGAAGTCCACTTAGTATATAAAGCTCTCTCCTATACTTAAGGAAGGAAAAGCTGCTTGCTCAACCATAGTGAAGCACGCGTGGTACTGTTATATTTACCAAAAGAAAACTTACGTAAGTCTGCCGGGTAGATGGTTCGATCATCAGCCCTCTTCCCAGTATCAAAACTAGTGAAGGGTATTTGGTAGCACCGAATTTTTTGTTGATACTGGATTCGTAACTCCACCTACACAACAACGTAAACTAATGGCCAGTGACGAAACCAAAGAGGCAAAAAGCCTGCTGCAGAAACCAGATTCAACAGAAGATAAGCCTTCCGAAACACCCAAAGTCTCATCGCTGCCGACTAAGACGGGCAGCACGGCGGACCAGTCGAAATCACCACAGAAAAACAACAACAATAACAGTAGCACCAATGCACACAGCAGTCAATCGAAAGCATCGACACCATCATCAACTAAACTGGGCAAATCATCAGCCAGCATAGAGAAGTACAACGAGCTCAAAAAGAAACTCACCCAACAAATACTCAAAAAACAAGAAATAACCAATAAATTATCCAAGTTGGAAGACACGATATATCAAAAGGAGTCCGATTACTTTGAAGAAAGTTACTCAGGTAACATAGTTAAAGGGTTTGAAAATTTTTCCAAGTCGAGTGGTGGTGGATCAGGAGGAAGTGGAGGTGGATCAGGCACTTCGGGATTTAGAAGAAAAATGGTATACACTGAAGATGATCACATATTCAGTCTAAGTTCAATTAATTTTGTGAAAAATATGGTCAAGAGGCATGGCCCCGGTTACGCAAACGGATCAATAGGGAATGGAACTGCTTCTTCTATTATCAATTCTAAAGATGATTTCGATGATTACGAAGATTCAGTCGATCCGACGACGGCGAATATGGGGATCAAACTGAACAATACAGCTGCTGCTGCTGCATCAGAAAACAAGAGTGAAACAAGTAGGTCAAGCACGCCTTCAAGAAAGAGAAAGGCGAGAACGATAGAAGATTGAACTTGGGACCAGGTATGACTAAATTTTCATTAAATCTATTTACACAAAAGGTTATCTAATAAAGGGTTACCCCTACTTCTTTGGCGAATAAGCATAAACCCATGGCTTTGTAGGTGGATAGTCTGTAGGAACTCTCATCTCAATAGGGAAAGTGGTGAATTTCAATTTAGTTTTAGCATTAGCCATTTCAAACAATGCCGGGCTAGTCTGTTTCAAGTCTTCCATCGCATTGCGTATACTCTTGTATTGCAAATTTAACTGGTGTTGTTGCTTTTGTTGTTTTTTACGCTGTAATAACTTCCATGCATTCATGATGGTTCTATGCTTAATCAAATCTTCATTGCACAATCTTAACAACTGTGGTTGTTTCCTACTTGCTGATAATACTGATAATTGGTTGACGATTTTTTGAGTTGATGCATTCAATTGATTGGCTCCTGTAGATTGTCTTTTGAAACGCATAAACGTTAACGTGCTTTGCGCTAGGTTTGCAATGCGTGACCTGCTTATGCTAAACATGGCTATGATATCCAGATGTAAATGAGTGTGAAACTGAGTTGGTGTTGGGTGATACTGCTTGTGTAAAATTTTCAAAGAAAATTGGAATAAATTTTTCTAATGTCGCTTTAAACTCTATGCCGTTAATGTATATAACACGACATTGGAAGATTATAAAACAGAAAGTGTGACACAATACTGACAATTAAGCAATGTTTGATAAAGAGCACAACCCCCGTGGTCGATCGACAAACAACCCAATTCTATCCACCAAAACCATAACTTGCTAATAGTCAATATGTCCGACGAAAAGGAGAAATTAAGACAAAAATACGCTTGTGAAGAACAAGAGGCTCAGCTGGGAAACCACAGTTTGCCTGATGCACCACCAGCATATGAGGATATTCAAGGTTCTCAAAACCCATATTCTGACAACCAATACGCTCCACCACCAAATGGATCACAAGACAATGGCTATGGACAAACCCCATCTGGTAACTATGCTAATTACCCACCACCACATCCGCAACAGCCACCACAGCCACCACAGCCACAACAAGGATCCTCATCCGCACAGCAACAGCCACAAAATCTCTACACTATTAAACCCACTGTTGTTGATATAAACAACACTGATCCGCGAAACTTGAACCCCCAGTACCAAATTTTCAAACAAAATCAAGAAGCTAAAGTTGCAAGAGGTGAATATGCAGCATGGGATCCAAAAGCACCATTGGAAAAGGGACACACTTCGAATAAGAAGATTGATCTGAGCTTTCCTGGTCGTAGTGGTGCTACTTACTACAACGCAGCGAATAAGCATTGAAATAGATGGCGTGTTTTGTTATAAAACTTTGGAATAGGAGTGTGTGTTTGAGAGGTACTGTTGTCAAGAATAAGCACAGGGGTCATCTAGTTAAGTACATTTGGTTGTATTTTTTACCTGATCATTCTCATTTTATATTCCCCTGTAGCTAATCACTATGCTTCCATTCGCTTTAATTACTTCTACCTAACTCTATACTGTTCCCCAACCAATCCTATAGCACATTATCTCCATTATAAGTCCATCCACCAAATTGCTTTTGGACACTTTCAGTCAAAAAGTCATCCACAACTGAATCCTGAGGCTTTTCATTGGTGAAATCTTGATCAAAATTAGACGTATCTAAAAGATTTTCAACATTTGGTTTGAATGGAGGTAAATAACTCTTGTTCAACAACTTGTTCCAATCAATATCCTTAAAGAATGGATGATTCTTAATTGCTTGTGCGTCGTTCAATCGATGCAGGGGGTCTTTTTGCAACAATTTTATCAATAAATCTTGTGCATCAGTATTTTCCAAAAATGGCGGGAACCGCAATGGATTTTGCAAAATCTTCTTGTACATTGTTGGTACATCCGAATCGTAAAATGGCGGTAATCCAGTCAACATTTCGTATAACAACGTTCCCAACGTCCACCAATCAACACTTCGAGTATACCCTTGATTTAATAAAAGCTCTGGAGCAAGGTATTCTGGAGTACCACAAAAGGTATTAGTCTTGTCATCATTGCTCATGTTTAGCTTACACAACCCGAAATCACAAAGGGCGATATGTCCTTGGTAATCAAGCAAGATATTTTCGGGTTTCAAATCTCGATAAATGACATTCAATTCGTGCAAACTCTCCAAAGCAGTCAACAATTCCGCAATATAGAATCTTGATCTGTCCATGCTAAATTTACCCTCTCTTTGTAAATGCCAGAATAATTCACCACCGTTGATAAAGGAGAGAACAAGGTATAATTTTTCTGGTGACTGAAATGAAAACTTCAAGGGGACAATAAATGGGTTATTAATCCTAGCCAAAACTGTTCTTTCTGCCAACGTGTGGGTGACTTCCAGTCTGGATACAATATGCTGCTTTCTCAATGTTTTCAAAGCATATATTTGTTTGGTATCCTTTTTAACCACTTGCATAACTTTTCCAAATGACCCTTTACCAATCACCTTCAACAAATCAAAGTCATCAATTGAAAGGTGCTTCTTATTCAACGGTTTATACTCTAGGGTCAACATTATTTCACCCATATCTTGACGAATAGCATCCAGCAAAACAGCATTGTAATTGGTGAATTTCAAATACTCATGATGCATCAATCTTACTTGCTGTGTATGTGACTTTGTATTCAATGGCAATTTAATTGTTCCAATTAATAAATCTCCAATATTCACTTGCGAGCTTGACGAGCTTGACGAGTTTGAAGTCATTGACTTATTGGCACTGTCGGCCTGATAATTGGTAAACAATTGCTTGCTACGGCTCTTTTCCGTATCTGGAATCAATACGTTTGGTAGTCTAATGAAAAGATTCAAATTGAGAAACTGGGAGTTGCTATTGTTGATCAGCGATTTGTTTGTAACATCAAAGGAAACCACCTGATTCCACGTTGCTTGGTTAATAGTTCCCTTTTGGGGCTCAATTACCAAAACGTTATTGTCAAACTCAATAGTAAGATAGAGTAATGACTTGACCAAGTTTTCTGATCTTGGGATTGTAATAATCGAGGGCAACAATTTTGTTGCATTCGACCCTTGGATATAGTCACCCAAATCATTCTCCTTCTCAATTGTTGCCATATTTTTCAACACTTGTTGTCCTACACTTTCACTATTTGAATTTATGGCCAATGCGTGTAGTATTTGCTTGTTATTGTTGATCTTGATTGGTAGTTGAATATTCTGCGAACCGTAGATTTTGACTGTAAGCAACCCCGGGGATGCAGAAGCACCGGGCTGAGCATTAGTCGCCTCGCTCGAATTTGAAGCCGACGAAGTTGCCTGTCCCACCGAAGTGGGGTGCGATGATGACGGAGAACCGTTGTTGTAATTTGACGAATTGGATGTAGTGTTTGAATCTGTTGAGGGTGGTTGTAAAACACCTACTTGGGTGGACGCACCGGGCGAAGCATTCTTCTCGCTACTTGAATTACTATGCAAAGTGGACTGTTTATCTGGAGAATCCTCATTAACAGTTAATTTTGAGACATCATTTGCCAAGTGATTGTCAGAAATGGTCTTTCTTGAGTCGGATGGGGTCCTCTTTGGCGTCAGCAATGCATCATTGGAGTGTTGTTGTGATGACGACCCGGCTGGTGGTGGGGGTGTCGACTCAACCGATTCAGCATTCGAGTTGTGGTTCAGTGAATGTTGTTTATCATTTGATGACCCAAACTTGAGTTTATTTTTAAACTTGAACATTGGTCTCAGCAGAAGGTGATAATCAGATGTGGAGTAGATTTCCTTTAAAACCTAGAACCCTTTTAGATAAATAGATCTAAAATTATTTTTTTGATTTGAAATTGAATCTTTATTATAAGACAATGCTACGGGTAATCTCTCTCTCTCTATGGGTAAATATCAAGAATAATAATAATTTCCTAAACTGTGTGCTTTGTTGTTGTTGTTGTTGTTGTTGTTGTTGTTGTAAGCCTCTGTTTTTTTTTTTGGTTAATTGGTTATAGTACACTACCATCTCTTTATATGCAGAATAACGCTCTCTCCTAATCTCTTTTGTTTTCCTCGGACTTTAGATCTTTAGAGAGAGAGAGAGTGTGTGTGTGTGAGTGGGTGTGTACCTTCAGAATCAACTTGCGAAAATCATCAACATGATTCTTGTTGCACTCTTGAGATATAGGGTAGCATACTGTGACTGTATCTGAATAGATTCTGAGGTATAAAACTTCCTCTTACTTTTATATTGCAGATATAACGTTTTAATGCAAATATAATTCAGTATAAACTCTTTGTTTCAACACTTCAACTGCTACACCTTAGAGTGCAGCAAGCTAATGTTTGGATCTTGTTTGATCTCGAAAATGAACAAGAAATTCAATTGCATTATTTTTACTTGCCCTTGTTTGAAGTTCATGTAGTTTGGAAGAGATACACGCATGTAAGTCACAAGCTACCACATCAAAAGACAAACATCCTTAAATCTCTCTTACAGAAAGAGTATATTCATCGTCAGTGGCAATGGTTATTTACCATCTTTGGATGGGTATTGGAAATGGATGATTCTTCTTTTTTTGCAACACAATTTCAAAAACCGCGACATTTGTGTGTATATACTTTTTTTTTTGTTTTTGTTGTTTCTGCATTGTTTACATTTTCTCCAATCTCTGTCTCTGCAGCATCATTTGAAATACAAAGAAATACATCTCCCTTGCTTCTTTATATACCCTTCAATTTGATCAGTTTGGTTAAAGCAAGGGTCGTAACAAACAACATTAAAAAAAGCCCAAGTACCATGGAAGGTATCGAAAACCACTATCCTGATAATAGAGCATATCAACAAATCATATCAACAAAGAAAGGCATACTCCCACTTCAAGAAACTTCAACAAATACCATCAGCAGCAACAGTATGTTGCGAAATAACAAGTCACTCACATCTCCAGTTAAACCAACCACTGATCAACTTAATTGGAAGAAAAGGGGTGCTACTTCACCAATGCCTGCATTAACCTGGCACAATTCGAGGCGAAAGTTGACAAAGACATCTTCAATCAAAGCTGACGAAGAAAATATACCTCCAATCAAGCAACTTCGTGATAATCTCAATCTAGAGAAGCCTATAGATAATGACAAAACCTCACATGGGATCCAAAGTACACATCCCGTGCAGCAGATAAAAACTACAGATGATAATACTGCTTTCGCAGTCTGGCCACCAAAATCACTCATTGAAGTTGAATTACATCGAAAATTATACTTGGCAGAACACAGAGCTAAACATTATGAAGAGCTTTCCGAGTTTTTAGTTTTGGAAAGGCGATTTCAAATAGAAGCAGGTGAACTAAGTCAATCACTTGCGCCCCACAATTAAAATACATCACTGTATCATTTTGCATTTCTATTACATAAGCATTACTATATATATATTACGAGATGAAACTACTGACTTAATGTAAACATCAACCATGCTCTTCTTCATGTTACCTTTCACTTCGAGTGTTCTTAAAATACTGCTTCAACTTATCATCACTGGCATCAAAATAGGACCCATCGCGAGAATTGACCCAATCGTTATGTCTCTTGCGTATCTTTTCTTTTTCATCTTGTCTCAGGCCACGCCTATTTAAATCCTCAGATAACCAATGTAATGCCAACGGGTGCAAGGTATTGGATTTTGTTATGGCAATTTTATCATGTTCAATGCTAACATCTCTGTCCGCATTACTTTTGAACTCAACTTGATTCATCTTTATATCATTTAATAACAACCCTGAATCAATATGCAACAATCGATCACACCATTCATTGCCTAGCCCATCGAATATATGGGTGGCATACACAACAGTACAATTTCGATTAAAGCACTCCAGTTTTAAATAATTCAACAACTTCAGTCGCACAACAACGTCCAAATCAATAGTAACTTCATCCAAGAGCAATAATTTCCAAGGCTTGACTAATCCCATGGCTATTTGAACACGTCTTCTTTCTCCATCTGATAAACTAATCATGGACCACGACGGGTCAATATCCAATATACCAATCAATAAGTTTCTACGTTCTTCATAAATCTCACCTCCAATTGAGCTGAGCAAAAGGTTGACAGGTATATCTCGTTTGATCACAGAATTTGTAATCCATTCTGTGCCCAAATAGGTAATGTAATTGTTGATATCGGCGTTATAGTGTCGTTCTCCAGTCGAAAATTCAAACGGATCAAATCCACCAATTTTCAATTTGCCCTTTTTGATCAATGTTTTACCGGCGAGTATACGTAATAAAGTTGATTTCCCAGCTCCGTTGGGACCTATGATCAAATTGGTGGTGCCCCATGGTATTTGAAGGGTAATATCTTGCAAACCGATTTTCAATGGTGCGCTACTACTATTATTTCCTCGAGGGAATTCATATGTGAGGTCATTGACTTCAATGGCTAGTGATTTATCGTTCTTGTGGTTTTCTAACGTCATTGTGATGTAAGAAGAGTGGACTTTGACAAACTGTGGAAAATTGAGGCGTATCAAAACTTTGAAATTTTTCCTGTTCTGGGAGAACAGATGAAAATCTTATAAGAAGGAGAAGCTACTTAGGTACAAGCCAACCACAAAGGGGGACGTTCCAGAAATTTTCTGTTGAGAGACTGACGTCGAGAAGAATCACACTGCAAAGCACATCTACTGAATGTAATAAATAATAAAAATGGAGTACACACATATCTACTGAAACTGGCTACAGTCACGAAACGTAACAAAATGTTGACTGCTAACAACATAAGACACCAAACGCAAACGGCTGAATTAGTCAATTTTTTTCTTATAATTCTCATAAATCAAGTCCCTATAATTGGGAAAATGAGTCATGTACCAAAAGTACACTTGACTCCACGCAAAGGCTGTAGGGTTCTCCTTTTCGTTACTGTACCACGATACGCATCCTCCAAACTTGGTACCAAACACACTTTTCTTCAACTCATTTTGAATTGTGACTCTCCAATTGTCGTATGCTTGTGATTTCACAACTACTGATTTTTTTTGACCTTTGATGACTGGTTTGGCGACTTTCACGTAATAATCAACGGCATTTTCCAAAGTCATAATGACTGACGAGTGTCCAGTTCCACTATTTGGACCGCCAATTACAAATAGGTTGGGAACGTCCTTGACCAATATAGTCCGGTAAGCAGATGTGCCTTCCTTTTGCCACAAATCAGAGACGGAAATTCCAGTGGTGGTTGTGACTGGCATTTGTGCCGATCTGCTAAGGTCGTACCCGGTACAAGCAACAATAATATCCGCTTTTACAAACCTACCATCATCCAAAACAACTCCGTCCTTGACCACCTCTTTTATTCCAGAATAAGCAAGTTCAAGACGTTGATTCAGTAATGTAGGAACGTATCTGTAGTCGAGAATCATTCTTTTGCAGCCAACCTTGAAACTGGGAATGAGCATGTCCCAGTACTTTTTTGGAGCCGTCAGGTGGATGTAGTTGACAGATCTTTCTGTGAGGCTTGACCTAAAGAACCTGGCAAAAAATCCGTCACCTTTGAATAAAGGGAACCTAATCTCCGAAAAGAGAACCAAAAACCACCGAACAAACATCATGCCGTAGAAATTGAAGCTCACCAAGTGATAAAGTTTCAACAAAAATGGTGGCACCGGAGGCATGATATAGTGTTTGGATCTAAAGACTTGGGTTAGCGATCCAACATTGTATTGCGGATCATCAAGTAATGTCGGAACAATCTGGACTGCAGAACACCCGTTACCTACCACAACAACATCTTTACCTTTGAAGTCAATCGAATGATCCCAAACGGCAGAGTGCATATATTTACCACCAAAGTTTTCTAGTCCAGGTGCTTCAAGGTCACGAGGGTGCACCAAACCACCACGACAGGATACAATGACTTTGCAGGTATGCTCAATTTTTTGTCCCGTGCCCAAATCATGTGAGTATAAGGTCCACAATCCCGTACTTTCGTTATATTCGCACTTGTCAACTGATGTTTTCAATCTGGCCTTTTCTCTTAACTTGTGCTCGTCAACAATTCTCAACAAATACTCCTCCATCTCATACTGGGGAGGCTGTACTCTACTCCAGTTTGTTGTCAACGCATATGAAAATGAGTACCAGATTGCGGGAATGTCAGATGCGCAACCTGGGTAGGTGTTTGCCCACCAGGTACCACCAAAATTGTCATGTTTTTCAAATATGACAAAGTCGGTTTCTTTGAACTCCTTGATTGTCTTTATAGCCGCTCCAATCCCTCCAAACCCAGCACCAATAATGGCAATTTTTGAAGAGGAGTGAATCGTCGGTAACGAAGAGTTGGTGGGCTTGCCTGCTGTGAGGCCCAATGCTATGCGTTCATTCTCATAACTGGCCCTGAACTTGGACGGGTCATTATGTGATTCCTTGGATAAAGTAATGGTAGACATATTGATGAGACAAACTGTACAGGTCAGTTATATGGAGACTCTAATCTAAATCCTTTTCAAATATCATTGGACGTGGAAGCACTTATATATCATTGCTCCACCCCCCTTTTTTTTAAAAAAAAGATTAAACTTTGTGGAGGAGAGAAAAAAGTCGGACTTAACACATGCAAATTGATTCGGAGATAAAAGTGACACATATGGGGGGGGGGGGGAATAAATTTGACCCTAGCTGGCCCTCTCCACTTTTGCAATCTGTAGAATTAGATCATCAGCTGCATTAGACTAGTTGTTTCACAGTTGTCATGGTAGGTTGTATTGTGTAGAGATTTGTGCATGTTGCAAAACCATCGGTTTTAAAATAAAAGCAAACAGTTAAATTGGGTTTCTACCTTTGTCTCTTCTAACAAAAGTCATCCACTACTGAGCTGATTCTAGCTGATTCAAGCTGATGCAGACATGTATTATGTAAATTGGGGCTCAGGGGTGGAGGTTAAAGCGCAGTCAAAGTGCTTTGTAAGATTAAACTGGTGACTACACACTCCCTGAATAGTTTATCACTGTTCTCAGTACTACAACATTTCACCTCAGTATCTGAAAGTCAGCAACGAATTTGAAAGCGTATAGATCTGATACAAGTCTCACAATCGACAATCGATGTCAATCGAGATTCATAGCCAGACGCCGCAGGGTGGTATAACGATGCCCCCCCAAAAAAAGTAAGGGAGAAGAAAAAAAAGAAAAAAACCAGTCCCGAATATTCACTGTTGAGTATTTTTCAATCAATTAACCTACATACCAGCTCATCATCTATTATGGATTCAGAATCAAACAAGAGAAGCAGAGATGAGTATGAGGAACAGTCGGGGTACCACAATGATGCTCACTTCCCGTCACCCCAGCAAAACTTTGACTATGAATCCAAAAGACAACGTATTGACCCAGCTCAAGAGTTGATCAACAATGTATGCAAAGATATTAGAAGATTGGGTGAAAATTCAAACGTTGCAACCCAGGTCGACGACGTCAATTACATATCCAATCCTATAGTTGCAGAATTTGAAAAGATTGACAGTCTTAGGAATGCAATATTGTCTACTATCTATGCACTTATCATTGAACAACCACACAAGATCAATGCACTTAGCAATTTGGTGTTCATTTGTAATGCCAAAAACTTTGTCATTGCTAAATACGTGGTGGAATATTTGCATACAAAAATACAGTTGTTATTAGATTCAATCGGTGGAGAGGTTCAAGAAGATGCGTTAAGAGAAAATGCAGGTGTGTATAACAACATAAAGAGCATTTTGAAATTCTTTGGAGCTATTTCACCCATCGTTGAGGACTACTCAGTGGTCAATGTATTTAAGCAAATTTTACAGTTTGCCATTGACTTGCAAAATGGCTCAGAAGAGAGAAACGGTATCGCTCAAGAAATATACTACAATGTGTTGATTGCGACACCGTATTTATTGAACAATGACAAGGGTGAAGAGTTGCATGGGTATTTGAATGACATCATTGAGCTCGCCGATAAGTTTCCTATTATAGAACCCGAGTCTAATACGTTGATTCAACCGTTTGATAGCAAAATGGAAAATTTTGAAATTCCTTACCAGCCAAAGAAAATGGTGAGTTTGATCTTACCCTCATTGAAACAGTTACAAGCAGATGATTGGCAACTCAAGCTTTTCCTTGATTTTGAACCATTTTTGGAACCTATTTTAAAGACAATTTTGGAGGAAAACCCAATTGCAAAAGAAACTGTAAAACACAAGTTGCCACAATTATCGTTGCCTTCAGTGGAAAAGATGAACAACTATAAACCACGTAATGAGGATAGTATTGATCGTATATGGCAGCAAAATTCACGTATTTTGCTTCAAGTTTATAATCAAACTACCGAATTTGAAACTGTACCCGTTATTGATTCTTATATCGGCTTATTTTTCAAGGATTTATCGTTTGACATATTGACCAACTTGTCATTTAATAAAACCGAGGCTTCAATTCAATTGTCCATTTTGGATTTGTTTTTCAATAAGGAATTATTTGCTCCTATGGGTACATCGATTGACGAATTGATTGAAATCAATGCCAAAAATCGTACTGGCGAAAACAATCCCCCCTTATCAACATGGAAAATCGAAGATATCGCCGTCGAAAGTATATTGACAATGATTTTCCAACTTCCATATACATTGCATCGAGAAATTTACTATTACACTGTTTTAATATCCTGTTGTAGGGAAAGTCCCGAATCGATGGCTCCTGTATTTGGTAGAGCCATTCGTTATTTCTATAACAATTTGCAAACTTTAGATTTTGAATTGAAGATTAGGTTTTTGGATTGGATGACTACTCAGATCTCCAATTTCGAGTTCAGTTGGAAGTGGGATGAGTGGATACAGGATTCACAACAGTTTGCCAGATTGAAATACCACCCTAAAAAGAATTTTATCAAGAATTTGATTGCTAAAGAGATAAGGTTATCAAATAAGAAGCGAATCAAAGAAAGTTTCGTTGATATAGTCGATGATGAAGTGGTTCCCTTCGAAGAATTTTATCAATATTTGGATGTAGCTGTTGTTGGCAATGCTAGAGACTACATTATCAACTATGACTCTGCATTGTATGGCGATTCAGAGGAGATTAGAGCAAAGATAACCGAAATATATGATGCTAAACAAGCAACATTGGCAGCTAAAAGTAATGTCAGTTCTCAGGATGAGATATTTTACAACTTTACCAATCCTGAATTGCCATTAAGCAAAGTGGCATCTCAAGTATACGAGTTTATTGTGTCTCATCATAAAAGCAACAAGGAAATGAGTGAATTGTACAATTCAGTGCTAGAGCAAATCCAAGACAGTGGTCAATCGGATGATATGATACAAGTTGATATTCCTAGCCCAGTCAAGTTTGCCATCAATTTAATTTTCCAAACCTATGCCTATATTGGCTCACGATCAATCTATTCGGAAGTGAGTATCTTGAGTCGAGATGTCGAGAAGTTGAAATTCCTCAGTGGTCAACCTTTAGAAATCAAGCTGCAAGACCCTGACGACGAATTTGAAAAATTGGCATTATCCGATGAAGATGTGACAAATAGACAAAACTGGATAATTGATGCCATTTTCAGGATATGGGTCCACCAACCACAAGTAGTATTTTTGATTTTGGAATACTTGATTGAATTTGAAGTGGTTAATCCAAAATATCTCATCAATAAAGCCTTCAAGACCAATCTCATCATTGGCAATGTTTCATGCATTGAATCAATCAATCGAGTATTGGAAACGTCAAATACCGAGGTTTTGAAGCGATTAATTTTTGAAGTTTTTGCAATTGTCGTCAAGAAGCTCAATGAGTTGGATTTGGGTATTGACGATGTTGTTCAAATTGATGAATTGAATGAAGATAATGCCACCGAAGTTGACAAGCAATGGCTCTTTTATGAATATTTGGGCTTGTTAAAGTCGTATTTTAGAAAGTATATCAAGAACCAAACTGAATCAACTGAAGACTTTTTGCAAGATATAAAAAACATTTTCAATAACTTGGAAAACATTCCAGCTAGAATTGAAATACTCGGTTGGTTTAAGGAGATGTCATAGGAAGTATATAAACCTTTTGTACGATTATATAAAAATGAAATATTTAGATTAAGTATAGCAGCACAATTACAAAAAAAGGAAGCTGAGACCTGCATGTCATTGCAAATGACAGTGTAGACCATTTATTGATTTATTTCACAAGTGTAATCTAGAGTTTGGTATCAGTGTAAAATCACGTTAGAGAGCTCCCTCTCGACCTTTCTCAGAACAAGCCGACAAAAATGGTGCGTGCTCCTCCCAAATAATATGTTTGCTGAGAATGTTCCGGTTGGTCACCATACACATTCCAATCATCAACATGATCATCGCCATACCAAGCGGCAACTGCAACAGGCTCATTATTGGAGTGCACAATGACACCAATAGCGTCAACTGGACGTGCATAGTATTCACCACGATCAAGGACATTTTTCACTTCAACCTCAACCTGCTCGATCTGTGTAGTTAATAGCTTTTCAGCTTCAGTAATCCATTGGACCTTTATACCGGTCACTTTTTCGCTCTTTGAAATCTTACTGTTTTGGCGGGAGAACTTGATTGGGAGTTGGTATGGTTTGCCTGTTTGTAAATCCAAAACTGTCATCCTTTTTTTTGGCTTTATTGAGGAAGGACAGGTGGAAAGATCAGTTTTTGGAAAATTCGAGTAGCTATTTATATGGCTACAACATTCCTACCTGAGAACCACAACGTAGTGGTAGAGTAATACATAGTCTGATCAAATGTTCATCAACGGCCCGTTCGACTCTCATTGTAAGGTAATCCAACAATTGCTAACAAAATGTCGCAAATGATGGTTCCATGTCGTGTTTGTGTTATTTGCTTATTTAGGCATATTTAAAAATAAAAACAGAGTGCGACATTATTACGCCCCCCACAAAACTTCGGTATCATGAGATTAGAACAGTCAAGATCTATCTTTTCTAAAACTAGTTCCGAGAAGCAATCGTAATCGGGATAGTTTATTATGGCATTACTTTTTGTAGAAGGAAAAGAAACCAAAACATTGTTCTTTTTATTTTTGTATCAAAAAGAAGCGAGAATAAAAATACGCTGTTGAATCCATTGAAATAAGATAGCTGTGAGCTTTACTTTTTATATAGACAAATAATCTTAGTGCTCCGTTACACCAAATCACTACCTCACTAATACTATACTACAATCTGATCTTCATTTTGTCCCACTGCTTGCAGTTTTTCCTACCTTGGGAGCGGATTTTTGAAATTGCGCGCAATTTGAAGTTGACAACTTTTTGGCTTTTGTTGTGAAACCGAGAAACATGTCAATGTATTTCTTTTATAGTTATTTTTTTTAAATTGACACAAAAGTAAACTAGTGGAAATAAAATAACTGTCTAAATTTTAAATATAAAAACTTTAAAAACTCTAAGAACTTACTATATACTAATACACATCTCCTCAACCAGTTTAAGCAGTCTTTTTGTTAAAGTGGTTGTAAGTCAATTCCTTGTAGTTAGGAAAGTGAGTGATGTACCAGTAGTGGATTTGACTGAATGGATAAGTGATAAAGTTGGATTGGTCGCTTCTGTACCAAGAAGCACATCCACCAAAAGCGGTACCAAAAACACTCTTGGCCAAACGGTCTTGGATCAATTTGAACCAGTTGTCATATGCTTGTTCAGTACATTCAACTGATTTTTCTTTACCTTCAAGAACTGGCTTGGCAACCTTCATGTAAAAGTCAATACCGTGTTCAGCAGCCATAATCACAGAAGCGTGACCGGTAGCGGTGTTTGGACCACCAATCAAGAACAAGTTTGGAATATCCTTGATCATGATTGTACGGTAAGCACCAACTCCCTCAGTTTGCCAAATCTTTTCTAATGATGCACCCTTGTTAGTTTCAATAGGTTGTTCAAATGTTTTTCTAGTGTTGTAACCAGTACAAGCAATAATAATATCAGCCTTGACGAATCTTCCATCCTTCATGTAAATACCATTTTCGACAATCTTATCCACACGATCGTTGGTGAGCTCAATTCTTGAGTCGTTTAATGCTTCAATGTAACCGTAATCGAAAATCAATCTCTTACATCCAACTTTAAAGTCAGGAATAAGGATATCCCAGTACTTCTTTGGCGCATGCTTCATGTGACTGACAGCCATATGCCTGTTACCCCAACGGACAAATCTAGCAAGAGGACTTTCTCCTCTGAACAAAGGAAATCTTGATTCAGCAATGGCAACAACCAACCAACGAACCATTTTCAAACCAAAAAAGTTGAAACTAAGTATACGGTAAAGGAAAAGAAGAATCTTGGGAACTGGTGGCATAACATAATGCTTTGATCTAACAATTTGGGTGATTGAAGCAGGATTATATTTAGGATCGTTCAACAAGGCTGGGACAACTTGATTGGCAGAACAACCGTTACCGAAAACGACAACATTCTTTCCTTTAAAGTCAACTGAATGGTCCCAAAGTGCTGAATGCATGTACTTTCCCTTAAAGTTTTCCAAACCTGGTTCCTTCAAATGAACTGGGTAGACCAAGTGACCTTTACAAGACAAAAGAATGTTTGCAGTGTGTTCAATCTTTTGTCCGGTCTTGACATCATGGATGTGCAAAGTCCATAAACCAGTTTCTTCATTGAAAAGACACTTGTTAACCTGGGAGTTGAACCTAGTTTTGTCTCTCAACTTGTATTCCTCAGCAACTCTCAAAATGTACTCTTCCATTTCGTATTGTGGTGGTTGAACTCTAGTCCAGTTGGAAGTTAAAGCAAATGAGTAGGAATACCAAATAGCTGGGATATCAGAAGCACATCCTGGGTAGGTATTGGCGTACCAGACACCACCAAAGTTGGAACGCATTTCAAAAATGGTAACATCCTGTTCTTTAAGCGTTTTCATTGTCTTGATGGCACTTCCCATACCAGAAAAACCAGCACCAATAATGGCAACTTTGGATGAAGTACGAATAGTTGGCAATTTTTCATTGATATTGTTGTCAACTTGACCACTCAACTGAGCAGTACTTTCCTTCAAGTTAATTCTAAACTTGGATGGGTTCTTGTGAGACTCTTTTGATAAAGTAATAACGGACATTGTAGCTAAAGTTGTAACAAACTGTTGGCGACAAACGAAGAGAAGAGAAAGAGTGAAAAACGAAAAATTTTTGGGAAGTGATTGCTTCCTTTATATACTACAATGACTGACGTTATTATTCATTATACAAATATAGATTTAAAAGGGTACTTTACTTTGAATTTTTCATTTTCCGCATCTTCTTGTTTAGGTAAAAATTGACCTCGGGACACACTCCCTTTAAAAGAAACATAAAATAAAGAGACATAAAGAGAACAAAAAGAAATGGTTAAGCGATGTACATTTTTATTTATATTTTAATTCCTTTTTTTTCTTGCATCGAAGGATTTGCGGGGAACGGGTAGTAATAATATTAGTAGTACTATATGATGGAAATATCTTCAGTCAACCAAGCCTGTTACATTAAACATTTACATTAGCTTGTTACTTCATCCTATGTAGGCAAGACACACCATCTCTACAAGATGTTGCTGTAGCCTGTTTGTTAAAATAGAGATTGGGGACTTATGCACCGTTTTTTTGAGCTAACAACCGAAAGAAGGTGGGGCACTAATGAGGAACAAGTGGTTATGAAGCATAACGTAGACCCTACCTTCTGCAAACCTGTTATCATGTAGACACGCATCGCACTATTTTTCCGCCACTAATTATTATCAGCTTATGAGTAGTACTTCCCCCGGGATTAATGAAATGTTCACTTCCAAATTAAGAAGAAGGACCAGTTCCTTTTTCTTTCTTTTAAAGTAATAGTACACAAAATCGTTTATTTTTATAACATACTTATTGTTTATCCGCAAAATTTCCCTTTTAGGATACGGATAACGGAAGAGTCTTAGTTAGTCAATTGAAACAAAAAAATAAAACCTTTAAAACCCGAAAATCCATAATCTAAGGGGATACACACACATGCATAAGCAAAAGCTAAGATTATGGATTTACGGATCTACAACTCAAAATATTTTTACATTAAGACAAAGTGTATGAAACAGTTGAAACTGTTTATGCCACGCAATGTCGGATAAACTATTCTACGAGCCAAGCTCCAAACGATATCCTAGATCACATTGTGTCGACGTAAATCTAGGTGACTTAGAATAAACTGACTTTTACTGTTATAATAACTGAAACTAATGTAATCAAATATGATAAGAAATACAACAGAGTGACAACAGTTGAATTGAAAGGCGGAATAAAAATAAAGCAACAAAGTCACTTGTAGTTGGCTATGAAAACGGAGATTGTACAAAGGGTGAAAAGTGAGTCTCCTGTTGCACGCAGTTCTGTATCCCCACAATGAGACTTATCTGCTGCTTTAGTATCTCAAAGATTGCACCCCTTCGTATTTGTTAAAACTGAGACAAGAACTACTAATCGATGCTTCTTTGATTTTCTTAAATATTTGCAACCACAATCTTGTGGTAAAGTAGCAACCTTTAAACCTCCACAAATCAACTAGGCAGAATAGTCCACATGGAGTAGCTAAATCAGATCTAGCGCGCTCATGAAAGTTGTTGTATGCGGACCCCGGCCCATTCGTAAAATACGTGGAGAGAAATTAAGACTTTGTGTCCCTTTCTTAAACATAAGGTATGCCAAATTGCGAAGGTAATATCTGACTTTGGAAATTATGTAATCCTGTAGCTTCACTAGCCACAGAGTCATTATTTGAGGGAAGCATTTGCTGTTTAATCTTGTAAAGGATAATAAAAGCTCAGATACACTAAAGCATATCAAATGCTTTAGCTGTAGGTCAGCTCAGTTAGTCAATAAAGGAATCATGGTACACTTCCACCTCATTAGAAAGGGGTGTTAGCTCCAACATGTTAGTGACTGAGTTGTTCTATCCCGGGTGTAATAATTAAATAGCAATTTACTTAATTTAAAGGTTACTTTTCTAATGAAGAATAAAATTAGGATTTCAAACTAACTATAAAAGTCTATGAAATATGCTGATTGAGCTACTTATGTAGTTTTCCAAACCTCACAAAGCCACCTAAAACAGCAACAAGCAACAGCTTAATCACCGTCCTAGCAAGGTTAAATTGTAACATGTTTCCGTGAATGGTAAATTTAGCAGGTAGTTAACCAATTGGTAGCATCATATCTATTGTGTAACAGGTACACCGACAGTAGTCGTCTAATGTAATACAACATTTAATGAATCATGCGACGAGACATAGTTTGTAGTTTACATTCACGTAATTATTTAAGATAAGTTTCCATCTTCTGCATCATTGATCAGCCCATCTCTCTTATATCAGAACCTCAATAGTAAAGATCCATTATCTGCAAGGCGAGTGTTATTAATTCAATTTAGTGCGGACTTAAAATGTTAAAGCCTGTAAATTCCGTTTTTCTTGTGATTATTTCTAGCATTGTTAACTATGAAATTTAGAACATCCCCACCTTGAACCCCAACTTCATATTTAATATGTGCAAAGCTATTGCCTGATTTATAAAAGCCCATTACAAAGATCAAAATATTTTCAACCACTAAGCAATACCACCAAACCAAAAGATGTCTTCTATCACATTGACTAAAGAGTCTCACAAGAATCCATCCAAGTTTAGAATCAAGTATGAGGACAGTAACGCTGTATTAGGTCCTGAACATTCAGCACAAAAGAATGTCAGTGACAAATTACCAACTATTTACACATCGTCGAGGGTAGCCATCATTGGTGCAGGTTTTGGAGGAATTGGAGCAGCAATCAAGACCATGGAAGATTTGAAGGAGCCAAATGTGCAAATATTCGAAAGACACGATAATTTTGGAGGAACATGGTACGCCAATACCTACCCAGGATGTGCTTCTGATATCCCAGCTATTTGGTATTCCTACTCATTTGCTTTAACTTCCAACTGGACTAGAGTTCAACCACCACAATACGAAATGGAAGAGTACATTTTGAGAGTTGCTGAGAAATATAAGTTGAGAGACAAAACACGTTTTCAAACTTCCATCGACAAGTGTGTTTATAACGAGGATACAGCAATGTGGACTTTATACGCTCATGATGTCAAAACAGGCCAGAAGCTTGAACACACAGCACATGTTGCATTGACATGTTCAGGTGGATTAGTGCATCCAAACCAATTGAAAGCACCAGGTCTCGAAAACTTCAAGGGGAGCTACATACACTCAGCATTATGGGACCACTCAGTTGACTTCAAAGGCAAGAACGTGGTTGTTGTTGGTAATGGATGTTCAGCTAATCAAATTGTGCCAGCATTGTTAAATGACCCACAGTACAGTGTTGGTTCTATTACACAGATTGCCCGATCAAAGCACTACATTATGCCACCAGTCCCAAAAGCTTTGATGTATCTTTATCGTTTGCTTAGTTTCAATATTTATGGGTTGGCTCTTGTCAGATGGCTTGTCGTTCTTATTGCCGAATTGAGATTTCCTTTATACAAAGGTGATGGCATTGTATCAAGATTGGTCCGTCGAATTAATACAGCTGTATCAGTCAGATACATGAAAAAGTATACCCCTAAAAAATACTGGGATTTGGTGATTCCAGATTACAAGATTGGGTGCAAGCGGTTGATTTTTGATTACCAATACGTGCCAGCATTAAATGACCCAAGGATTTCACTCACAAACTCCGGCATTAAGAGAGTCGTTGAAGACGGAATAATTTTAGACAATGATGAATTTGTCAAGGCTGATATTATTGTCGCCTGCACCGGGTATGATCTTAAGAAATCGTTTCAACTTCCTATTTTCACCAAAAAGGGCTATAGTGGTCAAGAAATGTGGACCAAGGAAGGTATTAGTGCATATCGTACTGTTTTGATGAAGCATGTGCCAAACGCATTTATTATCGGTGGTCCAAACTCGGCAACTGGCCATGCATCCGTCGTCATGGCTTTAGAAAATGGTATCGATTACTACGTGAAATTGGCCAAGCCTGTGATTGAAGGTAAAGAGAAGTCAGTCGTTGTAAAGCCCGAAGCCTACGACAAATGGCACAAGGATATCCAAGAGGAGTTGAGCAAGAGTGTGTTTGGTACCAAGTTTGGTGGTTGTGTATCATGGTACAGTGATGAAAAGGAAAATGCAACGGCATTTGGTTGGTCACAGTTGTATTATTGGTACATTACTCATTTTCCCAACTATAAGGATATCGTGTATGAGCATTTCGATAAGAAAAAGGCCTAGTAAAGCGTTTCGAGACAATGAAGTAGTTTAAAGGGTACAAGACTTGTTATTGTTTGTATGTTTTTTATTAGTTGAATAGATTTCGCTTGGGACGAGTTTAGGTTATGGTTATAAAAATACTGCTTATTTCTTTCTCTACCTTTGATGGACACGAATTGCTTATAGAGGTGGCGCTATGTTTCGTAATAATCCGGGGTAATTTTTTCTGTTTCACAAGAGTCAAAATTCAATTTTTAGTTTTTCTTTTCTTCGCAACCTCGGTCTAAAAACGGGTGAAACTGGATGAAGGAGTCAAACTAATTTGAAAATCGGGACCAACAATACAAAAAACGTATCGGAATTATAATCCCATTTTGAAAACAATCAGATGAATATTTTTGANCCCCCCCCCCCCCCCCCCGACAAAAGGTCCAAAACTGCAAGATTGTCACATATATCAGACTTAGCTACTTATCTAGTATTAAACCATGTCTATGGAATTATGTCCAACCTGAATCAATCAATTTTGACACTTGAGTACATGGCACTTCTTACAACCCAGTCGTTACCAATATGAGCTAGACGTTGCATAATAATCTAAAATCTCAGTATTATGCTTTGACTCTGGCGCGTCTGTGACTCCTTCACATACAATTTTTTCAGGTTTTGTGTAAAAAGTTCTTCTGTTTTATCGGCATTGTTTCTTTTTTTATCAGGTGGGTCTTCTTACGCCTTGGTACAATCTCTCTCTAAACTTCGATGCCATCTCTCTGTATTTAATAGTTTGAAAAACTTTTCGAATCATTTTCTATCACTTTTCTTACCATTCTTCCTTCTTTAACGAATTTTCTTTGCTTTCTTTACATTTACGTTGCAGAAATCAATCAGAAAATGATTAGAACCACCAGATCGTTGCTTCGATCTTCCACTAATAGACTTTCCACTAGGCCAACAATATCATCAATAAGTCGCGTCACACCCACGTTTTCTAGATTTTTGGCTACCGCAAATACATCGTCGGAGAATTATGCCAAGGTGTACAACCCCAACGCTGAAAAGGTTTCGTTAGCCAACTTAGATACGTTTGCTAGGAGGCACATAGGCCCAACACCAAGAAATGTTGACAAGATGTTGCAAGCTCTCGGCTATTCTAATTTGGATGAGTTTTTATCCAATGCAGTGCCAGAACATGTTTTGATCAAACGTAAGTTGCAAATTCAACCAAATCAGGGATTCACGGAGCAAGAAATGTTGAGACATCTCCATGAAATTGCTGGTAAAAACAAGATTTACAAGTCCTTCATTGGTAAGGGTTATGCTGGTACGATCTTGCCTCCTGTGATTCAAAGGAATTTGTTGGAACTGCCAGAATGGTACACTTCATACACACCCTATCAACCAGAAATTTCTCAAGGCAGATTGCAAAGTTTGTTGAACTATCAGACTATGATCACATCATTGACCGGTTTAGACATGGCAAATGCATCTTTATTGGATGAAGGTACTGCTGCTGGTGAAGCAATGAGTTTGTCTTTCCATCACTCCAAAAACAAGAAAAAGGTCTATGTTGTTGATTCAGAGTTGCACCCACAAACTATTGAAGTGATTAAATCAAGAGCTGACAACATCAATGTCGAGATTAGGGAGTTGAACTTGGCCACTGAAGAAGGTTTCCAAGAATTGTCCAAGATAATCAAGGATGTATGTGGGGCTCTTGTACAATATCCAACTACGAATGGTTCAATTCACAACTATTCTCAAATTGGCGAACTTTTGCACCAAAACAAAGCCATTTTTGCCGTTGCTACAGACTTGTTAGCATTGACCTTGCTCAAACCTCCAAGTGAGTTTGGTGCTGATATTGCGTTGGGAACTTCACAAAGATTTGGCGTGCCATTTGGGTATGGTGGTCCGCATGCTGCATTCTTTGCAACATCACAAAAGTATGCTAGAAAGATACCTGGAAGAATTGTAGGGGTTTCAAAAGATAGGTTGGGCAAACCAGCTTTGAGATTAGCTTTGCAAACCAGAGAGCAACATATCAAGAGAGAGAAAGCAACTTCAAATATATGTACAGCTCAAGCATTGTTGGCCAATATATCTGCAAACTATGCTGTTTACCATGGCCCTGAGGGATTGAAAAACATTGCCAAAAGAGTTTATGGATTTACTACTTTGCTTGCAAAGGAAATCCAAAAGAAGCACGAAATTGTCAATGATAAGTGGTTTGACACTTTGACAGTTAGATTAAGTGGAGTCTCTGCTGATAAAGTTTTAAAAAACGCTTTGGAGAAATATGGAATTAACTTGTTCAAGGTGGATGATTCAACAGTATCATTGCAATTGGACGAAACTGTCGAGAAGCAAGATTTAATCAACTTGATTGAGTTATTCACAGGAGAAGTTATCGAGCCTTCGAATGAATTGCCTTCTTTCCCACAAGAGTTGTTGAGAACTGATGACATTTTACTGCACGAAGTATTCAACACTCATCACTCAGAAACATCAATGTTGAGATATTTGCATCATTTGCAATCAAAGGACTTATCTTTAGCTAATTCAATGATCCCGTTAGGTTCTTGTACAATGAAATTGAATGCCACTGTTGAAATGCAATCCTTGTCAATCCCAGGCTTCAACTCCATCCACCCATTTGTCCCCCTTGATCAAGCCCAAGGTTACAGGCAATTAATTGACGAATTTGAAAAAGATCTTAATGATATAACTGGGTTTGATGCTACTACATCAATGCCAAACTCTGGTGCTCAAGGTGAATACACTGGGTTGTCATTGATTAGACAATACCACAAGTCAAAGGGTGAATATGAACAAAGAAACATTTGTCTTATTCCTGTCTCTGCCCATGGTACTAATCCAGCCTCAGCAGCAATGTGTGGATTGAAAGTTGTTCCTGTCAAATGTTTGGACAATGGTTCTATTGATTTGGATGATTTGAAAGAAAAAGCTACAAAGCATGCTGCTAATTTGTGTTCCATCATGATCACTTACCCTTCTACCTATGGGTTATTCGAACCTGGTGTCAAAGAAGCTATTGATGTTGTTCACCAAAATGGTGGATTGGTTTACTTGGATGGTGCCAATATGAACGCACAAGTTGGGTTAACATCTCCAGGTGACTTGGGTGCCGACGTATGCCATTTGAACATTCACAAGACTTTTGCATTGAGTCATGGTGGTGGTGGACCAGGTCAAGCTCCAGTATGTGTCAAAAAGCATTTGACGCCATTTTTGCCAAAGCATCATTTTGTCGAAACTCCTCATTCAACCAATGAAAGTATAAAATCCGTCAATTCGGCCCCATATGGAAGTGCTTCTGTTATCCCTGTTTCATATTCATACATAAAGATGTTGGGTGCTGATGCATTACCATACGCCTCGACTATCGCCATGTTGAACGCCAACTACATCTTATCTCAGTTGGAACCACACTACAAGATTCTTTTCATCGACCATCGCGCATCAACCAACGCTGGTTTGAGACATTGTGCCCACGAATTCATCTTGGACTTGCGTGAGTTCCAAAAGGGTGGTGTTGAAGCTATTGATGTCGCCAAGAGATTACAGGATTACGGATTCCATGCCCCAACAATGTCGTTCCCTGTTGCTGGTACTTTGATGATTGAGCCAACTGAATCAGAAAATTTGGAAGAGTTGGATAGATTTATCGAATCATTCATTTCGATTCGTCGTGAGATTGATGCTTATATCAAGGGAGACCCATTGGGAAATGTATTAAAGAATGCTCCACACTCACAGCAAGATATTATATCTTCTACCGACTGGGACACTAGAGGATATACTAGAGAGCAAGCTGCTTATCCTTTGGAGTTCTTGAAGGAGAACAAGTGCTGGCCTACTGTTTCTAGATTGGATGACACCTATGGTGATTTGAATTTGATCTGCACCTGTCCTTCGGTTGAAGAACTTGCTGAAGGTTAGACAACAGATTCAATCCGCTTGTAATACATGGCGATGATCCCCCGTCCCCCAATTCTTTTGAAAAGTCTTGTAGAATAGTCCATGTTTTAAATATATGCCTCATAAAGGTGATTTCATTTCTATATTTATATTCCAATAAAGGTGTTACTTTGAAGAAAGCGTATAATCTTAGAGATTCTTTTTTAAACCAGCTAATGCAACCAGTTGCGTCGATTATTACATTGCAGAGAGCTCAAAAGTTTAGTTTCAGTGCTGAGAGATTGGTTTGTTCGCATGTGATTGCCATGTATCAGTTTTAATCGATAATGACATTTACTATTTAATAAGTATTAAACTCGATCAAGTAGTTCTGACGGTGTAAACTATCAACGACTGTGATTTACTAAGCTACCTTCAATTATTAAGGGGTTGGTGGCAAGTCCTCAGTCCCTCTTAATCAGAAAGATTTTCTACTAGTATTTAAGAATATTTTACTCTTGGCAATATGGTTTTGCAACTCACCATTCGATTTTGCAATCGTAATATTTTTGCATTTATTTCTTAGTACTTTGTAAAAGACTTAGATTCCAGCAGGCTCGGGCAGTATCTACTGTCACCATGTTAAACAATAAGTCCGGGTCTGTTATTGAATATCTCGAAGCCTCTTGTGTACTGACTGATACTCAAAGTAACCTAAGGATACAAATATTTTCTTTTGTGGTGTTTGTGGTGTTTGTGGTGCATGTAGTGTACAAAGAATCAAAAAAAAAAAAGAGAGAGAGATCCTTTTCTCCAAATTTTCTTTTTCTCAATAAAACAATAAACTAAAATCACTTTTCAAACTATTGCATTCAAGACTGAGCAACCCTCAACAGCGAATAGAACAAGGTTTTTTCAAACAGATAACATATACATCAATCGTTCTTCACAACTGCAAGCGATTCTTTTTTTTTCATACAGACCCAAGAGTAAATTAATTGTTGTTACTCCCCTGTGTTTTTTTGTCCTTCAGCCTTACGTTTTTGGATAAAGTTGCGTTTTGCTGCATGTTGGCAATTTCTAAACCAGATGTCGTTGATTACACACACTAGATAAAGTCAGCATAATATACCATATCTCCATAGAGTGACAAGAAAAGAAGAAGAGAAAGATTGAATCTATTAATCATAAGCAAAGGATCGACACAACTCACACGCATTAAGCAAAAAGCCGGAAGAGAGTATTCCAGATAAAGAAGTTAATGGACAGATCACATCATAGAAAGAGGAGTTCGATGGGAAACATCAGTGCTACAGATTCAGCAACTGGTGGAGGCGCTAGCAATGGCCGCAATTCGCCAGCTATTCCACCCAATGCCCCGTACCACCCAAATGTTCCTATTAATAGGTCAACCGCATCGTCATCAACACTCAATACAAACGTTTCATCATTTGCAGCACCACCAACAAATATCTCAACGGCCACAGGTATGTCACGGCTACCTCAACAACAACAACAACAACAGCAGCAGCAGCAGCAACTCCAAAAACTGCCCTATTTACAACACAGGTCAACCTTTCAGCCATTTGACCAATCACTTCAATTAACACCAACAGGAAGGAGTCCCATACAAGGGTCAATGTCACCATCTACTGCGGCCATACCTTTTAACCCTTCTGTTGCATTGCCGTCATCTTTGCCAGCGTCAAATGCTACTGCGAATGTTCTAGGTATGTCAAACTTACCCAACCCAAAGGCGTCATACACCACCAGAAACATGGCACCAATGAATCAGCCGGCTGTGGGCGTCTCGCCAGTTGTACGCGGCTCGTACTATTTTAGTGAAAACCCTCTTTTTGCATGTGACTGGACAACGATAAATAACAATGCATTGGATTGTATAGCTTTGGGGTCCTACAAAGAGGGATTCGTCAACAAGTTGGAGATTGTCTATGGCAGAAGCTACGAATATGAGTTTGCGCCACCAGTGATAGACGCCTATGGCAACTCAATTCAAGGGTATCGAGACGACATGAATGACGGTGATGAAGGGGGTTTCATATTTGAAAAAGTGGCCGACACCAATTTAAACTATCCAATCACCCAAGTCAAATGGGATCCATCGTTGTTGCAAGGAAGCAATGGTGTTCAGCGCCTTGCTGCTTCAAGTGATGTGTTGAGATTGTACAAAGTCAACGATCTGGTAGATGGTAATCATAATTTGGTACAAACTCATGTATTGGCAAACAATTCCACAAGCACCGGCAGTAGCGCAGTAGCAGCTGATGGCAAGGATAAGATCAACACTTCACCACCAGTTACTTCATTTGACTGGAATTCCACTGACACAAACATACTCATCACGTCTAGTGTTGATACCACATGTACCGTATGGGATCTCAATCGATCCCATCCTCATGACGACTTTAGTGAATCCGCAACTGTTAAAACTCAATTAATTGCCCATGATTCGGAAGTGTTTGATGTAAAATTCATTCACAAATCAACAAATGTATTTGCATCGGTGGGGAATGATGGATCGATGCGAGTGTTTGATCTACGTTCCTTGGAACATTCAACCATCATTTATGAACCTCCGCCCTCTCCATCTCCAACAACGAGGAGAAATCATACATCATTGGCTTCTTCTACTTCTTCTTCTTCTGGTGTACCCTCAGGACAGCTTCCCACACCATCGCATTCGGCAAACTACAACTCCAAAGCATTGCTTCGTCTTTCCACTTCAAACGTTGATCAGCATCATCTTGCTACATTTGGCGTCAACTCTAGTCAGATCATCATCATCGATATGCGCATGCCAGGTCTTCCCATGGCAACTATTGACGCATCTACATCATCAGCTATTTCCGCATCAATCAATCTGATTCAGTGGCATCCGACATCCAATTACTTACTCAGTGGTGGCGATGATTGTCAAGCATTGGTATGGGACTTGAACAACTTGGGGCCCACCATGGGGTCCAACTATAGCTCAAGCACCAGCTTATCCAATGGTGGTGGCACTAATGGAAATACAAATCATAGTGCTCCCGATTCAATCGGTTCGGCTGCTAGTGGCGGTGGAGGTGGCAATAATAATAATAATAATAGTAATGGTCATAATGGTAGCAATATCATTGATGTGCCCGTTTTGGCATATGAAGAAGATTTGGAAGTTAATAGTATTTGTTGGAGACAAAACTCAGGCGACTACATGGGAGTAATTAGCGGTAAAGGATTTCAAGCGGTACTGATTTAGATAAACTAGACATACGTTCAAGTTAGGTAAATTTATTAATAAGTTAATGAAAGGTATCATCACAGTACATATCTCCCCTCTCTCTAATTCTACAACGAAATATTTTCTAGAAAAATTTATATATTTTTCTTCCACTACTTCACAATAAACACTAAGCTACAAAGCAGAAAAAACGTAATTCGATAAATATAAAGTAAAATATCTAATCCGTTTATTTCTTAGCGNTGGTGGGTAGTCAGTGAAAGCTTCAACACACATTGGCTTGGTTGGGACCATCTTGACGATAGCAGCGTCACCGGACTTGACGAATTTTGGTTCTTCTTCCAATTTCTTACCGGTTCTTCTATCAATCTTTTCAATCAAGGTGTCGAATTTACAAGCAATGTGGGCAGTGTGACAATCCAAGACTGGAGAGTAACCAGCTGAGATTTGACCTGGGTGGTTCAAAACAATGACTTGAGCCGTAAAAGAGTCACATCCTTTTGGTGGGTCGTTCTTGGAGTCACCACAGACGTTACCTCTTCTGATTTCCTTAACGGAAACG